CGGATTCGTATACACAAATAATGTATGTAAAATTGCAGGAATCTCTGATTCAATTTTTGTCCCAATATGAGTCTTTCCAGGCGTCGGCCAGTTGGGTCTTCTATAACCTTCCGCCAGCAGCCTGACCTGTTAATCATGTTCTATAACCCATTCTTCTCATTTCAAATATTCTCTCTGGTCTTACCAAGCCGCCGAGAAAACGTACACAACTGCCGACAGATGTGTAATCGACGCAGCTTGGCGCTTGGCATCACCGTTTCGCTACCTTGGCGCCGAGAATTCTAGAATCCGCGTGATGAATCTTGTTCAACTACACGATACGACACTTCAGGTTGCATTACGCGTATAGGTCGATCGAGACTCATCTGTCAGTGTTCTTTGTGCCTTGCGACATGTCTTGATGTTTACCAATAGATGATAAGCATTCTCTAAATCAGAGGGTGTATGGTGTCATGTATTCGACTCAAGATATCCCATCCACCATCGGACATAAGGAATGCAACAAAGGTAGGGCACAGACATTCAAGATCTGAGCCACGCATCGGATGCTGCGGAAGAGATGCGATTGACACTTTCTTGGCGCATCTTGGCGTATCAGAATTAATAAATCCTTACATGGCATCGGGTCTCGCAGCGTAAGATGTCCGGTGGCACAGTAAAACGGCGGTTTCCCAATCAGCAATAGAATAAACCAGTGGGTGTTTTGGGTGTTGCATTCCTTTTTGCCGTAATTCCGAGTAGTGAATAATCCCAGCGGCCATGCTTTGATTCCGTGTGAGGGGATGCAACAACGATTTTGACTATGTAACCTTGGAGGTGCGGCAGATGAAGGCGGTATGCAGTGCTCACCCGGGGTTGTGATATGGCCACCAATTAACGAGTTTGGTTGGGAGCGGGGAAGATTACAGTGAGCACAAACCTAAATTAGGCCTGTTCAGTAGCTCTGATCAACACCTTAAGTCGTTGTTGCAATATTCACGCACTCGAAACTAACTGGGACAATATTGATGTAAATCTACGCTGCATATTGATAAGAGTATGGTACAGTGATGATGCCAGACTGTACCAAATACCACGACGCAACCACCACTCTCAAGGTTTTGCCACGTGGATGACGCTGCATGTTTTGTCCGCCCAAACTCAGCAAGACTGCTACGTAGGTGGACGCTGGTCCTTTTAAGCTTAGCCATCAAGCTTACCCCTCTCCCGGGTACAGAATCCATCAGAACTCAGAAAACGCCAGAACCAACAAGGAACAGTCCAGTTCTGAATCCCCAAAAAACTTGGAGTGTTGGTGTTGCATTGTGTCAGCCAAGAAAATGGGGGAATGGGATAATCACTAATCACCTGCTCAATTACGCTTCTGTTTTAAGTAGTGACTCCCGGGACTACGAGATCAGCACTAGTCAGAGTTGCGCTGCCACCTCCGATGACAAGTCCATTCACGATGCTTTGAGGGGGAGGCGCTGGAGGGGTCAGTGTTCGTCACTCAGCAGAGCTCTGAAGCTTCGGTACTGGAAAGTGTTTTTACTCGCTATGATGATTCCATTTTCGTGATCAACAAACCTCGTGGAGGTCGGTGGCTGCAGCAACGTCGCACAGGGGAGCCGAGGCTTTGGGATGGGATCAAATATAGGACGCCATCAAACGCTGCAAAGTGAGGATCGGCTCTTTTCATGTCAGATTCGGGACACCACAGCCATTCAGGCTGATCCTCGACCTACAAATTGGGTTGCACTCGGGGCAAAGACTCCCTGGCCCCTACCTCCATAGCAATGCTGACTCGGGGTGTTTTTCCCTGTTTGCGAGACACAATAATAACCCAACGTACAGATCGGCATTTCACCCTTGTCGTCCAATTAAAGCCAAGGCTGGGCAATAAAGCTTGGTCTCTTCTTCTCCACGTCCATGCGTCGACCTTCCCGTAAACGCTTAGAGTCATCGCAGATCGTGAGCTTTGGTTCATTTCCTCCCCCGCATCGCATGGGCTAGCTTTGGGGTTTGGGGGGCTTGCGGGCGTTGACGTACGAGGCGGGTTGAATGGAAGAGTTGTTTACGTGGTAACAAAAGCCCTTGCTTCTTCCCCCTCAGACTTGTTTTCTTCTCTTGTTCTGCTAGTAAAGGCAGTAGCAAGCTGTCATCTCCGCGGAGCGTAGAGACTGTTTCGCTATTCTAGACTTGTGCTATAAGCTACTGTTCCTGCACCATGACTACTGATACCACGGCGACACCGCCGAGTGAGCAAGAGAAGCCTACAGCTGTTGATGTCGAGAATGTCGCGTCGACGACGCTGTCCAATGTCGGGGGCGGGGCTTCTGTTGATGCTGAGCGAAATGCACTCTTAGCTGCCCTCCCTGACCCTGATGAGGGCAAGAGTGAAGAGGAACGACGCGAGATTGTAAGTCGTTCAACATATAATCCGTATCCCATCGTAAATGAATGATGCTGACAATGATCCAGGACAGGAAGTTGGTCTGGAAGGTCGACCTCTGGCTTATCCCCTGGCTATCGCTGCTCTACCTCCTCTCGTTCCTGGATCGAACCAATATTGGCAATGCTCGTCTCGCAGGCATGGAAGACGACTTGGATATGGGGCCAGGAGATTACAATGTCGCTCTCACCATCTTCTTCGTCAGTTATGCCCTCTTCGAGCCAATTACCAATGGTCTCCTCAAGCGCTTGACACCCCGCATCTTCTTCACGGGCATCATCATCGCGTGGGGTGCCGTCATGACTCTCATGGGTGTCTGTCACAACTACCCAGGTCTACTGGCAGCTCGCTTCTTCCTCGGTGTCGCGGAGGCTGGCCTTTATCCTGGTGTCAACTATTATCTCGGTTGCTGGTACAAGTCATCTGAGATTGGTGCACGCGCCGCCATTTTCTTCTCTGCTGCTGCTCTGGCAGGCTCTTTCGGTGGTCTCCTCGCTGCAGCTATCGCTAAGATGGACGGCATTGGCGGTAGACCTGGCTGGGCGTGGATCTTCATCCTTGAAGGTCTCGCAACTGTCGCTGTCGGTGCCTTCTGTTGGTGGATGGTCTTTGACTGGCCCGACACCGCTCGGTTCCTCTCCCCAGAAGACCGTGTCCGTGTTCAACGCCGCCTCATCCTCGATCGTCAGGGAAGGACCGCCGAAGACTTCGACAAGCGTCATATCTGGGCTGCCATGAAGGACTGGAAGACATATGGCTACATGGTTATCTATATGGGCTCGCTGATGCCCCTGTACGCCTTCTCTCTCTTCTTGCCAACCATTCTCCGAAGTATGGGACATGTAGGCACCAAGGCGCAACTCCTATCGGTTCCTCCATATGCTTGCGCTGCAGCTGCTACTGTCTTCGTCGGATTCCTAGCAGACCGAACCAAATGGCGTGGCTATTGTAATATTGCCACTGTCTGTGTCGGTATCATTGGATTCACCATGCTGATCGCTTCGGCTGACCCGCACGTCCAATACGGCGCTGTGTTCCTCGGTGCAATGGGTAAGTATATAACACTGGCTTCTTGAGGCATTTACTAATCGAGAACAGGTATCTATCCCACCGTCTCAAACACCGTGTCATGGGTCAACAACAACATCGAGGGTTCATTGAAGCGTGCCATTGTTCTCGGTATGGTCGTCGGCTGGGGTAACCTCAATGGTGTCGTCTCGTCCAACATCTACCGTGAGACCCAAAGGCCTCGCTACTTCGCCGGCCACGGCACGGTCCTGGCCTACCAGATCCTGTTTCTTCTAGGAGGTTCCATCTTTATGCACTTTGCACTTAGATTGGAGAATCGACGTCGTGCTAGAGGATCATTGGATGCCAAGTATGCTGCCATGACAGACGAGCAGAAGTGGATCAGCGGTGATGTGCGTCCTGACTTTAGGTACACTCTCTAGAGAACGCAAGGACATTGGTTACATTGCGCTTTGTTTCTATGTTTCTTTGGGGGACTCCTTTAGCAGGATAGCTGAACTGGTATGGATTCGATGAAGGTACGTTATGATTATGTAGTACTCATAGAATACTGTTAGTACTTTCAATGTCTCTGATACTAGAATAATGAACGATTCAGACTTATGCAAGCTTTCTCGCCTGCCCATGATGTATTGAGACCCCGCTCAATTCTGAAGATGCTCGGATGCTTCCGTAAGACTAGACAAGGGTATGAGACAACGACAAGATGTTCCAGCTGAGTCCATATGCTAAGGGTGTCACAAAGAATGGTCGAGACCGCGCCACATCTGTCTATATTCTTGATACTGACCAAACCATGCACTGGGTTATGAGTGCACAAGCTGTTAACAGATATTTGTGCCCTACTTCTCATTGTTCTTGAAAAGCACACCGACTCCATCATGGCATCACTCACTATGCTGTGAAGTCTGTTTGCAGACCCCTCTGCGCTATCAGTCGTTCGATTACAGTATGAATCATGTCTTCGTGTCACTAGAACAGACCCCGCTCTCTCTTTTGATGCAGGGCTTCTAGTGGTATGACTTGAGACAAGTTTCTGGTAGCTAAAACATATGTGATCTAGACAGTTGAGAAGCATGTTTCCTACACATCACCTTAGTTACGTCTTTCGAGAGACTGCTCCGTGATATCCTAAGCTTTGAACCATGTGAACCGACGACAAGACTTTGTGGTTTCCATAGACTAGAAGGATAAGATAGAGCAAAGTATGAAGAAGGTCCAGAATGATGAAAAAAGTCAGAAAAGCTCCGTATTTGTGACTGCTCGTGGTCTCAATCTGCACGGGCAACACCATGACACAAAATGAGAATCAAGTCTAGACAGTTTTACTCGAGGAGGTCCCATCACCGCCATATCTGTAGAACCTCTTCTATCAATGTGAAACAACCTCCCAATAGTCCCTCCTTCACTTTTCCTCCTACCTTTGCCCTGTTACTTTCTATAAGAACCGTCGAATCCGCTCCTCCGTCGGTTGATAAATCATCACCCACTATCATAAGACAGACACTCAACAACTCAACAAAGTCCAAAAGCTCTCAGCTCAATCCAATAAGCCTATTGCACTTTCCCATTCAAAATGAAGTTCTCCATCGTCCTCGCTGTTGCCGCACTCTCGGCCGAGACCTTTGCGTGTGCCAACATTGGGCAAGTCTGCCAGAAAGGCGATCCAGATGTATGTCAGTGCGATGCACCGCTTACCGTAAGTCCTACTATCTTCACTCATCCGTGTATTTGACTGCTTATATGTCGGACTTTCTAGCTGTCCTGCCGAGGTGATCTTGCCACTCGTCCTGGAGGTGGTGAGTGCGCCTGTCGATGGCTCAACGGCCATTTTCTCCGTACCCATAAGAATTCTTCTGATCCAAGTAGCTCGCCGCTTTCACTACCAGCTTGGCGACATTTGTCCCCTGCTCAAACGAAATGGACGGTGCGTCAATGGGAAGTGTGTTCCGGGCCCGCGTCTGACGGCGGTTATCCCTACGCCCACTCCTGAGTAGTCGACACCGCAGGTCAGCAGCCTACCATGCATCTCAACCGGAATGCATTACTCTCGTTTATATAAAGTCGGGCTATTGGGCCAGAGCTAGTTAGAGTTGACAATATGAACCCCAATATGACGAGTTTACGCTTAAGATATTCCAATCGCAATGCTTGGAATGCGCAAAATTGAATTGTCCGGGCTGTAAATAAATAAGAATATGCTCTGGTCTACTTTACAGTAAAGCTTCGTAGGTTTCTAGCACCACCTTTGAAAAGTTCTCCGTGCATGACTCCGTGCACGTACGCCTCTCCCACAAGTGTATATGTCTCATCGCTCTGAGGTCGCAATAGGTAGGGTACCTTCCCTCCAAGCAGGATACAGACTTCGTCTCCTGGCTGCATATCCAGTGGACCTACCCCAACAAAGCCCGTGGAAGTCATAAAAGCACGTCTCGTGTGCATCCGCATAAGGGCGGAGGCATAGAAAGAGCCTTCTACAGACGAAGCCTCTCCGGCTTCCTCTCTTCCAGGTGTGTCAGGACGCTGAATTTTCTCGACTTCCTCTGCACACTGAGATCCCCAACCCTGATATGGCACCGTAGAGAAGAAAGTAGTGCCATCGAGTATCCCAATGGGCGCAGCATCTAAGCGCTCTTCCCCAACCCTGATTCTTGGTGAGCTATCGCAAAATCTTCTGATGCTTTTGAGCCATTGGTTGGCTGCAGCCTGGTTAACGGGTTTTAACCAGTTTGGGTCCCAAGTTGCGCCGATGTCTTTCACTTTATCCACGTAAATACCTTCAAACGTGGCTATGTCGAATTGGGGAAATTTTGGTACAGCGGTATATGTTCCTGACGCCTTGAAAGGGGTATCCCAGGCTGGCTGGGCGTTCGGATGCAGAACATCCATGCTCCAGTCGGGTACCCAACTGGGCAGAGAGGCAAGTTTTCTAGGCCTTTGGCAGTACATTAGAACACCAATAGTGCCTTTTGCTAGAATTTTACAGGCTGTTTCTCTGTACACCTCTTCAACTGTCATAGAGTAGTCTGGGAACAAGTTAAAATGATCCCTGTCTCCAGTCAGGTTTAGTAATGCAAAGATGCGATCCCGCGGATCGGTCGCGTGTACAACGTTGTAGTCGACTTCCAGAGTGAGCGATACCGCGACGACCTGTAGAAGGGGTTGGCCCCATGGACTCTCTCCATCGGGAGTATAGACATAGTGCCATCGTCTTGTGAACAGGCTATAAACATAGCTGTTGAGGGGAGTGGAGTAGACATAATTCAGATTCCGAATCAGCGTCTCAAGCCCATCGACGGACTTCTTTCGCGCGCGACGTTGAACAATACTCGGGGCGTCCAGCGTCTGGTCTATGAGATCGTACTTCACAATCCAGCCACCGCAGGCAATAGCAATACGCCGACCAACGGCAAACTCTTGCATGATCCAAAGACGTTGCCAATAGCGTCGTTGACAGTAATCATGGAACGCCGTTTTAGCAGCTTCTATATCAATGGAACCTTCCTCCTTGTTGCCAGAGTAAAGCTTACGCAAAGCCTCAAGGCTGTTAGAGCGCAGGGCTCGGCCTGTGTCGCGCATCAAGCGGCATATGAGATCGCTGCTCTCATCACCATTACCCAACCATGCGATCACCTGATCTGCTTCCCTGTAGATATGGTGCATTTGATGAACCTGGTGGCTCTTCTCGACTTCGTCAGCTTGGTTGATACACAGCTGATCGACCCAAAGCCATCGAGGCTTTTTGCGAAACCGTAGACGCCGAAGGGCATTCTCGACGGTTGAGCTAATGTCTATTGTCGTCCCACCAATGCTAACCAGCCTTTTGGGGCTGTCTGGAGATTCCCAGACATATGATAAAGCTGTATATGGCTGAGAGTCGCCACGAGCATATTCCTCAATACTGCACACGAGGAGATCTGGTCGATCGGGATCAGAAGTAGGTTCCGACGGAGAAGGCTCTAGTTTGATGAGTCTGATCAAATGGTCAGGATCTTCAAGTTGACTGTACTTGATATCCGAATACATTTCGAGGATTCATTCAAGAATCGCATTAGAATAAGAATAGTTCGAAAGTAAATCACGACTGTCCAATGCTGACAGTTTCTGGCCTTGCCCCACCTTGCCAAGTGTATTTAGGGTTGAAGCTCTCATCAAATACTACCTCAACATCAAAACCATCTGGACTCATGAGGAGTTCCGCAATACTGGCTTGGCACTTAAATAACATGGAGTCCAAAATACGCTAATATTTGTTTAAAACCCCAGCCTAACGCTACTTCCAGGCAAGATGTCCGTTGTGGTGAACTTGCAAAGTGACTGTGAGATCAGTGCTGCTACCCCTGCGCTTATGCCACGTGGGCATCGCATTTTTCTCGAAGCACACGACTCCTGAGGGCATGGGTTAAACATTTCCTGACTTGTATAATCTCTGACATCCTTCTAAACAGTTATCATGTCGCTAGCCGGCCCAAACTTGCCAATCCCATTCTCCTGCTTTTGCATAAACTCCACTGGGTTTTGGTGGTCCTCGACATAGCCAACTCCGCTAACAGCCTTACCTATACGAAATCAGTAAGCTTTCTCCCTTCACATGGGTGTCTTATAGAGTTACGTACAGTAGCCTGCCAATCTGAGGATGTCGTCGGGCAGAGTTCGAGCAATCCCGATGGGAGTACTGAGGACTTCATCCTGGTCAAGAAGTTCCTCTGGTACTTTGTTGAATACTAGCTAGCCCGCCCAAGCGTCATCTCTATAGAGCGCCTTCATATTCCGGTCCTTCCATCTATTGTCACGGCTGTGCTGATTACGACTATTGTGTCAGCTGGCAACGCGTACACTTTTAATGCCTCTCGAAGTCTCCACGCGCTGGCCCTCGAAGGGCAAGCTCCTAAGTTCCTGCGCCGGCTGAATAATAAGTATGCACATTGGGTGCGCTAGGGATATTTAACTGACCTATTCATCAGAGGTGTGCCCTACCTCGCTGTAATCGTCGTGATGGCTCTGGCCTGTTTGGTATTCCTGGCCCTTGGTTCGACCAGTGCCAAGGTACGTAACTGGATCTTGAAGTCAGTGTTTTACGCTTGATTGTGATATATATGTACTGAATCGGTCATCTATAGCTTCTGCACCGCTGCAACTATGCTGTACGTATTTCCAACTGCCGTCTCATAGCTACGATTACGTATCTAACCTCACCCAGGAACTGGACTATCATGGCAATTACATGGATCTGATTCAACGTTGCGATGAAGGCCCAAGATATTGGCAGGGAAACATTCCTACCTATCAGATCCCGCTTCCAACCATACGCCGGTTATTGGGAGTTTTGCTGCGCATTCACTTTTCTGTGGTAAGAAGCCTGATCCCTTATCATGCATGATAGAAGTTGCCGAAACTAAGCCCCGTAGGGTTCAAGGATATGCCGTCTTCCTCAGTGCCAACTGGAGCACGGCAACTTTCATCTTCAATTACAGTATTGTAAGTATAATTTCATGTTCCCTCTTGATTGAGTCTAACAGCCTTCAAAGATTGCTCTTGCGGGTAGTATCGGTCTTGGGTGGAAGTTGCTCAAGAAGACTCGGTTTCATCGTGCCTCGGAGGTTGATCTGATTTCGCACCTATATTTCTTTGACGTTCTCACAGAGCACTACCGTCACGAGCGCGAGGCTGCACCTCAGAACCTTAAGGACAACATTCTTGCAAAGATCTTTTTAGCAAAGAGTCGGCAATCGATAGTGCAGTGGCAGCGGAGGTCATTCAAATTACTTGACTATCATCTTCTCCGAGATAGGCCAAGCTACATCAATCAAGCTCCAATTATCTCCTTCACAACCTTAGAAACATTGTCAGGCTGGCTAACCGTGGGCGCATGTCCGCTGTTGAAACTGTGCGCTGTAACCTCCCTTTCACTCGACGCCTTGACGGCTTCAATCATGCCACGCTGGAACTGGGGCGGGATAATCTGGTCCTGTTCGCACACGATATAATGCACTTCGACATCATTATATCCAGGATGCGTCAGTGGTTCCCGGAAGCTTGGTGTTGAGTGTTCCGGCATCTGCTTTGCCAGCTCAAAAGCTTCGTCGAAAGGTAAGTCAGAGAAAGTATGAGTCGCGTGACCCTTGGGATCAAGAGTCATGTAATCATCCTGCATCCAATATTAGCAACATTTTCTTGAACTGGACGATACAATGCAGAACCTTGAGATCGAGAAAGTCAGGCAGGGCTGATCCAAATGCATCCAAGTTGGAAACACCAGGTTGCAACACGACTGATGCAAGATAGATAATCTTGTCGATTCCTCCTTGCTTTCCCTCAGCCTCGCGAGCCTTTCGTGAAAGCTTGCTGAGACTCTGGGTTCCAGGGATGCCTCCATAGGAATGGGTCATAAGAACGACCTCCTTTCCCTCATCAAGAAGCTTTGAAACAACATTGGTGATCTCGTCGGCATCGTCGCTCATTGTTGCAGGCGGACGATTACCCCGCTTGCCAACCGATGGAGTATCGATCACGCGCGAGTCGATGCCATGTCGCTCGAGGCTCTCTGTGAACACACGATAGTGTTTTGATGGTGCAAACGATCCAGGGATGATAACGACAGTTGGGGTTGCCATTGTTGAGTTTGCTTGTGTGGTTGAAAAGGTATGAAGAGCAAGTAGTTTGCTGAAAGTTGAGTAAGAAAGCGATCGTGCCCTTTTGTATGCGGTTTGTGCTGTTGGTTGGTTGTACGACGTTTGTCATCAGATTGCAATACCCAGCCATCTCCGCGTTTTCGGAGGAGATACGATTTCTTCTGATTGGTAATTTTAGGGAAGCGTTACCTGAATGAGTAAAAGCACCGCGAACCAACACGTTCAGCCATAGATCTTGAGCATGGATCCTGTCAGCCCTAAATTCCTACGATCTACAGAGCCGAGGCTTGGAGTTGGCCGCATCAAACTAAGAGCCTTGAGATACTGTCCATCGATAAAAGAAATACTTATAGGTTTGGATAGATTATTATGGCCACAATAACTTGGTAAACTTTGCATGCTCTTTTCTCTGATTACCCTCGCACCCTGTGGAATCGTCAAACTACATACAGTGCGGGCGCCCGGACTGGCTGATTTCAAGCTTGGCGGAGTCTGGAGGGATCTCCAATCACAAACTCGGTAAGAGTCAATAGAAAGGAACACATCAAAGAACAAAATGGGCTTATCTGCAGCGCTGAGCTGAAGAGTCTCGCGGGTAGCTTTGTTTCGCGTACTGAGGCCATTGATGTACAAACGCTGAAAGGAGGCAGTTTCAGAGTTCGGTAGAGCCAATAGCGGGTGTATCCACTGTCAAAAGCGAAAAGGCCTTGTAACGAAGCCCTTTCACGAACAACTACTCCCCATTGATCGACTCACTTTATTTTTGGCATTCTTAAACGCGTAGCCCTTGGCTTTGTTTTACTCTGCCTTCTTCCAATTGTTCTATTCTCGTTTCTTTATTCCCCAGCGCTCGCCCCTCCATTGGCTCTGAGGCAGCGCCTAACAAAGGCCCAGTTTCGCTAAGCGCCTGGTCTTAGCGGCTACCAACAAACGATTGGGGCTCAATGAATGGCGCTGGTCTCTTTGTTAACGGCCTCGTTTCATTGTCGATTGGCTGTTGATTGCTCAACATGAGAAAGCGCATCAGCGTCTATTGACGGTGTTGATCATTGATGCTGTATAAAGATGTGATGGTCTCCTTCTGTTGGTTCTGTTATCCAAATCACTATCGCTTTACGACTCATCGTCTATTTATTTCTGTCTTTTTCTACACTGCTGTGCAGTTCAATTTCATTCTTTGGTCATCTATCGTCAACACGCGAAACACGCAAATCATCGTCAATAACGACACTTTAATACCAATAATCGAACTTCATCATGGGCAAGTTTGACAACGCTATCAAGGCCGGCCAGACCGCCATCGAGCTCGGCAACACTGCTAGATCCTTCGCTGGAGCGACCTCCGAATTCCGCGCCGCTGATAAGAAGGAACTCGGTCGACAGGCCGGTCGTCATGCCTTCAACGAGGGCGCTGAGACCGGAAAGACCATGGGCAAGACTTGGCTCAAGACCTTCGAGGCAGTACCTCGTACGGTCTGTCGAGGTCTTCAGTTCCTTTTCGCTATCATCGCCTGCGGTTTCTACGGCCATCGCGTCGATAAGGCCCAAGACACCGACTACGGCTTCTCACCAGAATGGTACTTCGCTCTCGTCATCGCTGGCCTCTCAGCCACCACCGCTATTCTCTTCGTCGTCCTTACTCCCCTCGGCGCTCTTCCCTTCATCGGCAGCAGGCTCAAGCTCTTCAAGACCTACCGAGCTTTCGCCTGGGACCTCATCCTCTTTATCACTTGGCTCGTCGTCTTCGGAATCTTTGCTGGCATCTTCCTCCATCGAGACAGCGATGACAAGTACAAGGGCGCTAGCACCGGCGCCATGAAGACAGCTGTTTGGATCGATCTCGTCAACTCCATCCTGTGGCTCACCTCCGGTGTTTATGGTTGCATCAAGACTTTCTTGGGTGACAAGGCAGATGAGATGACGGACAAGGTTGGACAGAAGCTATTCACCAAGAAGCAGAAGCCAGCTAAGGAGGCTGGCTATGCCGAAAGTGTCTGAACACGGGCAAAAAAGTTGTATCGGGGTTTTCTTGTTTTATTACGCATTTTCTTATGTCAGAGCCGGCGTTCTTCGCATCTTTTACATTTAGAATAGATCTATCTCTGCCTCCCGATGAATACAAAATCTCAGGTACTAGTGCTATGTACAGAACAGATACTATCCTCTTGAACCATGATTACAAGCATCCGAGGGTTCACCGCTTCCATGGCGACTCAATCTTAGCCTTTGTCTATTTCCCGAGTCAACTTGTTTCAGAAATGCCATAGTTACAACAGCGGAGACTTACGAGCGGTGCAGAAGCGGGAGTTTGCTTCAGCCCAGTTATTACAGTCCTCCTTTGAGCAGCGCATGGATCCTGCAATCTGCCCATCTCCTGTAGTATGAGTGTTTACTGGGGTCTCATCAATCGTCGCAGCCAACATCGTGATATAAAATGTCCTAAGTGTGCTAGAGTTTGGATGATTGAATATTCTTTAAGAGTTAGTGCCTGAGATACTTGAGTCAACGAGGACAAAAAACATAAATGGGCGAGAAGTTTAAACGTACTTTTATATTCCCTCTTCGCATCCTGCATCTGTGAACCACAACGAAAGACATCACGGTAAATTCACGTCAGCTTCGAACCGGTGTAGCTCACGAAGTTGAAGTAGTCAATAACATCCTAGTCTTTTTCTTTCTCACGATAGCAAGATCAGACGGTCTGCAATTGTTCACGATGCAGAAGACAAAGAATGGAATGCAAAGGATAACATGCTGTGTTGAGTCTCTCAACATCCACCCTTGGCCAAAGTCTGCCCTGGTTCATTCATGCTTCTTGCATATTATGGCTGCCTTTTCGAGAGCTGATATTCACATCAGAATTTTGCCAAACGCTTCACCAAGCCCGCACTCAACCAGCCACGCTTCTAGTGCCTTCATGTCACCACGGTTTCCCCTCGCACCTCTCTTCTCAATCATATCCGTGATCTCCTGCATATCCGAAAAAGCACGCTTCAGATCCACCGCTTCCTCTCGATATCTCTCGCTGACCTAGCCTCATTGTCAGCCTTCCCCATGCCCATTCGCATACTTGACGTACCTTTTTGTGATGCGCTGGGATATCGCCCCAGCTCTCTGTCTTGATGAATTTCATGAAGTCGTCAACCGCAACTGATCCCCCTTCCAGACACAGAATACCTGGCTTGCCAGCTAGGAGAAAGCCAGTGAGTCCGTAGGTCGGCGCATAGTTGACGAAATCATCTCGCTTTGCCCTTGTGCTGATAGAAGGGAAGTAGAACCAGACTCGGACTAATGATGCGTCTGCTATTGGGGTATTTGCAATTTCCGCTTGCTTCAAACTTGAGATATGCTCAGAGGCGGCCTCCTTGACATGCTCGATGACTGAAAGGATATCCTCTTCAGGAATCTCAGTGTTCAACTTTGCAACATCTCCTTTGCTCATCCAATCCGACTGTTGTATCCTGGTCCTTATTGGCGGCGGTTCTGTTAGTTCATCTAGTTTTTGACACTTCAAAGGCACTGTCAATGTGAGCTGTAGAGTTCTTGTTGAAGAATCTTCCTCTTCAACATCGACCCTAAGCTGGAGATTTATGACTGTCTCTGAGAACTTTGATGTGGCTTCCCCGTCATTTTCACACCAGTCCCTCAGCCTGTCAATCAAGTCAGACGCCGTAGAGTCCATGGCAATCGCGTCATCCGCCGCATACATCGCCACGAGGAGGTCAATTTGACCTAATTGGAGCTCCATGAGCTCTTTCGGCAAGGCATTTTGGGACCCCTCATCAGAAGACATGACGACTATAACAGTCTCTCAGCAGCCTGTGAGATCAACAAGAGGACAATACCAATTTAGTGTCGCCGAAATAACAACCACTTTACGCGTGATTTGTAGAAATTGTTACGCGGCTGGAGAAAATTCACCAATCACGTGAGGAACAGATGTCCGACACCGCTGTCGTTATCTTATCTCGAATTCCTTATCTTATCATATCTGGGGTCAGCTACCCTGGGCCGAGTGCAACGACTGCAACAAGAATGGAATTGGCTAAGAGCATTGCGAAGAGGTATAGTATCTTGGACGCCTCTGTGAGACCAAGAAGTTTTCATTTTTTTCTTTCGTTCCTTCTGTTCGGCTTGTTCCGCCCTTCCGCCCTTCCGCATTTACCTACGCCCATTCATCAGCATAAAATAAATAATGGTCATCCGTATTCCAACATCGAAATTATTCTCAGCAAGGCGAACTTGACATGCTAATGATATTTCATTGGACGTAGGCTCTCAAGTCATGTTGATCATTTCCCAAATGACTGCAGCTGCGCATCATGTCTTCCGTTAGTGACGTCTTGCGTAAACATTAAAATGACCGTGTTCGCTGCTTGAATGACGCGGAGATGATGGGCCATCGAGCTAGCAAGCACTACAAATAGTGTAAGCTCTGAAAGCCAGACAGTGCTCTTCATATCAGTCAACTACTCAACAGATATTAACTCAATCACAGCTCATCAATATCAATATGCCTCAATCAAACGTCGGATACCCTTCTTCGTATGAAGGCGGAGATCAGCGCCACTATAGCCGGGAGGAAGTTCGTGAGGAGGGTCGCACTCACCCCAACGTCAACCCTGAGGGCTACCGTAAGTTCTTCAAATCGTTCAATCATTTCCTTATCTAAATGGTTCTAGTACACAAAGAGGGAATCATGAATGAGCTTCAAGAGGCCGACGTAAGTTCTCAATTTCAAGCATAAGATCAGTGGCTGAGCTTCATAGACCAATAGAATAATTGCAGACCGTATGAAGCACGAACCAGGCTTCGCAGTAAGTATTACCAAAGTACTTACTACTCAGGTGCCACACAAACATCTAACTGCTTACCCAGGCCACCATGCACGGCAATAAGCCCTCTCGCGGAGCCGAAATCGACGCTGAGCTCGCACGAGAAGATGCAGAGCAGCTTGAAAAGAAGAAGGGCAAGACCGACAGCATGCCTGGAAAGAAGATGGAACAAAACACCAGCAAGAGCGAGTGGAAGCAGCAGATGGATCAGGAGGAGGAGGAGGCTCGCGCTAAGCATAGCAGCCGTTGAACGAACAATCATGAAGGTCAGGGTATGGGGTGTGTTACTCGTAAGACAAATAGCAGTCAAGAGTAGAGCCCGGTGGATCTCAAAGGATTAAATGATATATGACATGCTTCCAAAAAGTACACTCCATCGAGTGAAATAAACAGTCAACCGGCAACATCAACGTGACTTGGAGATCAAACCCGGGCGCATGAGATAGCCACTACGATGTCGATGTCGTGTATCATTCAGCTCGCGGTGCAAAGGGTGACTGCTAAAGCGTAAGTTTCGAGAAGGGTGACTTGTGATTAAAGTCAGATATCATAAAGCTGGATGATAAGTGAGCAAGAAACTTCACTATCAACAATAGCACCCCAGTTAGAAGGAGTATCACCATTTCCATAGTTCAAGTGTCAGATATTTACATTTTATTGGTTTTATTCGGCCGTGAAGGTATTAGGCTCATACAGTCGTAATCGAACAATCAAAAGTACACGAGTTTATGACTCGCCGTCCAATCTTCTTCAAATCATCCCCAGATGTGGATTCTTGCCACTTATTACTCCATTAAACCATCTCCTCGCCGCGAGCACCAGTGCCGACAGGTCGTCGGGGAATAGAACCGTTGTTGTATCCGTTGCCATGCATGTGCTCAGATCCATCACTCTTCAGGCCGTGGCCGTGTCCATGTCCGAGAGAGCTACCGCCGTGAGATCCCCAGCCAACCTTGCGAGTGAAGACGGCGTCAACGAGCTCAGCACCACCCATAGAGTAGTTGAAAGGAGCGCCTCGGTTAAGGGGGATATGGTTGAAGCGCCAGTCCCAGACAGCGGCGTAGGTCATTCGGTAAGCGGAGAAAGCAAAGATGGTTCCAATGATGGCGCCAGCAAGGACATCGTGGAAGTGGTGATACTTGTCGATAGTGAGAGCTCCACCGATGAGAACGGCACCGAGAAGAGGGGCGTAGGTGACGATGAGCTTCCACATGGAAGGATGGTAGTTGGAGAAGACCTTGAGCTTGGCGTTGAGGTAAAGGTAGAGGTAGACGAAGCCAGCGAAGGCAGCAGTGGTGTGACCACTGGGCATGGACTCAAGAGCATCGTTGATCTCGCTCTTGTCGCCAGTGCAAATATCGGGAGTGTAGTAAAGCTGAAGATATCCCTTGTTGTTGTATCCTCCCATGGTGCGAGCGCGAGCCATGTCGGGCTTGCAGACCTCAAGGAAATGAGGTCGGAATCCACCGATGAGCCACTTGACAAAGACCTGGAAGACGGCGGCGGTGATGAGGGAGTAGAGAAGACCGATGACAGCGTTGTTGACATCCCAGAATGAGCGGATGCGGATCTGCATCACCAGGAAGACGAAGATGGGAACAAGAGCAGCCAACATGGCAGCGGCCCAGATGGGAATGATCTCGCCTCGGAGAGGGTATCCGTACTCGGGCCAGACAATCTCGCCGTCGGAAAAGGTAACGGGGAATGATCGAGCGGGTGCAGGCTTAGCAAAGTAAACCTAGAATATTGTTAGATTGGTAGTTGAGTTTGAAGCAGTCAATACTTACACCAAGACCGATAGCGCCCATACAAGCCATGGTGACAATGTCAAGCCATGTGCCCTTGAGCCACTGTCCAAAAGTAGGGCGCCGCGACATGGGAAGAGGGTCGTGAACCGCCTTTTGGTGATGGCGGGTCTTTGTGCCAGGCGAAGCCCGGTGAGGGGACTTTTCTCGACGGAAGAAGGGCATGTTGGCGATTTGGTGATGCTAGATAATGGTGTTGAAGGAAAAGCCGACCACGGATTGAGTGACTCTGCACCCAAAATTAATAGGCACTGAAAGAACTTTGCTGGCTCTTGTCCTGCCGTTCACAAACAATTGAGGCTGCTTGCCCTTCTATAAATCCGTGGAGACGGCCTGTGACACGCGACATCGCGATTCATGCTGTTGACGTCACTAACGTCATTCAAATGTTTCACGCCTGTACCAATGCCAAAGCAACAGCGATACCCCGTAGGCACCTATCACAGCATGCAACCTCATTTCGCTACGTAAAGCCACAGTCGACGTCATTGCTCAAAATCCTTTTTTCCAGGAAAAAGTGAGCCTTGGACGGCAGACTCATGCCGAGCGGGCTTGCAGGCGGCAGTTTCGTGCCGGACGGCCAATCATAGCCCTGGCAGGTGGACAAGGGATGTGTCTTGGCTTGGGACAAGTGTGGCTTGATTTTGACGATCTGTGTTGTTTTGGCTAATAACACGGGAATGAGCATCGATCGATGCTTGGCCAAGGCTTTTGAAACCTGCTAATTTGTGCTGATGATTCAGTGGTTAGCTCATTGTTATACCGGAGCACAAGTCCGTGATGCTCTGTCTGGACAAAGATCACAGAGTTCCATTGATGAGCAGGTAGACTGAAGTCAGGCTGAAAGGCAGATAACTCTGTCATTGGCCTAGGCTTTACGCTGCACTAAAGCATTAACTCTAAGACGTTAAAATATCCATAATTCAGTTAAACTTTAGAGCTGTAAATAACCTTGAAGCTCAAACAGTCGAGGTGCCAGGGGATGGTGGCTGGTGCTGTGGCTGACCACCTGTCAGATCTCATTAGTCCAACAACGAAGCTGTCCCAAAAACAAGATTTCAGCAATCGCTCAACCAGTCCTCGTTGTATTTTCCGCCAAGTCGGGATCGACTGAATGACAAGAACGTTTTGGGCAAATCGGCGATTTACTACGTTGCAAGTAACGATATGATCGAGTTCAAGCTATATTTCGGAAGCTTATGCGAAAATCATTCTTGGTGTTCAAGTCGACAAGGGCTGAAGTCTCGGCATACGACGAGAGCCCCATCATGGCACCACAAAAATGCTGAGCACTAGGCGAATCACGAGTTGATCGATTGCGACCTTCTCGATTTTGACGCCATGATGCAATAGTTGACGCGCGTCGGAATCCTCTCGCGAGTTCGAGACAACAAGAACAAGATCTGTGAAGAAAACTTGAAAGAGTCACTTGACCTAGGCGTACTCTAGTTAGAGAACAGAACGCCCGTTCAAGTATCACGCAGTAAGATATGTCAACTCAGACATGAAGTAACATTTATTGAAAATAGAATAGAATACATGTTCATCCGAATTACATGCCAATAGTTTCAATCAATGTCCAAAAGTCACTGCCCATTACCCGCTTCTTCACGCTTTGATCGCAAACATTCATCGTGAATCATCGCAATAAGGCACCCATACCACCTACGACCAGATAAATCAAACCCCTTTAAGGCTTCTTGCACTGTCCAGCCTGGATGTTAGCAGGGTTCTCGCAAGTGTTGCACTTGATGACATTGCCAGCTCCCTTGCCCAAGCTCAGGATATCGTTATCGTTGTTCTTCAGGGTGTTTCGAATGACAATGTTATGATTGGCCTTGGGAGCTTTACCACCGAGGGTAATGCAAGAAAGAGAAATGGGCTGTTCGGGAGTAGCAGTACAAGTATCATCGTAGATGAGAATACCAACTCCTGAAGAGCCAGTGCCACGCTGTCCTTCGATGGTGTTGTCGCGAACCAGAGTTCCGACAGCGCTGTCGAGAATGATGCCAGACGAAGTCTTGCCGCACGCAGGAGGAGTTGGTCCAATGTAGTTGTGCACGATCTTGGCATCCTTCACACCAGGGTCGACAAAGATACCGATGCAGTTGTCGTGAAGAGTGTTGTACCCAATGAATGCACCGTTGGTCTGAACGCACACACCAATGAGGTGCGCAGAGATGTCGTTCTTCACGGTATGCACATCGGACAGGTTATCCTGGCAGATACCGATGAAGCCGCCAGCAGTGGTGGTGACGACGTTCTCACGGAAGACGGTGTTGATGGAACCAAGGGTGAGAGCACCATAAGCAGGAGCATCAGTGAGTTTGTTCTTGGTGATGCGAGTATTCTTGGCACCGATGATGGCGATGTTGATGCCAGAGAAACCTTCGACGCTGAAGCCAGTGACCGAAACTCCCTTGACAAACCGCTTGACAGAGGTGACTCGCTTGTGCTCAGTCTTGTACTCGGTTGTCTGGACCTTGTAGCCAGTGATGCAGATACCAGCCTGGAGCTCATTCTTCTTCTCATCCTGGGTGAGACCAGTGCATGCATTGCGCTTGTATTTCTTAGGCTTGGTGAGGCGGACGATGCCATGGGCTTCAAGCTGAATGCCATCCTTATCAATGACGAGTTGCTCAGGGTATTCACCAGCCTCAACGATGATGCGATCACCGGGAGAGGCCTTCTTGATGGCGTCTTGGATCTTCTTGCCGGACTTGACGTAGATAGTGCGACCATATCCGTAGTAGTTCTTTGTGTCGGATGGAGAAGAGTACTTGTACTTGTCGGGGATAGCGCAGCAGTGCTGATCCTTCCAGTTGCACTTTCCGTTTCGGCCTGCAAGAGTCAGTAACAATGTTGGAGGATTCAGATGATGTACTAACGCATGAGTCCACCAGAGGTATCGTGCTCTGAGAAGGGCGAGGCAGCGGCAAGGCCAACGAGGCCTGCAAAGGTGAGGCTAAACTTCATGATGGGTAGTAAATGATTGTCTTAGTCTGCGAACTGGATTATGTGTCTAAGATCTGTGGCATCGACAGACCTTATATACCACCGACACCCAACATCAAAACCATCAAGCCATCGGTCCCGAGAAAAGGGATCAAGGCTGAGGTCTCGCCCTCAGATGCAGCCACTCAAGCTAGTATTCGCTTGCTTCTACCTGAAACGGCAAGAGCTATAGTTGAGGTGGCAGCAGGGCGCAAACACGGCGTCGAATCGTCGTCAAGCCACCTCGATATGGTGTAGGGTGTGAGGCGCTGATAGGTGCTTACTGTAGGAGGGAATGCTTTAACGTTGGCGAGAAGGCGTCGCTATTGGCCCTCTTTTGAAAGAAGAAAACACCATCAAATCATCGTCATCGACGTGTTTGTCTGCATTTAAGAGTCTAAGTGCTCCAGCTTGAGCAGGGATGGTAGAACTTCTGCAATGAGACTGCAGCGAAAGATTAAAGCGGCGGCTTCTCACAAGAGAAGCAGAGACGCCCAATGCTTTCGATAACTCCATATGCAACGACTACAAATTTCGATATTGATCTGTGCGAGAATGTCACCCAAATGAACCCCTCAGTCCTGCTCATCAATATCGCAACGACCAAGCAAGCCACATCGTCTCTTCAATACCACCACACTCGCAGCCACGAATATCCGGCATCGCGAGCACCCGACGACATTCTTGCGGGTAAACGGCAAAACGTAGTATGCCATTGTGTGGCTTCGCCCTGTGCCTGAAGTATGGCGCCAACTTTGAAACTATAATTCAGCCGCAAGGGCTCGATCCCCTTGGACCAAACGGTCTGACAGGGGTAGTGCATTAACCTCCTTTCTAAAACGGAGATCAACCAGCAGATGCTGAGATCGATAGTACCGTCGATCCGGGACTATTACCCCATACTTTTGTTTTATGGTGCATCGTTTGGAAACTTGTTTCTCCCTCACGATCTGTCTTACCCTGCTGGACACTTTCTACCTCGACCACGACCACCATCTTGGAAAATGCTCAGGCATGTTGATTTGAGACCGTCCACAGGGCTGAAAAGGCTCTCAATAAGCTGAAAACTAGTGGCATCCCCGGCAAGTCCATCCTGCTTTGAGTTGGCCCCCCACGACGTGGACGAACCCGAGGCCCTGGAAATGAAGCTGGTGGCTTGGGCTGGATCGCCAAGTTTGATTCTGGGCCTTTTCAGCCCAGCGATCATCGAATGCCAAGGCCACGTTCCTGCGCTACTGAACTCAGAAATCGATGTAAAGAAGCCCTAATGAGGGGTCATGGGACCAACTGCTGGCTCGCAGCGACAGCTATTTTGCCTCCTCGGTTGGGATTGCTGTTTGCTCTCATCTTTGACCAGCCTTGGGCATCTACTACTGTGTGGTCAGTGTCCTTGCTCATGATGTCGCTGATCTTGGTGGATGCTGTTGCGCGTCTGCTGTGACAGTTTGCCTCCGTCGGTGGATTTGTCAGTAATTAGGTATGGTAAATCCGCACATGAGGTCTTGGAACAATTTCTTTTACCCCAAAGGTCAAGACCCTCGAAGTGATGGAGTAACACCAACCTCATCACCAACGCCAATCAGTTCCCAAGCCTCATGTTCGAGGTTCCGCCCCGTAATCTTCCCCGCACTTCTGAGGATGATGATGCAGTCTCTAGATCCCCTCAACTCTCATCACATCGTAAGCAAAGCATCGATATATCATTGTTTTATATCCCAAAAGTCCTGTCATCATGGCCACCACTGCTGCTTCTCTGAGCTCCCATGGAGTTGAACCGGCTGTTCCCGCTCCCTACTGCCATCAACGCCAGCCCTCTCTTAGACACCTCAGTTCATGCGCTTAGCTCCAGTTCCGCCGTCTTCTCCTCATGTCAAAGCACCCTTTGATGCCAGTCGGCGTCTATTTGATCATCCTCGAGCCAATGCTGAGAATGCCTCATCTCTCAATGCTGCGTATCCCAAGCGGGGCATCTTCAAGACAGCTGCGATGAACAATGCTACATCCGACCAGAAGTTCACCATTGATCTTTCGCCTGCCCGTAATGGTCGTATCACGGAGGCCGTGCGCGAGAAACTGGCCGGTGATGGATTCAACGAGGTCCTGGACTTCTTTCAAGACGTCAACAGCACCTATGTCGCCCAAATCATGTCCATTATGCATGAGCTCATCGGCGCTGATCTCAGTCAAGTCCACAAGACTGGCAATCTCAACTACCGTCTATGCGACTACAACACGGATACTGCCGACCCGACGAGTGATAACGGATGCGGCGCCCATACAGACCATGGAACCTTCACCATCATCTTCCAAGACGGAACGTCAGGGCTCGAAATTGAACACGCCGAGCAGCCTGGCCTTTGGGTTCCTGTTCCCGGCGATGCAACGGTTGTCCTTGCCGGTTGGTGCGCTGTGATCCTTAGTGAAGGCAACATCCGAGCAACCCGTCATCGAGTTAGGAGAACGCCTGGTGTTCGAAGACTCAGCGCCGTTCTCTTTGTTGCCCCAGATGTTGAGGCCACTCTTCGACCTCTCAAAGATGTCAAAGTTGTTCGTCCGTTCACTAAGAAGGTCACGAATGGGCAGTCAGATGTTGAGGAGTTCAAAGAGGTCATGGGCAAGAAGTGGAGACGTCGTGAGAGCAATGAGAAGTCGGACGACGGAAATGACATGGAAACACAGGACAGTGAGATTGAAAGATTCATCTGGGCTTGACTGAATAAGTATGAGCTCCGGTGAATCCGATTGGATCGCGAGTATCAATTAGACAATTCTACCCGATTAATCCACCTCACGGCAAGACCGAGATCGCCGCACTCCTACATAGAGCTTACAGGGATAACAAAGACGAACAATTCTTTCATAATACTCAATTTCACAATTCAAATTGCATAACATGAGTTGACCGTTTTGTGTCTTCTTCGTTGGGTAGTATCACTGCAAATCTCTAGCTCTGATAGGTTAGTCCCCGAGCGGTTCCTGGTCCTAGTCGACGTCGAACCGGCTTCTCCTCACCAACATCCTCACGTGTCAAACATCTGCCTCGGCATTGACATATTCAACTTCCTCAACCGGTATAAACAAATTCCCTCAAATCTGACAGATCAATTGCTCTCGTTCTAGGTTGGTATTACTCGACAACTCATGGTAAAATTAAAATCTCTGCTAAAATGGCCTCCCAAGAAAGGTAATTATGTCGTCGCGCGTCTATCACTCATTTCATTACTCGTCCCTCATTTCCCAATTAACCTCGTAGTTTGCTGTACTTGCTTATAGCCCTTGCAAAACTGTCGTCGATGCCTTGTACCAGTGCTTTTGCGTTTCCTTGGAGGTCTTTGGGGACCTTGGATATGACTGCTTCCGAAAAGTCCTGGCTGAGGGCGCGCTGTAGGTTCAGGTTGAGGAGGATGACAGGGCTGACTTGTAGTCTGTCAAAGTTGGGTTTGGCGGCAATGATGGTGTTGATGGTGAGCTCGACGTCGGCGCTGAGCTCAGATGTAGCCTTTGCGACTTGGAGGGTTTCCTCAAGAGATAGAGGCTCAGACTCGCGAGCGATCACAAAGCCCTTGTGGATCTCGGTGAGGAGCAGTGTTGACTTTGTAGTAATTGGCAGAGCACCGAGAAGGGTCTGAGGCCACGTCGCCACAGTCTTGTTGAGAGCAAGCGTGGCATTGGAGATGTTATCAATGGCCGTCGAGATAGAATCTCCAGATGCGAAGGCAGAGCCAGCGAGGGCAATCAAGGGGAGAAGGCTGAGACGCATATTGTCTGAGAGCTTGATGCAACGAGTAATCGATTGGTCAATTGAACTGCAAGATCTGCCAAGGAGAAACTCTTCGTGTCTCAAGAGCTACCCCGTCTTTTAAGTACTGCCCATACCGACACTTCACATGCAAGTTTGGTTTTTCTCTGCTGTGCCTTTCGGAAGGCTGCGATGGTGGCCTCGTGTAATCCCAACCTGTATCCCCGCATCTATCCTCAAAGAGGAACTCAGCCCCGTGTTGTCGACGACCAACGTCTATGAGCCCATATCCCCATGGGGTAATCTCTTGGTAGTTCGCGGGCTTTTTGTCTAAGTGGCTGATCTTAACTTGGCAATCTACGATATTATGTGGGGAGAAATATCAGCGTTGCAAGGATTGCGGCATCTTTGGCCGCGGCTGTCACGGTGAAAAACATGCGATGGAGTTGCATGTGTGCGGATTAGGGCTGTGACGAAATCTGAATTGAGGGATTATGACGACTAATGTGACGAAATGGGTTGGTTACATTGGCTGAAGGATTCGCTGGAGCAAGGGTTCAGCGGCGATGTTGCTCAACCAACTTCTGCAGCCATGGGAACTTGGGCCCGATGAAGCAATTGCCCGCGAAATTAAGCAATTGATTAAGTTGAATGTGGTGTTGCATCCCGATGGTGTGCTTCTTGATCATGCGTGAGAGAAGACGGGTTCTATACCGCATTGCTTATAACTTGATGGTTGACTTATGCTTATTATGCAGGGACTACCTGTGACTAACCCAGACTCTGTCTGCATCTCTCAGCTGACACTAGATAGTCTCTCATGTTCTGTGAGGGGAAGTCATAGAGGTGAGTTGGCTCTGTTCTTTTGAAGATTCAGAATACCAAGGGAAGTGATATCAACTTCTGGGCTGTTAGCAGGCAGAAGACGTTGGTCTCGTTGAAAGTCTGTTTCGACTTTGCAGAACCCTATGTGTCTATGTGGAGTTGAACATCCAGGTCTAAATTAAGAATTGTGGTGGTATCCATAGTGATTCTCTTTTATGCAAGATGGAGATCTTCAGTTGCATCCTGTGGCACATAACATCTGCCTTCCGTATTTGGGACGTCACGACTCGTGCCTTTCATATCAGCCTGTAATCTTCAATGTCAGATTTTTATCTCGAGTTTCTGATTTTGAACTTTACAAAGGGTTCGTTGAAAAGGCTGGTAACAGTCAATGCGATTTATGAGGCACGAAGTATAGAAAGAATGATGTAGACGGATTCCCTCTTTGCTAAGCCAGCAAGCCCAGTCAACTCACATGATGCACAATCAATCTAAAAGTCGAGATCCGTAAGACGAAAGTAATTACGTCTACCGGCAACCAGCCACTTCGGTGAGTTTCCGTAAATCATGATAAACTTGCATGTGAGTCGAAGGATCGGCCTGCATCTCCAGCTGCTGGTTCACAAGGCCGATGCTGTTGGTTATTTACTAAGCCAAAGAGTTGAGGGCAGGATTCTAGGAAATATAGCGCCATTTGAAGCAAAACAGAATACAGCTGCAGGCTGAAAGTTTATCTTACAGACTTCGAGCATTGTTCCTTGTGATTTGAAGTGAGTTCTCCCTCATGTAGAAGCTGATGCGGCCGTTGCAGCTTCAAGGTCAGTCAACTCGGTAGGCAAGGCATGCTATCATCACACCAATCTCATATTCAATACTAATATAATCTTAACACCATGCTGATATTTAACTTAAATTGCTTCCCATCAGCACACTTTTACTTATGACGATTGAACAATTACAAGATAACAGATTAAGGTTTTCGTCTTGGTAAGGCAATAACGCCATCCTGTTCTGCTATACCAGAATCTGGCTCCAAAAGCTGTCTCGAAACTCAAATTTATCTTTATGTTGCATCAGACCATCCTTACCTACAGCGCGAGGTCGTTGGCTTGTTTCTGTGATTAGAGTCGATTAAAAAGTGTAGACAACCTGACTCATGATCTCAGACTGATTTCATGCAAACATGTCAAGCATGACATATCAACTAGAAACTTGATCTCGCTCGTTCGCGGAGATAGTGTAGTCTCTAGATGTCAACTGATAACTACATAAATATCTATAAACAGATATGGTGTTGTCACTGTTGTGAACGATGTCTTAGTTGCCAGATAAGATAAGAGACCCAAGATTAGATTGGTTATCACTGATTAGGTTCTGATAAGATTGTCTGGTGTCATGTGTCAAGTCACGTGAGAAGTAATCAGTTGATGCTAGAGAACAGCCCGAAATCGACCAATTCTTGAAATATCAACTTTGTTTCCGACGGGCAACTGAGATAATTCAACTTGAATAAGCTACAGAACCCAGAAAATTGATAGAGCACATACGTCATTCCAATCTACCAAGTGGATGAAGGTGACGTGTTCAGCTGAACCTCCAGTCCATCAAGCTACCCTACAGCTGAAAGGACAACGACACAGGATGTGAAACTCTCTATTAACAAAGTGTCACTGTGACAGAAAATGCAATCAAATCGCTAATGAACTCTTCATCGCACGGTCTCTATTAGTGCGGTCTGTTGATTGACCGTTCTTGGGCATTTGAAGGTGTTGGCCGACCGAGCCTAACTCACTGAGTCAACTTGCCGTTGGCAGTTCAACACAAGGCTGCAAAAACCAAACACAAACACAAACAGATCACGTCAGCCTGGTATCATACACAGCAGGCAACTGAGTGGTCAACAAACATAACAGCTGGACACAATCGAGTCATGTCCCATCGCCGATGCCAATCTACCAATGCTTATCGACGGATGCATTCAAGATTTCTTCAGTGTAGCCGAGGATGGAGGCCCGCAGCCAAAATGACGATGTTCTCACAGAACCCCATCCTGGTCAAAAGAACAGGCTAATTGCTTCACCAAGTCGAGCCCTGCCGGCAATCAATGCAAGTTGGTGGTCAGCATCGGAATTATCAGATTCAGTGCCACTAATCGCGGTAGTTGCACATCAACAAACATAAGGTTAAACTGTTGCTTCAAATCGTCGTCAAAGGAACTCTATCGCCAAGCTTTGCGTAGCGCACCGCCAAGTCAAAACTGTTCATTCATATCCATTAGACCGAGTCGTCAATCGGATTCCGAGCTCCATCTTTTTCTAAGCTTCAACTCCACCAGCTTCGCTTGCGTCGAGGAGATTGAGTTTTCGCAACTCTTCATTTTGCCATTCTCCATCTAATTACGGAATTTCCTTGTCCTTGTCTTGTTTATTTGCCGCGAGACAAAAAAACCTGATTGTCGCACGATCGGCGGAAAAACTACTGCCACACCAAAACATCAGTGGGGGTTCTCTGGTTTCAGAATCTCACGTCCAAGATGAGTTATAACATTCGAAGTCGCTGACATGAGAATCACGCATTTCGCAAATATGAAGCGGTGATTATATATATATATCACCGGAATCCCGCAGGATGTAATATAAATAAATCCACCTCGCGTGGTCGTTATCTGTACCAAGACTCAGATCATGAACCAAAGTTCCAGGGGACGAAACCCCCTGTAAGGGAGGGCATTACAGGGGGAAACGTTCAGGCCAGTGAACGGTGCAAACGCCAAAGCAGCGCTTCACAAATGACGCAACAACTGATTGAGACACTTGTCCGTGGTTGAGCGACAGGCATTGGCCGGCAGCTTGCCTCGTTTGGGGCTAGACACCTCTGTAACCTTAATCCCTTCAAGCTTTTTGGCCTCTCTTTATCGAAGCCAAGGGGTAAAAGATTGAGTTTTTGAGTTTAGCAGAGCATAAAATGTCGCTTGAGCGTTGCATTTCGGGGCGAAAGGAAGGTAATTTTCCCGTTCCTTTAGGATTCGTGCTCCATCACATTTCAATTGGCGATAGACATTGCAAACGGCGCGTTGAGAATTTTCGCCCGGCCAGCCACCCCAGTTTCTAGCGCTCTTCGCCAAGAGATTAAAGAGTCAGGGGTCAGCGCTGGAGCTGGAAGGGGCAGTCGCACCGCGAGAGAAATGGCGTGAACGATTGGCCTCTTTACTGAGAGAGAGAAGACTTGGCGTTATTGATGGGTTCTAGAACCCCACAACCTTAAAAGAAGCAACCTTAAAGCAGCAAAGTCAGTATCACGAGGTAAGGGGCAGCACCACGCCGTCGCGAGACTATTGACGATAATTCAGCGTGCTAAATCACCCGACTATTTACCTTTGTAACCGCATGGAGACTTGTTTATCTGGCGCTGCTGCCGCCGGTCTCACGCTGATCCAGTTTCTCACACAGTTTTCTCCACCAAAGTGACACCCTGACATGGTTCTCTTTCTGTGGACTGTGGAACCCTACGAGGGTCATGCCAGCTTCTGCTTTGCCGATCAGGGGCACCCGTAGGGCATTTGCAGGCCTGTAGACTCCAGAAGACTTACGCGTACTGTTACCTCATATACTCCTCACAGTAGATCTTTTTAATCGTTTCAAAGTGATCGTCTGTCTGTCTCTCCTCTCGCGCAAACGCAAAACGCAAGTCAAGTCCCTCCTTACGCTTGTCTTGAACTTTCCATTGTTTATCGTCTCAGTTTTTCTTGTTTCTGTATTCCAAGCTTCTGTCTCTCGCTCTCTTGAACAAAACTCCACCAACGTCCATCGCCATTCTGGATTCTTCTTCAGATGGTTTCATCTTCAACATAACGAATTCTTTTTCCGTTTTCTCTTTTTCGTCATTCGCTCGCCGCGCTAGGCGCCACAAACAATCGTTACTCATCACTAAAAATAAAACGTCACAATGGGCGCAGCACTCCCAACTTCTGGTGTTGCGCTTAACCGGGTGCTGGCCCTCGGCTTGACGCTGGTCGTCATCTTGGGCATCGCCATCAACCAGCTTCAACTAAGCGATGATCCGTATCGCTGTAAGGCTCTGCTTAATGATGGAACCTGGTTGAATACTCCTGCAGAGAATGGAAGCAGAGCGCCTTTTACAAACTGGCAGCCGCCTGGATGTATGATTCACAAGTACAAGAAGGAGGAGATTGAGGAGTGCATGGAGGGACGACACATGCTTTTTGTTGGTGACTCTACGACTCGACAGGTCTTTTATGGCATGGCTCGTCTGGTAAGTCGATGATGATTTAATTGTAGATGTGTTGCCGAATTATTTGGTCAATGTTCAACTGCATGACCAACAGTCGCTAACATCACGACAGCTCGACGCAGAAAAGGCCGAGGAAGTACGCGCAAACAGTAAGAAGCACGAAAGCCACGATGTAGAATTCGGCGGTATTCGACTCAAGGAGATCTGGGATCCATTTGGCAACGACAGCGCCGTCGCCCGCAATGAACTCACCCTCTACCACGAAGAGAGGATCAACGAGGTCCCCGTCGAAGAGCAGAAAGGTCCCGCCCTGGCCTTCATGGGAATGGGAGTTTGGTTCGCCGCCCGCTTTGAGAAGGAGGAGTCCATTCCCATGTTCAAGGCCGCCTTCAACAACATGTCCGAACTCGCTTCCAACATGGACTTTGAGCCTTTCGGTAGCCGACCCATGGACCCTCGCGATGGAATTGGCAACGAAGTTTTCTGGGCGCCAATTGCCCCGCCCTTCTACGACATGCTACCTGATTACCGCAAGACTGGTGTCGCTTCTCAGCCTGGTGAGGTCGAGGAAATTGATGAGTTCCTCAAGACACAGGAACAAGAGTCTGGTATTCCCATGTTGTGGTCTTTCCCCGCTTTGTCGTATGACCAGCAGGATGCTATCGGCGACCACGAGAATGGTTTCCATGTCACCGACAGTGTTGCTGAGATGAAGGCCCAGATCCTTCTCAACCTTCGATGCAATGCCAAGCTCGACATTCAGAAGTCTTATCCTTACGATCGCACTTGCTGCACTGACTATGGACAGAAGTCTTTCATCCAGATTATCCTCGTCACTCTCGGTATTCTCTATGTCGGCGGTGCTGCCATCACCGAGATTATTGCTCTTCGATCCAGCGAGGCTCCCAAGTGGGCTATCTTCAACCTCGATGTCGCTACCTTCGTTACAGGTCTGCTTGCTTGCTACTGGGCCGACCGAACACAGTCTTTCGCCAAGGGTTCCAAGGAGTACAACATGTTCGACTTCAATCTCATGTCTGCTCTCTGCTTCATTGTCGGCTTTGCCTTCATGACCAAGTCCAAGCCTCCACCTCCTCGACCTGGCGCCGCTCCTGCTGCCGCCCCCGCGACTCTCGACGATGCGAAGCCTTTGTCCCGTGACCAGACTGACGAGTGGAAGGGATGGATGCAGGCTCTCATCCTCGTGTATCACTGGACTGGTGCTTCGCGCGACCTCAACATCTACGTCGGCATCCGTCTCCTCGTTGCCGCCTATCTCTTCCAGACTGGTTTTGGTCATGGTGTTTTCTTCAGCTCCAAGAAGGATTTCTCCTTCAAGCGTGTCGCCGCCGTTCTCCTGCGCCTCAACCTTCTCAGCTGCGCGTTGCCCTTCTTCATGAACACCGACTACATGTTCTACTACTTCGCTCCCCTCGTTAGCTTCTGGTTCCTCATCATCTATGCCCTCTTTGCAATTGGCCAGAAGTACAACGACAACACCTGGGCACTCATGGGTAAGATTGCTGTTTCTGCTGCCATCTGCCCTGGAGCTATGCTGTGGACTCCTGTTCTGCAGTGGGTCTTCGATGCTTTGAACATGGTCTTCCGAATTGAGTGGGATCTTCACGAGTGGCAGTTCCGCCTCGGTCTCGATGGTCTCATCGTCTACGTTGGTATCATTATGGGTGTCGCTTCCGTACGAACAAAGCTCTACAATAAGATCCTCACCCAATCTTACGGCCTGGCCGGTGTCGCTGGTATTCTCTCCATCCCTCTGTACTGGTGGGTTGCTGTCAGCAGCGCCGAGACCAAGCAGGATTACACTGCCCTTCACCCCGTCTTCTCTTTCATTCCCATCATGGGCTTCATTGCTGCTCGCAACATGTTCCCCGCCGCCCGTACATGGTACTCTCGAACTTTCGCCTGGATCGGCCGATGCTCCCTCGAGACCTTCACTCTTCAGTTCCATATCCTCCTCGCTGCCGACACTAAGGGTCTCCTCCTTCTCGACATCTTCCAGGGTGACGGTAGCCTCCTCTGCGACCGCTGGAGGTCTCTGATCATCATCGTTCCTGTTTTCTTGTGGATCAGCTCCCGCGTTGCCGACGCTACTGGTGGAATGGTCAAGCTCTTAACCAAGGACTGGGCTGCCCAGGAGCAGGAGGAGCAGTACGATGTAGAGGCTAAGGCTGATGCTGAGCCTCTCATGAGCGGCAACATGCTCTCTGGCTTTACGCGGCACATGCCCTCAAAGTCCTCATGGGCCAACAACCTCAAGCTCCGCATGCTTGGCCTCTTTGTCCTCCTCTGGACACTCAACCTGGTAAGTTCCTGTCCGCTATTTCTCACTGCAGACCATCACTAACATTTCTCAGTTCTACTAGACATTCATCACATAGCATCGGCATTAAAAAAAGGCGTTTGGAGTAGCGAGTACCATTGACGACGAGTCAGCTGGGGGACATTCATTCATTCCGCACGAAACGCGTGTTGGCTTTTCTTTTTCACGGGCGCATTCACCCGACTTTTGGACATGACATACATTCAAGGCTTATCAATAAGCTTATGCATAAGCCTACACGGCACGACATAGATTTTATATCGTAATGATAGATTTTTACATGATTCATACATTATTTCTCTGCATACCTACTAAGAGTGACTCCATGCAATTCCGATGTCCGATCTGAGCGATGCGACTTGGGATTGGATCTTGATGTTTGTTAAGGCTAGCAAAGCATTCGTGGAGTTTTGCACGAGGCGAAACAGGGCGGGTAGGTCTCTGGCTCGGCACAGACATTTCATGCGTCGAGACGGTCGCGGATGTATTACTTGTTTCATCTAAATTGGGCACACTTCGCTTGGGCCAAAGTTCCATTCGAAGTGAAAACTGATCAACCTCACGCGGTTGTATTGGATGAGATCCCTGTGGTCTTGTAATCTCGCAGAATATGGTCACTCACGGCAGAGGAATGCACTTTGGTGCAATCTCACAATCAGATTACTCAGGTCTGGCCAAGCGACATTGTCTGCAACCTCTCATTGCAACTTCATTATCATCTAGCGACACTAAATTACAGAGTAATTTCCAATGTCAAAACTGCCATTCCATAGCGATGTTTTGCCTGGTGCATATCAGTTATTGTTATCTTTTTCTCCAGATTCCAGCCGCCAGGGAGCATACTAGTGGCTTAACAGATCTATGTACATATCCGACCAGGGGTGTTAGCGCCCTAGCATTTCACCTTCCACCATAATGACGTTGGGACGAACATCAGATTAAGCGTGTTCCAGAGAATCATGGACATTATGAGCTAATGATATACAGATTCTTTGCGAATCATAGTAGTTGGATATCTATGACGGTTCTCCTTCATCTCGTTTGCCTACATCACGGCAACTGTACTTGTACTGGCTTGACTTCACCTTTGGTGTCTTCCATTGACGCGGTATATCTAAGCATCAAGTCCAGAGCTTTTGCGAATTGACGACTTTGCAAGCATTAATTATGGATTCCTGCGTTACTTCAGCACTGTCTAGAACGACAAAGTCGGATATCCCAATAGTCGGCACCCGCTCTACCGTCGATGAAGAGGTAGCAAACTTTATGAGACAGAACCCAAGCCTGCACATGGGTGGCAAAGACGACTTCACAACAAAGCGAGAAGAGCATCTAAAAGTGGCGCCGTCATTATTGGAGTTGAGTATCGGCTTGCACTAGAACAGAGCTTACCGATCCAACTGGACGAGTATGATTCAGTGATCAGTTGGGTTCAAGGTGATGAAGGGAGGAAACGAGGTACAAGTCTTGATAAGGTTTGTGGAGGCGATGACTCTGCTGGTGGAAACATGACTGCCGCTGCGAGTCTTCGTAGAAAGGACAATAGAAAGAAACCATGGATGGCACAGCTCCTTTTGTATCCTGAAAAAAGACTTCACTTCAATACTAAAGAAGCTATCGAGAACAGCTCTGATAATATCTAGAGTGTAAGTTCTCGAACAACGCAAGTAACCAGAAACTAATAGTGCCGGGATGTAGACAATGTCATCTTCTCTTTCGCTGATCACTACGCTACTCGTAGCGTGCCAGCAAGTCACCGGTACATCTGTCACCGGGAATGCAGAAGTCAGAAGACTTGAAAGACCTACTACCTGCGGTAGTCTTCACTTGTGGCTTTGACACTCTTCGGGACGTTGGGGTAGAATATGTGCACCTTCTTCAGCAAGTGGGTAACACCGTATACTGGAGCCACTTTGACAGCTTGACACATGGGTTCTTGCAGGAAGAGGAGATGAAGACTACGAAGTTGGTTGGAATGGATTGGCCGAGAAATAAATATTTGGATGTCCTATCTCCCTGAAGCTAGTTGAATGAGATTGGGTATATTGTCTGTTCTCTCAAAGCACACTAGTCTCTTGAATAACCCGCTATATCACTCATCTTTTGACCCAGTCCTTGAACCTCGGCCATCTCTTCTTCTTACCTTGACTCGTTGTCTTGTTTGTATGTAAACTCTGCTGGACAGTTGCCGCGTCTTGGCTGGAAGCTTCAACGCTCGGGACAGTAATGGATGTCGTCTTACTCACGATTGAGCCAGTTGTTGAAGCCTGTTGGGTCTGCTCGCCGCTGGTTGTCGATGCAGCACCGTCATCATCTGCCTGTTTCGGTGCCGATCTCTCTCCAGTTCTTAGTCCCAGAACAGTGTGACCGAAGATCACAGCCCCTTCAGGGTCAAGAGATCCTAATTGTACAGGCTTCAAGCCATGCGGTATAGTACGGGACCACCATCTTTTGGTAAGGAGTTGGACAGGGTTGTGATTGCACTCTGCCCCAGCAGTTTGGGCATCATTGCTACCTTGCCTCTTGAGACACTTGCAATGCAGAGATGCTTCTTTGGCAGTTACCCAAGTAATCTTCTTAGTCAGTTCACCTCCAATGAGGCCGGGCTCCATCCTAAGGAGACGTTTCTCATGGAGCATCTGCATTGTTGATATGGAAGCAGCAAGATAGTCTTTTCCTGCTGGAACCGATCTCCAGCTTGGGCAGATCAAATCAGGTTCATCGGCGCCTATAAGATCTCCAAATCCCCGCCCGAAGAGGGCGGTTATGCCAATAGTCGGTATCAAATCGATCCATCCGTGTCCCCATGAGTTGAGATGCTGAATACGCGGGTAAATAGGAACTGAGGGATCAATGATATCCACGATGTCGAAACCGACAACATCCCGACGTGGGTCCAAGGTCTGAGAGATCTTGATACCGTCTTGAGATGCCGCCTGGGCTTGTCGATCAATCAACTTCTCTATCGAGTGAAGAATTGTCTTTACTCGCTCTTCGAAGGTCGAATACTTGGTAACAGGTACACCATTCGGGTCGATGTGCTTGTTGACAATGTAAACATTTAATGCCCTGTTTTCCCAACTCTTTAAAGTCTGAAGTGCCGCTTGGCGACTTCCAACACCTGGCCAGTGGTCTTTAAGCTTGCTGGGATCATAGACCCAGTCGTAGGCTGATTCGGGATCATTGATATCTAGGTGAAGTGAAATGCGGACGAGATGGAGCAGGGCAGAAGCACCGTCGACAAGCCATGCACGACGTTCTTCAGCATCGTAGAAAACGACTGGTTGAAGTTTGACCCAATTAAGAAAACTTGGGTAGTCTTTCTCTCTTTGGAGCCAAAAGGGTTGCTCCTTTTGTTAACGTCGAGCATGAGACCAGCAGTAACAGGACTTCCACCTTCTATGTATAGCTTGTCTACGACAATGGATGCTGATGCCTTCGGTAGACCGCCAGGTTTGATCATGTGATTGGCAGTAGAATGTCCTGTTCCTTTGAGTCAGTAATCGGATATTTGGTATAATGACAAACTCATGAAGAAGTTTTGGCTCACCACAGAAGTCTGTTGCTTTAGTACACCATCCAACAATGTGACGTTTGCCTTCAATACACCGAAGGGACATTTCGTCAGAAGGTCTGATATCAATATGATCGAGCCTCGGGTCGAGGTATGAGATTCTCTCCTCAGGCTTTTCACTGACGAGGAGATGCCATACCATGACATCAGCAGTTACTTGTGTAGCGACCATCAACATGTTGAATCCTTTTATTACCAGTCTCTTGTCCCACTGGACAACCTCGGAAGATCCCACTATAGATGCTGCATATCGCAAAGGCACCTCGAGGCCAGACTTTGGCATTGAGCGTCGTAGTATTGGGTAGCCACGCACTATGCTCAGAGAGCCAAACAACCGTTCCCAGCAGAAGCCTTGGCTTGGGTTATAGGCGGTTGCGGGGCGTGTGGAGAAAGAAAAGGAGCAGTTTCCCATAACGGCAGTGGTCCTTCCACTGTTGTTCTTAAAGGCTGTGGCGGAGACATCGGTAACGCATGGCCTGATCGACACAAAGTCGGTGTGCTTTTGAAAGGCCGAAGCCAACCAAGCAATCTGTTCACCTACCTCAGAAACAGCGTAGTAGCCGCCCCTGGCTGAGATTTCGTATCGAACACTTCTGTTATGGCCTTGGTGTACGGTACCCATTAGAAGACAAAGATTGGAATAATTCCCACGAGTGGTGCCAGGCAGGCTTTGTCCAAATGCCAGATCGAGCACTTCTTAGAGACACACCATCAAATTGACTAAAAAACCTTTCTTGGTCTGAGAGTAGGTCTTGTAACAGGGAAATAATGGCACCGCCAGACTGGGGCCATGTTTGGTCCATATATTCTGCAACACTTGTAGCTTGCGCTTCGTCCCATTTGCCTGTCAAGCAAAGGATGTTGGGCAAGGCTTTGTCAAAGGAGGAAGAGATCCCGGAGTGTTTCATTATTCCAATCACATCCAATGTCACAGAGTATGTCATTTCGAAAGCGATGGATGCTTTCTTTCTGCTCATTTTGTGGTGCGGAATGCATTCTTTCAACTTATTTCTGATCGTGGTGCCGATCCTATCCATCAGGCTAGGCTCTTCGGAAGATAGCCGACTTTGCTGGCTGATCTTTGTCAAAAGCCATCGGTAAGCCTCGGATCCTTGGATGAACCGTCTGTACTGGGGCATTTGTGAAAGATCGTTCGGTTCTCCAGATTTGACGTCATTTATCCAGTCGACGATCATTTCTTCGGCCTTTTTGAAAGGGACTGTGAAAGTTTCTTCTCCATTCTCTGCCTCCGAGTCCCCGAGACTCTGGCCAGACACGCTCTCAGCTTCTTCAAATGCGGGTACTTGGAAGTCGAGGAGGTCGACAATATTCCTGCCAATAGCCATGAATCGCGAAAATATTAATATTCAAAGCCATAATGTGCTTACCTCCTCTTTCTGTGGATTATGACAGAAGTCTCAAGTTGAAATGGGTTTATTGACTCCTCATGCAGCTTCCACGCAAAGTCTCTGAGCGTTTGGTCGAGAAACCCTTGCCCAACGTCTTTGAGAGTTGTTCCGTCGGTAGCCGCTCTCACATCCTCAGCGAGTTGATCTATGAAGGCCTGGAAGTATTGCAATTTGGGGTCATCAGAGAGCGTGTCAAAAGAATACGTTGTAGCTGTATCGAATTCAGCGCTATTTTCGGAATTGTGAGGAGACCACTGATTCTGCTCGTCTTTGTGATGACTTGATGATGTATTCTCCACTTCTTCCGCTTGGCATTCTGTTGTCTGCAGAGAGGCCAAGACCCCCTTTGGACTTCGGGGCTTATGCGGCAGAGAAGTAGGAACAGTCGAAGGACGTGTCCCATGACTCTGGACTGTGAAGTCAAAAGTTGATGAATGTGGGCTATTCGTGATGACCTCGCTTTGCACACTACCATACTCGTGAGGGCTCTGGGTCTTAGTAGAACCAGGGTCGTGAGGGTAGCTGTCCGCTGGCCCTGCATCCTTCATCGGACGGAGGTGGCCCATGGCCTGCCGATCACCAAAGAGATCCAAAGTTGCAAGATCAATAGTCGGATGATCCAATAGCTGATCTTGCGCTATAGGCTCTTGGAGAGAGATGTGAGAAGCGAGATCTGAGAACGACATTGCTGGTCCATGGACAGAGCCATCCGAAAGCGTGACGCTAAACATCAACGTGAAGTCATTCTCGTAGACCTGCTCATTTCCAGATACTGCCGATACAAGCTGCACAAGGAGCTTCTGCTTCTGCGACTCGCAGATGACCTGGTATTCTCCAAGTTCCTCGAATGATACCATCCGAACATGAGAGGGTGCAATCGGCATAGTAATGAACTTTTTTAATATTCGAACGGCCCCTCGATGACTGTAATTTGGTGGCATGTAGAGCAGGGGAGTTCCCTCCCCACGAGCGAAAACGATGTCATAACCTGATCCCTTTAAGTTCACCACGTAGCCACTGTCAACAGTGACTTGAGCCGTGATAAGACGCTTTAGCAGCCGTGATAGTGTATTTCTCACGGCATGGTCGTTGTCGAGAATCAGGATACGGATACCGCTTTGACTATCGCAACAAATTAATCTTGTGCATCTAAGCACTGGGGTGCCCTCACCTATTTGCTTGCGGATCGCTGGGACCTCTCTTTACATCATCATCACCAGAATCATCAGACAAACCCCGTCTGTAAGCGAATGAATCTATTGGTGCCGATTTGTAAGAGGGTCTGTTTTGGTTGATGAGAAAATTCCGTCCTGAGTTGAAGAGAGTTGCGCGCTCCTCCTCATTGACGCTTTGAGCAGAGCTGAAGGATGTGAACGAGCTCAGTGACTCTGCCCCAGTCGGCCCGTCTGACGAAAAAAGGGAATGTTCTCTGTCTCCTTTTGATTCATCGTATTGGTTGACTCCAAGTATATTAGTATTGTTTTTAGCCAGAAACTCTCGGTCCAATTGAGACCAATCGGCGGCATAAAATACCGACTTCTGCGATGGAATCAACTCGCTGTAAGTCCATGCGCGACTCGCCCACCGACTCTTGTGAGCTTCAGATGAAAATATTTCTTTATCGTCATCCTTGATATTTGCATTGGGTATCTCGCTAATATATAGCAAACGGACCCCTGCATTCAAAAACATGAAGTGAAGCTTTTTCATGGTCTCGTTCTTCTCGATCGCGTCTTCTGCGTTGATACAGACATTGTCCGCCCAAAGCCACTCGTAGCCCTGAGCAATGGCGGCCAGACAAGCGTTGATGATCTTGAAATATCCAGGTTTTGAAGTGTGCTTGCTTAAATCTTCAAAGTCTTTGAAGGTCAGCTCGTGTTCGGGCGCATACCAGCAATAAGAGAGGACCGCGTATGGGGGATAGGCAGATGCGTCATCAAATTGATGTAGTTTCAAGGTCTCGGTGTTGAGGAATCTCATGGCTGATTGAGGTGCTCCTCGAGGAGTTGGCAAGGTGTGGAGATGGCTGTCGATGGCTTAGGCTGTATGGGCTTTGGTGGTGTTGTTGCTGAGCGGGATAGCCGACCTCATCATCTGTTCAAGGCTTGACGATAAGACAGAAGGAAACAAAGCTAACAGGAAAGGTCATCTTTGCGATAATTACGAAGCGGGGTAAGCAGACATGCACAGCCTGATTTTGCGAATGCTTGAAGTTGGTGGTTGGTTGGAATTTCAGCCGCACTTTGAGATTTCTGGGCATGGGTTGAAGCAGCCTGAATCGAGGCGAGGCATATTGGAAATTTACGAGACAAGACCATAGACAGCTCCCATTTGACCAAAGTGTATTAATGAAATAAGATAGCTGACGACTGAATTTACACTACTCCATGCGGCCGACATACAGCCCTTGCATGAATCGACCATTGCCATACATCTCCTCCATTTCCGCATACCACTCATCATTGTCCGAATCTTGCAGAAATCCCTCAAATGCTGCGTCGTCTGTACTCGGGTTAATCAAACATTGTACAATATGCTTCATCTGAATTGCTCTCACCATCTGAATCACTAACCCACTCACAAGGGTTCTCGGCCACTATTCTCTCCTGGTTGTCCGGAAGTAAGAGTTTGGGACGATCCAGGGCGTGAGGGTCTTGTGCTTCCTTGATTGCCTTTTCGCTTACGGAGCCGCCGCTTCGCTCGATTGAGATCAGAGGACGGAATGTGACGGAGACGATGTAGTAGTCGAGTTTGTTGGGTTCCGTTTCATCTCGAGTCCAGCGTTGACCGTGCCAAGTGCTTGAACCGCTCCAACGACTTACTTTGCGGTTGGCATTTGATGTATCTGCGTAGAGAACAACACCATCGGGCCGTTTGAAGAACCATGCGTCGACCATCTGCTTGGCGATCTTGTCGACCTGATCCTTCTTCCGATCGAGGGACTCCAATTCAATGCAGAATTGAGTCGTACTGGGAGTCAGCACTTGACAAACACCCTCGATCCAGTTTCCCTCAAAGTGAAGGGGCTCGTCATCCTCCCAATACCACCAATCAGTGTGACGAATGGTGAGCGTCATGGTGCGGGGAGCCAGATGGGGCGTACGTAGGATGTCTTGCAGACCGTTATCTTCGAGTCTGTACATCTGAGCAAAGACTCTCAGTCTCTCGATCTCGACATTGTCTGTGCCTAGAGATTTGGAGATCTTTGCGAGCATGGGGCCCAGAGGTGGAGGAGCTTTGTGAGGTGGAGGAGCACGATCTTCACCTGTAGCCCATTCTGTGTGCTCTCGTAGGAGAAATGGCTTGAACCAAGTTTCGCGGTAGATGGCGCGACATGTCCGAAGAAGTCTGGTATCGGTTGATTGAGCTGCTAGATAGGAAGGGCGAGTGTAGCATGTGTTTTCTCTGAACTTTTTGGTTGGTGTTGGGTCCGGGTGATCCGTGAGGACATAAGAGAAGATACTGTCTCTGACTTCTCCTGGAAGCTTGGTAAAGAGAGGGCTTTCATCTTGGGGGATTGGGGCCTTGGAGAGGATATCTTGACGAAGTAGCGTCGCCATTCTGGTTGATGGATAGAAGCCTAAGGATTGAAAGAGTAAGGCGGGCTTATCTCATAGCTAAGTTGCGTATTTATCGCATTCCCCAAGTTAGGCAACCGTGCGGGGCAGACCTGGGCTACCCAGTCAGCCAAGATAATGAGGCTATGTTGCCTAAGCCAATAGACATTTCTCGGCTGAGCCAACAGTGTCGGTATGGTTACAACGAATAAGAACTATCTGCGGCTCAGCCTGCATGCGACAAACTGAAACACTCCCCTCAATCCACTCCACGTGGGTCGACATTCACGGTAACAAGGGCCAAGTATTCGGAACATCATCTATTCAGAAATCCCCGAGATATATAGGCTACGTTATTCATCTATCATTCCACATTTAGTATCCATAAAGGTTGACCTGCTCAGAGGTGGAAGCGCGGATGCGGCGGTTCTCGCGGATCAAGAGGACGCGAATGGCCCAAGCGCAGGCAATTGAGCACAGAGCAAAGCCAGCAGAGGCACCGAAACCAATTCCATATCGAGGAGAGTCACTCTTGGGCCAGAGGTAAGCACCATAGATATAACCGATCTATGCCAATGTCAGTATGAGTGCCGAAACAAGAGAGCTGGGCATCTTACCTGTCCACCGACGTTGGTCATTGCCAGGACAACAGCCTTCTTCTCCTTGGTCTGCGATAGAGTAGAAGAAGCCCATCCGATGATGACAGAGTTGACAGCATAGGCACCCATGGGGAAGATGAAGCAGGCGACATAGCGAGCAGCAGTGTTGAGAGTGCAGGCAGCCAGAACGAAACCAGCAACGGCAATAGATAGTCCAGCGGTGATGTGCCAGGTACGCTCATGCATGCGTCCAGAGTTCCAACCGAAGAGGATACCAGCTGCACCAGCGAAGATGAAGGGAGGGCAGGTCATGACGAGGGTAATGGTAGTGTTGAAGCCGAGAGTCTTGATGACACTATGACACTGTTAGCGTGGACACGAAAAGCAAGCTAGGATCACTCACGTAGGGAAGAAGGAGTTGAAAGAGCATGCAGAAAGATGGAAGTTCTGCATGAGGCAGAAAAGCCATGTTCGCTTATCAGCGCAAGCCTGCTTCAAGCCCTCCCAGGCTGAACCGCCCTCCTCAGAGTCATAGGCCTTGTCCTTCTCCATGCGCTCGTGAGCAAGCTGCTTCTCGCGCTCGTTGAGCCAGCGGGTGGTGAGGGGAGTGTTGGGAAGCATGAAGAAGCCGACGATGGCGACAAGAGCAGTAGCAGCACCCTCGATGATGAAGAGCCTATAACTGTTAGATGGTTCTGAAGATAGAAGCGAGGAACTCACCATCGCCATCCTGCAAGACCGGCCTTTCCATCCAAACCTGCAAAGATACCAGCGGCAATGAGACCCGAGAAACCAGTGGCGAGAATCTGAGCGCAGTAAAGCACTGCAATACGAGCCGCGACCTCTGTCTAACATTAGTATCTTGCATACTTCTCAACAGTGAGAAACTGACCTTTGCGGGTGTAGAAGATGGAGAGCATGTAAGTGGCACCGGGATAGAAAGGAGCCTCAGTGATACCTAGGAAGAATCGGCAAGCGACCAATCCACCATAGTTCTTCACAAGAGCAGTGCAAGCAGAGACAGCAGCCCAAACCAGCATCCAAGCGCTCATGTAAATACCAGGCTTGACCTTGGTGATCAACATGTTGCTGGGAACCTGCATAAGAACATAACCAACAAACAAGCTAAAATCATCAGCATTATTCCCAAAAATTGACAGTCGCGTCAACATACATCGAAACAGTCGTGTTGAACTCGGTACCAGTCATGTTGAGATCCTCCTCCAAATTATTTAATCGTGCTTGAGCGATGGCATTTCGATCGACGTAGTTGAGGAAGTACATGACACAAAGACAAGGCTGTAAAATGTCAGCAACCCAGCCAAGCATTGGCGCGAAGATCACTCACCATGATCCAGAGATCAAGCTTCTTGACTAGGCGGATCTCTTCGGGGTCTGTCTTCTTGGCAGTACCCGTCCAATCTCGCTCCTCCACCTGCGAAGGCTTCTCATCCTCAAGAATGCTATTAACATGCGCGAACTCGGGCGCCTCACGCTTCTGGTCAGTAGTGGTAGCCATTATTGTTCTTGTTCTTGTTGTGTTGGTGAGTTTGGCGTGAAGAAGAAAATTTTCGTAGAGGTCCAGGCTCTCTATATTTATGGGTTCTGGACGGTGATCTTCGTGGGGGGCGGGGAATAAACCTGGGGAAATGGTGGTAAACCTGGGGTAAATGGCCTCCGGAGACAGAAGTAGAGGCCGGAGGAAGGAAAAGGTTACTTTCAAGGTTAATTTGGGAGGGGAGAGTGACGCTAATGACAACTGTGTAGTGTCTCATTTGGTGCTGCATGGGGTTATGGCTGTGGAGATGGTGAGTGAGACTGGGGGAACCATTAGATTTGATGGGATGACCGATGCGACTCTAGATCCAGTCAAGAATGAAGAGATGGTCATAGCGATTATTGCATGCCAATACGCGCATCCAACCCGAGAAAACGGTAATTGTTAAAGCCTTTGTGTATGATTTCTCTGTTATCAATCTGGCTTCAATCTCATTGCCATCATTACTGTCCGCTGTGCATGAACTCCAAATTTGCAGATCCGCGCTACGAGTCATGTAATTTTTACGCATAAAGTATGCTTAATCCAGCCCTGGATCATCCTCTCAATCACACCACCATTACTTCCTACCTCCGAGGACAAATCTCATCGGCGCTACGAAACGGCACCTCTCCGTCACAGATCTAACTCAAGATGAGATAAGAGACAAACAGCTTCCCGGAGTCTACTTTTTGCGCCGCGAATTTGCTCTCACAGCAAAGCTATCACGCAAAATGGTTCGGACACTGATGAAGCTCCGATGGTTCACGTGTCGCGCTACGTGCCGGAAAAGGGTCGAGACTCCAAGAGATAAAACGCCAGGCTTGGCTAGATCTCTTGGGGTTGTTTATCTGGAGATTTCTTGGCTGCAGGGAAATAATGGGGTCCTGGGGTAGATTGGGTGATATTTATAAGCGGTACTTTGTTTTCTGAAGCCGATGGTTGAGAGATGAATGCATGGGTTTATTTGTTGAGGCTGCTCCACGATGTCAGCACTCAATCTTTGTGCCCTGTGAAAACTCAATTGACCAGCCGGCACCAGTTTTGAGCCGCCAGTGTTCGCACATGCCAAATGCCTGCCCTAATCGAAGAATAGAGAAATGTTTGTTATCTCTTACGTTTCTGTCAAAATGGGAGGCTTTGGAGTCATAGCAAAGCTTGGCAAGCACCAGTCACGGCATCACGACCCGGCCTGGCGAGACCGGAAAAAGATTACCGAAAATGCTAACAGACTCAACGAAGCCTGGGCTACCAGTTGTGATATAAAAGAATAGAGATTCCATCTGATATCTATCTATAGTTCATCAGACACGCACATAATAATACAAGCTTAAAACCAGACGCAAGATGCTGTCTCGTGGGCTTTTCAGTGGCAGGCTTTTCCGTATTTGCGCAACCTCGCATAATTGTACGGCAGCGGTGCCAGGAAACCCGCTGCAATCGATACCAGAGCAGCAAGCCAGAATGACGGATCGTCAAGAGCAACTTGGCCACCCGTCAAATAGTAATCCACTGCATTTTCAGCTGCTTCCATGGTCAACATGGAGATCAGACTCATGCCAACCGCTGTCCTCATCGCCGTAAGCCAAGTCAATCCGTCACGGCCGATGCGTAGCATTACCGTCTCCAGAAGAATGGACGTTGAAACACCAGAGGCCACTGCTTTATTAGTTTTGCTTCTGTTGAAGTTGATTGGCTACTAACTTGAGATTGGCATCACTATTCCCATACTGAGCCCGGGATAATAGGCCTGGAGAAACCACATGGCCGCGAAATCGCCGACTGTACACCCGATGAGGCATCGCGTAGTGTTGACAGAAGCCCTCTTCCAAGCCGACTTCAAGGTCCAAAAGTCGCGGGATGTTATAGATGGTGGCGTCGATGGTTGTGAGGCGTTCTTTTTGCTACAGCATTGGCTGCTGGTCCGGTGTTTTTGCAGGCTGATACTGACTGAGGGGACGTTGGTCGCGGTGGTGTGACGCGATTGCGGGATCGCGAAGAAGCCCGTGCGGCGCGCGCAAAGTCGACTGGTGCTTATAAATCCATTCATATTTTCCTTGTTACATATGCGACGGATGATGCGAATTGAGAAGAGGCACGAATTGTTCTTGGCCTGACGGGGCTGTTGTTTTGTTCGCCACGCCGCGAAATTGACTCAGTCCCACTTAAAATGTTCACTCACCAACAAGAATTATCGAAGCTTACAGGCAATCTATCACTCAGTGAGACGAGATAAATGAGCGTATAGCTCTGAACCACAGATTATAGGATAAAGAATTCATTAAATGGGATTAAGTAGCTGGTTGGGGATGCTCTCAGGAAATTATGTCTGTTTCCGGACACGCTGCAATATGCCCAGGCCACGTTCATATAAGTCATCAGGATGGAGACCAGTCAACATTGATAACGAATCTGGGGCCTGTATCTAAAACCGTGCATTTATGTTAAAGTTGCAGGCTTTTATGGCATCAAACTGACTCATAGCCTCACGGAGACCCTGTATGGAGGCCATTGACAAGATGACGGAACAGGCAGCCCATACCGCGATTCTTGTTAGCTAGACACAGGTAGGCTGGTGAGTAAGATGCCATCTGAATCAATCTCAGTTCATTTCAATTTATTTTAGGGTGTGTCTCGATCAGAAGGGAGAATACTCAATTGTTATAATCTGGTTTGATCGTATAGGCAAGCCTCAGATGAAAATCATCAGCCCAAAGCGTACCTTGGCGGAGCCGATAGCGGAACAAACACCACTACAAGCTTGATTTGTCATCGGGTCAAACTTCAACTTTGTCACGATCATGCATTTACTCCTTGGACTGTAAATAGTTTCACCGTTGATTTGTAATCTGTGTCACACTCATATTGATCTTTCTCTTCAAATTCCTATACTCAGAAGCATTTCTCGTACTCTCCAAAGCCACAAAACTACGAGACGAGCCAACAATGGAGGGCAGGAAGATTGTGATTTCGGGTGCGGGCCGTGGCCTTGGCCGTGCTTTGGCCATTGTCGCTGCTTCTCAGGGGGCTACTCCGATTTTGCTGGGAAGATCGCAAAGCGCATTGCAAGAAGTCAGTGAGACGATTAAGAGGGACAGCGGCGCAACGGCATACCCTATTGTCTGTGATCTTTCGGACCCTACTTCCGTGGCTCAAGCAGCGAAGGAGATAGTCGAATCACATCCTGATATCGATATCTTGGTCAACAATGGAGCCCATTTCACTGAAGGCAGCTTCGACAAGCAAACCGATGATCAGATCCTATCGGTCGTGAATTCAGCAGTCACAGGCACCATGATTTTGACACGGCAGCTTCTGCCGTTATTGAAACAACGACCCCGAGCAGACATTCATAACGTGGTCTCCATGTCTGGCCTTCAGTACGCAAGGCTCACGGGCGCTTCACTTCCCTTCAGAGCGGCAAAGGCTGCTCAGGACGGTTTCACCCAGGGATTGGTGGAGGAACTGAAAAGTACATCTGTACGCGTCACTTCGGTCTATCCTGGGTTGATAGAGGATGTATCGCCTACCAGTGCCGAATGGCAGAAGCTGCGTGGTTCTAATGAGGGCATAACGAATAAAAACGTCGTTGATACAATCATCTACATACTGTCGGCGCCACCAAACGTGTCATTACGCTCTATCGTTATCGAGCGGACTCTATCAGACTTTCTGATTTGATCAAGAGTACAGATATCGAGAAGTAGCAAGTCTAGTAGCTTCAGAGTGACTTGCGGCAGGGATAAAAGTGATAGTTGTGAGTGTGACTTGTTCAAGATTGTGTCATTTTCGGAAGAAGTCACTACCAATTGATTTACCATTCACCCTTGCATTAGAAGTTCTTGATATCTTATAGATAAAATTTTGATGTAGCAACTCTAAACTACTGACAATCCCTGAAAGGGCTCTGATGCGCTTGCAATGTCAACCCTCTTCTCCCACGGCTTCCGTCCCTTCTCGTTTCAAGACCAGACTTCGTTGATATGCCCAGAGTCGGTATCGAGGAAGAACCAGACCTACGGCTAGTTCTGGAATTTTCGTCACCTAGCTGAGAAAGGAGATCTTTTTCCAGCTCATTACAAACCCTTGATGGATCTTGAATCTTGAATGCCTTGAAGAATAATGCGGTGACCCTGTCCCACTTGTATCCAAGAATGAGAGCCAGACTAGATACTGCCAGAGTAAATGGTACTGCAGATGACCAAAATACCCTCTGAACTCTGTCTAACTCGCGGACATCTGTAGTGTTCATCCCAAAGAAACTAGTAACAAAAGAGCTGCACATCATCAGATCAGTTGGCACATTCATTTCTGACGCAAAATACTCAGAGGGGAAGAAAGAACAACGTGACGAAAGTAAACACTCTGATAGCCTTTCCATGACCCTCGCCGAGTACCTCTATCATCTGCTTCATGTCATGTCTTGTGGCGGTCAAAATCCTCTGTAATATCTCGAGTGTCTTTCCATCTTCAACCAGACTTTGTATGTGCGTGTCCAAGTGCCTCTTTTCCAGAGCATACATATCCTTGCGGTGTTTCAGATCTACCCGATCTGTAGTGTCTTTTGGGAAGAATTGTGCGCTCAGAACCTGATTATAGGCCTTGACCGTCCGTGTTTGAACTTCGAAAATGATACTCAAAGCCTCCATTTCCTCTTCTAGAGCAGAGATTTCAAGAAATCTGCGACGTCTTGGGTCTCGCACTGCAGCGAACCGGAGAGCCGTAGATTTGTTGATTGATAGATGGGGTGGGCATGGAGATTCCGTAGTAGCGTCACAAGTAGAAACTACAGGCCTATTGGTGAGATAGTGAGCCGATCTATATCGTCTGGGTCTCCTTAGCCATCATCACGTCTCGTCTGGCGTCCTCAAGCTGGCACTTCAACTTCGATTCGACGTTGTGAGCTCGAACGCATAAAGCAACTCCCTGCCGTAGCTGGTACCCATTAGATCGCTTGAGATTCTTCACACGCCCACAATTCATAGCCGAGAGTTTTTTTCGCGGTGACAGATTCATAGCAAGATACGAGGCTTCTGGGGACGCGTGTTTCTTTGCCACTGGCAGACAGGTTAATCTTTTTGTTCTTTCTCGAACTTCAGTCAAGGTATCGATGAGTCTGGATGCGACAGACATGATCTTGTCCTTTGGGTCGAAACTCAAAGGCTGCCACTTAACCCATCCTACGAACGGGCCATTGAGTATGGGCCGATCTACAGGGATGCAATGGATGTGATATCTGTGCAAATGACACAAAGCGCCAGATAGAGAAGAATACACTGTATCTTTGTTGCAATAATCACATCCGTGGGGTGGCAATGTTTTCAGGTATAGGCATGTAAACCCAGAACCCGGAGTTGGAAGTTCCTTCGAACTCACGAAAGAGTATTGCTGACGGAATTTATTTGATCGTAGTGATGAAAGATATCTCTGCTGCATAACGTCATCAGCAAGTCATCATTCAGAGTAAGGATATGCAAAGGCTTACACGCATGATCAAATCCATGTCGCCCCAATAAGCACTTATAGCTGGGAAAAGGAACCAATCGGCTGGTGGAAGAAAGAGATCAAAATGTTCTCCGAAAGTGTCAATAGAGTGGTAAGAATTTCAGACTCGGGGTTTCTGTGCATGCGGTTTGAGCTGAGAGGTTGCTGATAAGGAAGGACGTCTTTCACTTCCTGCGTTAGTGGGTATACACACTCGCCTGGAGGAACCGAGCACCTGCGACCAGAAGGAATGACCGACTCGCTGGTCAAAAGACAGAAGCAAGATACGCCCCAACGAGAATACACGACTGACGGATGTTATGCTCTCTCATGCCAGATAGTATACCACGCCCCTCCCGACGGGATATTTCGATATCACTGGGGCAGATGCGTTCCTCGCAGTGACCGGATTCCCGAGACGGCAAAGACTACACAGTGGCGACAAGAGCGCCAGGACGAAGATTTGCCCCATATCCCCGCACGAAACCTATTAGAGGACCACTCAGGTCGAGCACTTCCATCGACTGACCAAGGTATCCCGGCTTGTCTCACGGGATTGGTGCATGTAAAATAACTCCCGAGCAATATAACAAAAGAGGACCATTTATCAGGTCAATGCGGTACCTGTTAGCCCGCTGGTCATACTTTATCTTTAACGGATATGTACGGTATACCTGATGAACCACGAGCCGACCTCAAAGGTCGGATAAGAGGTCGAAAGGAAGCTCTCGATGCAGCTGCTGTTAACAGCATGAGAGCCAAGCTTGTAGCACTTGGTTTGCATAGAGCACTCCCATCACGTAATGAGAGTCCACATAACTCCCTCCTTAGAATAAGTTGCACTGGGAACTCGACCAGACTGCTTTCATTCTGGAAAAGGGGGGCTGCTTTGCAATAGGACAATCAATTTTGACTGCTTCTCATACGGAGGAGGTGGAATCCCTGCCGGTAGGGAACTAGCTGCTCTGGCGGAATCACGAGCCCTTGTGATGGTTGACGAGAATCATGGTGCCGACGAACCGATCCCTGATATCTTTGAAACATTAGATGAAATGCTTCGACAGAGAGGTAATCTTGACGAGGCTGTTGACGTAGCGACATTGATGTGGAAGATGATACGAAAGACATACGACCAAGGGATCAACCCATCTTCTATGCACCACGAGCCAGGTCCAACCCAGTCCGAGAGGGGCCAAACGGATGTGGACAACCACTTGCCCTACTTTGATATTAACCCATTCGAATGTCATTTCAGGTCTGGAACCCGAGATAGTTCTCTATCCGCCCATCGAAGGGAGGATACTTTGTCGAGCATGCGTGCGACAGTTTCAGACGTCCACGGTGAGCCGACAGCCGACAGCCGTTTGACGGTTTTGACATCCCTGTCAAGGATTTGCCACCTGCTAGTCAAAGCACCATCCTCAACGCTCTCCATCGAGCCAGAGACGTTCGGTGTATGCCAGGCTTCGCAAACGAGCAAGCTATCATCGCCACATATGACGGCAAGAAGTTGGGCATTCGGAAGGAGACCAAGTGACCGTGGATAACAACGGATCTTGGTTTCGACGCATTTGGAAATTAATCTCCCAAGGGGAATGAGAGACCTATGGCCCTTTGCGCATCCTTCAAAAGAAGGTGCGCGCGTACCAACTCCTGGGTACCGTAAGATCACGCCAAAGACATGAAGCGGAGACTTGTCGTTGTCCTACCACCCATTCGGGGCCGCATCAAGTATCTCTATGTCGACATCTCGGCCATTAACTGCCAGCCGGTATTTAGTAACCGCAGGGACGACGGTCAGAATAAAGGGTACCAGGATGGTTCTTCCCAGCTTCAACTTCAAGTCGGAGCCCTCGCAGGCCCTTGCGGGTTCAAGTACGATTCTCTCAGAGGGATGCCTTATCCCCAGCAACCTCGCTCAAATCGAGAAGTACTTTGGAGGCAGAACAAGGGAGTTTAGATACAAACTTGATCTGGAGGAAAAGCCGGTTCGGCAGCACCACCCAGGCTGTTAATACCTTCCCCCCAGAGTTCTCCAACATACAAGTATCGAAGGCGGCAGCCTCGAAATAGCCAACTTCTACGTCTTCGATAGGTCCGACACCCATTAGACAATATCTTTCATCCCTCTTGGTGCCTTCTGCGTCCCCACCGAGTTGATCCTTCGGTTGAAGGCGCTGCTCATTGCTAACCCGATAGACCCTATCTCCATCAACCTCAGTATTCAAGCGGCAAGCCTGTACCTACAAGTTAAGGCGTCTATGAATCTCGATGATGAAGGTTGTGCATGTGGTACACGGGGAGTTTTGAACACCCAACTTCAAAGTCTTCATCCTAAATCTTACAACTCTCATCCTGAACTTTCCAAAGCCATCACAAGCTTTTCTAAGCCCATCATCAATTTACCTAGAGCGATTTGAGTAATTGGTCTGCTGCCTGACGTGTTTTTTTAAGATCTGTGATCCAGAGTTGATACGGCTGGGAGATTATTATCACCACGCAAAACTTAGCTCTCTTACTACATCGGCCAACCAATTTCGGATGTCTCCCTTATTTTGTGGTCATTGCCTCTGGGCCGAGGTCATGATCCGACATCAAACAAGCTGCTCTTCTCACAAAAAGGCCTGCTTCAATCTTTTTCCTCCTCTCCTCATACCAATTTCTATAGTCGTCTTGCCCCTCTCTCGCTTCCTCACGATGTTCTTCCTCAAGTGGTGGAGGTAAAATGCCTGGCAAAGGCTTGTACCATTGTTCTTTCGGCGTGTTGGTCCCATTAACCCCGCGGAATACCTTTACGGCTTCCTCGTTGTATGGGAAGCGATCAAGCATTGCTTTGACGAGAGGTGGCGGGAAAGGAACGGCATCAACAACGTCGCGATCAGCGGTGAGGGATCGATAGATTCCGTCTCGGCCAAGATGGCTTATGCCCATGCCCGTTGGGTCACGTTTCATGGTCGCCAAGATATGTTCGAGTTCTTTTTGGGCGGGATCTAGATCTTCATATTCCACGCGCCTGCTTCCAGGTGGCAAGGTGCATTCCGTAGCAGTATTGTTGTTTTTGTCAGTTTGTTCAGCCATGATGGTGCTACGCATAAAGACACTGGGTTCGATATCGGTTCTTTGCATTGCACTTTTGACTTCATGCTGCCTTTATACAAGAGCTGTTGGATGAGTCGTCGTAATAGCGCTTACTTCTTGGTCAACATGTGATAGATCCTTCATTCTAGACTCTGGTCTCTTCAAGGGTCTTGGTAGATCATTGCCTTAGTCACTCCTCGCGGGTTGAAAATGACGACACTCGACATTCGATATCGGATCACTTATTGCCGTGTTGTTCGAAAGAGGTTGAAAACCAACAGCCACGCACATGAACATCGCGTGAGAATGATGAACGGCAACGACTTTTCGTGAGTCCCTGGATACTTCAAAGTCTCTGGACCGAAGTATTATTAGTCAGTATGCTTTCGGATTTTCAGCTAGGACCAAAAGCCGGCAGCCGACCAACTGATAACCGTTTCCAAAACGGGATTGTTCTCTTTGGAGGATAGCGGTACCCCAAATTGAGCAATTCCATCACTCCGCAAACCCCTCACGGGCTTTCTTTCTTCGGAACCGTTTATCCTATTAGTATGGAGTTCGAAAGTGGTACGATGTCGGAGTAAGCACTAATTCTTCCTAACTGCGGAGTTACCTATTTAGTAACGACTTAGCCAGTGCGAATATCTCGTAATCCTCAACCTTAAACCACGTTGTCAGGAAGATTTTAAGCTTCACTAGATAATGTCTCCGATGTCGATCTCTTCGGGAGACGCCGTGAATTGAGTTTGATTGGACAAAGATCTTGAGATCTGACGCCAGCGTCATGAATCATAGCCACATTGTCAAGTTTGCTACGCTACTCAGGTCTTCTTAGCTGAATTGGTTTCGCAGTGAAAGGTTCAGAGATCGTCAGCCCTGGAAGGGTGAGTGCGTTAACTGGCCAATAATTGTTTGAGTTGACAAAAGTTCATCTTCAGGAATGACATCAATACCTCGGTTAACGCTCATAACGGCTTCAGATCATCGTGCATTAGAATTTAAGTTACAGTTATGATGTATATCCTGCTGAGGGTATGTGACTGCTCCTACTGTCCCGCATCACATCTCATTGATTAGTCGGACTCCACGTGAACCACCTGACGATCGAGTCAGATCAGTAAAGTCAGTCAGCCCATGCGCAGCGGCACAAACTTTATTCAAAACGGGTCGCCCTGTGGTGGCAACCTAATAACGGTTGAGATAATCCATCATCGACGGCTTCTTCATACGCTGAGGGGGAGGGGGGACTTGAGTGTCAGGGCCCGGGCTTTTCCAACTGGCAGCGCTGATGAGACGAGGACCAAACTTGATGGCTGTCCGCTTCGCAACATCGAGTGCAATTGGTCCAAGTTTTTGAACTACATCCTTCATGAAATCGAAAATGCCTGTGACGTCGCCATCTCCGTCGACAGGCCTGAACCGGTCTAGCCTTTCGCGGGGGAGGGACATTACGGCTTGAAGAGCCGCATCTGCTAAGACAGCACGCTTGATCAAGATCCTGGTTGCATCCTCGTTTGCGCTAGAGGTAGATGACTCAATGGAGAGCTCCTCCCGGTCAAGTCTCCCCAGGCCTGAGAGCGCCGCAGAGGCGGGCTTGGACGTAAGAGGCTTGGACTCAGAGGCCGCAGTAATGAGCACGGGGCCAAGCCATTGGGCAACGTCTCTTCCTCCCTCAAGTTGTCGAGTTGGACCCAGTATACCTTGAATAAAGGCAGCTCCTCCGTTCATCGCAGCACTCTCTGTGATGTCGACCTCCAGGCGACGACGATCACGGAAATATGGTCCCTTGGAGTCTTCGGTCTCTGGAGCAACTTGGTTTGAAAGTTCCACGCTGCATTGAGCTAAGATAGGAGTGATAGCAGGAGCGAGAGTGTCAGCCTTTGGTGCACCAGCTTTCCAAAATTGTCCCATCTTGTTGATCACCTCTGTCACATACTCGTCGTGCTCAGAAGCAAGCACTGCCTGCAAAGCAGCTTCAGCGAGTACCGCACGTTCAGCGGGACCATGTGCTACGATATCAGTGCTCTGAGAAAGCGCGCTCTCTGTGAGTGACCCAAGCAGAGTTCCGGCTACTGCACTAAGATGACCACCGATGGAACCGAGGAAAGGAGAAGCAACGGGGAAGGCATCTCTTCCCACATGGGCTACACTTTTCAGGGTGTCGAAGAAGCTTTCTTCGTCGAATCTTGGGGTTTCAAACGCTCTGCCGGGGTAGCCTTTGCTGAGACCGTAAGGCTCATTCATGCTTGTCTGGCAGGAATTAGAGATGTCAGAAATGAAGGCACAGCTACTCACTGTTCGGTCTTGAGTTTGAACTACTTGGACCCTGCCAATATCGCCGAAAATCGTCCTCTTGTCAAACAAACTGATCAAATCGTCATAATTGTTACCATGAGGGTTTCCAATCGTAGTGCCTGAGTTACTGTCAAAGCCACCGCCACCATAGCTATGAGTTCCAATTGCATGGAGTCGCCCATTAGAGTTGCGTAAGACTGGGGCGCCAGATTGTCCTGATAAACTGTCAGCATTGATTCGAGAATTGCCAGTTGTGGAACAACCGCACCTGCGAAAGTTGAGATAGAATACTCGACCATATGGTGAGGACTCTCTCCAATGTTATAGTCGCTCCTGGCAAACTCCTCGTACATCTGAGCTCCTTGTTCATCCTCCAAGGTTTGATCGCCTGGATATCCGACGACACCAAGGTATGTGCCATCGCCCGCCTCTGGGGTCTTCACGTAGCTAAAGATGCGCAAGTTGCCCGTGAAAGGTCGATCAAGCTGAATAAAAGCAACGTCCTTCGTACGGTTGCTCGAACCCTCAATCCATTCAACAGGGGTCACAACTTTGGCGCCGTATCGCGCCTGAACCTGAGGTGACCCGACAGATTGTTTGCCATTATAACCAATGTAGCACTTGATCTGATCAGCTGGGCCAAGCTTGCGTCCCCAGTCGTGGACAACATGACCGGCGGTAACGAGGAGGTCTGGACGAATAAGCCATCCGCTTCCCATCATCCAAGTTTGACGCCCTCGGTCTTGGAATCGGGACTGAATCTTCACAATGGCTGCAAATCCCCAATCAGTCTTTCAGCAATATCTTCTCTTCAGTAGCAACGTACAGCGATATTTTCCCCCTTCTTGGATATCACGGGAGTCAACCAGTTGGCGCAAGTCTTCGCCGATAATGGACTCTGAGCTTCCCTTGCTTCCATCGTCTGGAAGGATGGCAGACTCAGCGGGCTTACTAGACGTAGGAAGCGAAAGCGTCCAGGCAGCGGCACGACTGGGCCCCGGAAAAGCCATGTTCAACGTATTGAAGGATTGCAGTGAGGCCGTGTTGTCGCGACAAGATTCGGGGTCCAAGTTAGAATAAGAGTGGTGTAAGATTGAGAACAGTCTGTTTGTACTATGAAGGGAATGGTCTCTTTATCTATTCGAACAAGCATTCGACCAATTGTCTGTTGCTTTTATGCCATGGAGTTCCAGCTGGGCCTTTTTAAATAGTTTCATGCATAAAAAATGGTCTACATCAAATAGTGTCTGTCTTTCGCGATTCACATCTCAGCTTGGCGAGATCTAGACCGAAGAGAGCAATCAGCTGGCCAAAAGAGGGCGCCCGAACGCCCACGCTAACCTGCACCAGCCAAGCTTCATTCGTATTCTCCGTCTGTTTGGATGGACCGATCAATTCAGCCAGCCACAACCTGAGTATTTATAGGCAATTCACTCCGGCTTGGTAGCAGTACAGTGAACGCTGTAGCAAACGTGATGCGACTAATAAGAATGCCAAGATCTGAACTGACGCGCCTTCATGGTGCAGCTGCATTGGTACTTAGCTCATTGAGACCTGAGCATGTGAAGCAGTAGAGAATGACATGTCACAAAGGTTATTTAATCTGATCAATGTTTGAGAACGTAGCGAAAATGATATTATGCAGAATATGCTACTAAATACAAGGATATAATATGCTCTTTTGGGTTATGTACTTCCTCGCACCCCTGCGCGAAAACAATTTTAAAATGCAACGTCCGTTCCAATCGTTACTCGCCGGGCAGTCCGGCTGCATGTCTATAGTGTGTCCGAGTCCGTAACTTCTATAGTGATGTGTGTACGTGAATGATGTGAGTTGTGAGTCGTGCGTGACGTGATGTGATGGTTGGTGATAGTTGTTTACGAAGAAGCCTCTTCGTCGGTGACACCCTCTCGGGCGTGCTTGGTGCCGTGGGGCTCGCCAACCCACTTGGAAGAAGTGATGGGGTTGACGTGCTGGACGTACATGGTGTCGATCTCCTCGAGAGTTCGGTCCTTGGACTCGATGACGAAGAAGAAGACAATTGCGACGAGGGCAGCACAACATCCGGCGTAGACGAGACCGTAGAAGTAGTCAATGGCATCAGTGATGAATCGAGTGCTGGGAAATGTTAGTGAGTGCTCGATTGAAAGTGTAATTATGAGGCGACTTACAAGAAACCGATGAGGAAGTTGAAGAGCCAGTTGGTAGCAGTGGCGATGGCCATGCATCGACTGCGGTACTGGGAAGGGTACATCTCAGCGACGACAGCCCAGACAAGAGGACCCCAGGTGGTAGCAAAGGCAGCGATAGCCAAGCAAGAGAAGGTAACAAGGACGGCACCAGCAGCGGGAGTGGAGAGAGGGTCCTGTCGGTCAAGAGCGAAGTGTCCAACGAAGGCGTAGATGAAGAAGCACATCATCATCCAGGCGGCACCGATCATCAGGGACTTTCTGCGACCGCACTTCTGGACGACATAGAGACCGCCGAATGTGCAAGCGCAGTTAACTGAGCCGAGAATGAGCTGAGTGACGTAGCTGTCCTTAAGACCAGTAGAGGCGAAGACGGTGGTTCCGAAGTACTGTGATTGTTAGTCAATTGTTGCGATGTGATACCATTGAGTTTACTTACGAAGAAGAAGTTGATACCAGTGAGCTGCTGACCGGCCTGGAGAGTGATACCGAGAATGGTACGGTAGGCCATACGGGGACCAGTGAAGATCTCGACAAGGCGGGTTTCGGGAAGAGCCTGTTCCTCCTCAAGCTTCTCGCGGATATCGTCGATCTGTCGGTTGACACTGGGGGAGTTGATGTCGAGACCAGCAAGGTTGGCAATGGTCTTTCGGGCTTCCTCAACCTTACCCTTTCGGTAGGCGAATCGAGGAGACTCAGGAAGGAGGAGGATGCCAACACCGAGAAGGAGAGCCCAGAGGAAGTTCAGGGCGTTGGGAATTCTCCAAGAAGCGCTACCATCGTAGTGGTTGGTACCCCAGTTAACCATCTCGGCGCACCAGATGCCAAGGGTGACAAAGAGCTGATAGCAGGAGACGATGAGACCTCGAATGATGGCGGGAGCACTCTCACTCTGGTACATGGGGACAGCGACAGACAGAGCGCCGACACCAAGACCTGTTACAAGTCGACCGATCGCGTGTTGGTACCAGGCGTGCTGAGAGGCGACCTCGATGATGGTGCCGACGCAGGTCCAGAGAGCAGAGATGGAGATGGTCTTGCGGCGACCAATTGAATCGCAAAGGTTGCCAGCAACTAGAGATCCGAACAAGCAACCAATGGAGAGAAGACCGGTGATAGTTCCTTGTCGTGCGGCGCTGAAGTTGTATGTACCATCGCCGTTGGGAACACCGAATCGCTCGCCGTAATCCTTCATCATGAAATAACCAGAAACTTGACCTGAGGAGTATCCAAAGATCATGCCTCCCATCTACGATTTAATTAGTTCAATTCCATTGCGATAGTTTATTGTGGTGTTGAGAACTTACAGATGCGACCAGGCCCATGAAGCAGGCCCGGAAGGTGATGCGACCATCGGTATCGGGAGAAGGCTTCCTCTCGAGATGCTGACCCTCGCCAGCATGTTCATGGCGTTTACTACCAAAGAACTTCATATTGAAAGTGTTGATTAGACCAATTGGTCAATTGAATGTTGTATGTGTGTGATTGATGTTGTGAAAGTGTTGTACACGAATGCTGTGATGAGCCAGAACAGAGATTGAAGCAGCGAAGAGGTGCCGTTTTGACTGTCTTTATTGTGGAGATGATCGTCGAGGGCCATCGCGGGCACCGAGAGACCAAGACCATGCCAATGGGTCCATCTCATGACCTCTGATGGTCATGCTTTGAGCGAAAACTCAAACCCCGGGGGGCTCAGGCAAACGACTTGCGGAGACTGACGTGGGTGAGCAAGAACTAAGCTAAGGTTTGTGGACTCGAGGGACCAAGACTTGGAGAGAAGCGGAGCAGCTGTGAATAGAAGGCCCGTAGAGTCACGTCATGAGAAAAGAGTCGAACTGTGTGAGGTAAGCATTCCTGTGCTGGGCATCTCATCACGCTTTCATCGGCAAACGCTACGCCCAGGAGGGTACAACAGCACGCCCCGTGGGCTGATTGGTCTAGCGGAGGTCCCCTAGTCGCCCTTAATCCAGATTCATCTCCGTTCAGAAAACGGTGGATCGATTGGAGAACGAACGTACGTGGGGTGACATTGACAATTTTTTTTCCTCCCTGGCCCTTTCTACTACCGGCGCCTTCGGCATTGATGACGCACTTGGACCCTGTGAGATGAATAATGGAACCACTTTGATCCATAGTTTTGTTCCAAGGATCCAGTTTTTGCTTCCATTGGTCTTCTGGTGGCATCTCTTGGCGCGAAGATCTTCGGCAGAGCCTGTGTCGACGGGAATACGCAGGTCTTTGAGGATGAAGATATTGAGCTGAAGGACAGCCTGTAGAAACGGTCAGAGTATTGCATCGTCAGTAACTAATTTACTACACATCTATCGCTGAATTGCAATCTCCCCTCTCGCCCCGACACAGCTAGTCAGCTTCCACATATTTCCGGTGCTCGCCTTGTCCGCTGAGCAGAGCCCCATTCACATGATATGACACCGAGAGTCGCCGAATCGGTCGGACCGACTGATGATTGAAACGTCGGGCTCGCGCAGATTTTTATTTCCGAATGCTAGATTCTGGTGTTTTTTCCTCTCGAATTCCTGATTCTGATTGTGGCCAAAAACGTGATGTTATTGTCACGGCATTCGTCTCCCGTCAGATACCGCATCTGATCTGATCTTTTAACGGTATTTCCGGCGACGCCAAATCGCCGGTTTGTTTCCCACTTTCTCGTGAGGTTTATCTTGTTGTCTCTCGTAAAGGTACTCAATGGTCTAAACTCGGCCAAATGTCTCGAGTCTTATCCACGCACGTTAGAGACTGGCCGAATTGAGCGGAGCATGCTCAGCTATAGAAGCTCCATTGCCAAAACAGAGTTCATGGATTGGATAACGACGTCGCTGTGCTCGGTCATTTTTGGGTCCAGCGATAAGCCTTAGAAACTCAATTGGAACAAGACAGAAGATCAGGACAGGGCATGCGATGATGCGAGATAACACCGAGCAAGCATTATTATCTGCGACAAAGCAACCCAACATGGCAGGTAGAGAAACATGCATTCAATTGTCGTGATTTGTGTATCTGAATCGCATCACCAACCGTCGTCGAATTAATCGCCACGCGCCAACTTACACAGACTCTGCATCGCACAAAGAATCGTTCTCGAACCTCCGTGCCTTGTTTCCATTCCCGCAGAGCCTCCTTTACCCCTGGACCCATGGCATCATAAAAATCACCCATGCTAATGCGGCTCTGCAACGGCGGAACATGATACCGTATCCACACGGGCCGAAAAAAAGAGGCACTCGGCGATACTCGATGCGTATTCCCACTTATAATTAGTGGATGCTATTCGGACCCGAACGTTTGAGCCGTTCCATCCAAGCCAAGGAACAGAGTAAAGTTAACGGAGTGCGGAGCCCGCGCAACATGCACATGCACGGCAATTAATCGCGGAGAGGGGGAAAAAAAGGTAGAGATCGTGGGTGATGGATGACATGGAGAAGTCCGTCACCTTGGAACGGGGTCTAGAATATGGAGGATGTCGGAATGTTTTGACAATAACAGTCGACAAAGGCCTGATCTTGACTATCTTGTCGGATGACGTTTGCAGTCTTCGTTTCGGAGACAGCCATAGTTTCTTTGGTGTGACAAACGAGCTGAAATGCAATAGACATGAACCGAGATTAATATCACATGCGGTAAAACTATTGAAGTCTAGACACGAGATCGATATGCACTTGATCAAATGACCAACTGTATCAGTTGACTAGCAGATTCTTCTTGAGAAATTTTATATACATATTTGAGGTTTTTACTATGTTAGACCATTGAACCTTATGTTTGTTGACGTCGTGCTGATCCTCACCTCTAAATCTCTCACCTCAAAACACCTCCCACGTCTCACCAATCCAACTACTCGAATCTCTCCGTGTTGCTAATCCCCTCAATCTCCATCCGGGGATAACCTGCCAGCACGCACGCAACCCTCCCCATCCCACGCAGGATAAACGCTCCCCCGGGTCTCTCTCTCGGTCTTACCCACAGGTCGCGTATCCGCCTCATCGTCCTCTTTTTTCTTCCCCAGTCCAGTCCCCTTCATGGGGTGTGTAGGTATTTCGCCGAGTAGCTGTTGCCTCCCCCAGAGCCACTCCTCCTCCACAGAGTTGAACCCCCCCTTTTTTTCTGCAGACTTCTCCTGACGAGCTTATCGGTCCTTTGGGACAAGAGAGACCGCGGGCAAGCGAGGTTTTACATCCCGCATCCTCCGCATTTGTGGGAGATATTGCGGGCGGTGGGAAATTTTTGCAGTTCACATGAGGGTTTCCAACATACGATCTCGGGGCAGGCATCTATTTGGAGTTTTCTTAGGTATTCTATATGCAGAAGGTGAGAAGGTATCATATCATTGTTTCACCCTGTAAATCCGGGCATATCAGTTTGGGCAGTATTGAGAAGACCTCGTGAGGACTACCCTGCACACACTTTCGGAAGAACACTGAGATAATGAGATAAATACAATTAGAAGCAGCTGTGCAGTAAAGGAATTGAGAAGGATGGCTTTCTCAATGCATAGACATATGTCGTAGTTCCTCCAAGCCAGTTTATTGGCACGTGAATGCACATGTCCATTTTCCCTAGACAACATCAAGTCTGAATCAAGAGCTTCATGGTCACAGACGCGACAACTAGAACCTCCAATTCAGTTGTGAGATCTTAACAACTTCCCACCAGATTGTTGACTGACCATTGGCCCCTGAGCTGGGGCAACCTGCAATGGGCCTCTTTCTTTCGGCATCAATCAATTTATGAACTCAAAGACTATCCAGCAACATGTATTCACGAGCCATGGCTATGTCATATGTCCCAAAGCGGACCCACGACATATTCGGATACCTATGCATCGTGGCAAGCCACAGATCGTCTCCCCGTCAAGATCTAATCTACCTGCATGATGATGTGGCTCCCTTGTCGTCTCTGCACAGCCACGAAGCATGTGAAGATAATACGATCCGAATCGTTCTAAGCTTATTCTACAGATTTCCTCATCTAGTTTCACTTGCTGGCTGGTATTGTCCTTAGCCCTTCAAAGACAACATGTAGTTACTCAAAAGCAGTCTCCATGCTCTCGACAATAACTTAGGCTTAAAGTTCTAACAAGTTCCTCGGCTTTTCTTCCCTTATTTCATCAAGTCTTTCGTTATTCATTTGAGCAATTTTTATTTATATTTTACTACAAAGTGACACTAGGGTGATCGTCTCAATTTCTCAGTACCGCCACCACTGCGCCGTTTCTCTTCTCCTTGCAGGCTACCCATCGAGTTCCCGGCGTATGGAAGGAAAATTCCCTGAAGAAATCATGAACTAAATCGACCCAAAAGTAATTATCGGGTCTACTGTAGATGTAGGGTTGAGAGTTCAGTAGGAGCTTCAAATCCGAGCGAAGCAGTGGCGTGTTTTCGCTTGCATACCTATTTGCGGCATGTCTGTGTAAGGGTTGGTAAACCATTCATTAAGACATCTCCTAAGACCTACTCTCAGTCCCTCTACCGCGTCATAATCTCCCTGTACACTAACCATGAAGTGCTATCTACTAAACACGCGACATCATATTACAAAATGCGTTTAGCATCCTTCCTCTGTCTTAGTGGATCTGCTTCCACTCACGCAATATTCTCGCATTCTCTATGCACCCCGTCAGCTTCGCCAACATCTCTGCGTCAGCAACATTCTGTGCAGTCTCAACTTTGGGCTGAGCTCCCTTCTCAAGTAGCCACCTTACCACATGAGCTCCCTTCTCTTTTACGGCAGCATAACATAGAGGAGTCCCCCAATGGTAAGCACGATATGGTACAGTAGAGTCCATCGCGTTAATGTCCAACTTCATCTCATCCACAAGAAACACCAACATTTCTGCTCGCTCATTTCTTGCCCCTGCATCATCTCCAACTGTCTGGTCATGGGCTTCTTGATAAGTGAAAGGGTCTGCACCAAATGATGCCGCCTCCCCGGCTGCTCGGTGAAGCGTCCGGTGGCCCAGTAATGCTCCCTTGCTCTGCAAAAGCCGGAACGTTGCAACAGAGCCTCTGACAGCGCATGTCTCTAGTAATGGAGCCGGCTGCGGGAAGATCTCGTAGAGGTCCGCCTCGCCATCCATGACCCGTGCGCCATGCTCAACCAACCAGCAAACCAGCTGATGATCGTCGCAGACGAGGTCGATTAGCTTATCGCCCCGCTTAAGGGATCTGTCAACTTCAGCCTTGTTGAGATCCCAACCATGGGCCACGAGCAGCTCTAGAAGGGGGATGGAGGAGTTTGCGGCGACCGCAAGAGGTGATAGAGACTCAGCAGGTGCCTTTTCACACTCTAGAAGATATCTCACAAGGTCGATGCTTCCGTGGCGGACACACCGTCCCAGTATTGATAGAAGCAATTCTTGAAGAGAAGAAAGAAGCTGAGGGTCGGCTTTCATCATTTCCATGGCGGCGACGAGCTGCGATAGAGATCTTTCGCGGATTGCCCCATTAAGCATGCGACGGGGATGCGGAGACTGCATCGCCTTGCTTATTTAGGAAATGTCACTGTGATGAATGGTCGACGTAGGCGGGAGTAGGTTTGTGAATTCAAGTAAGACCAGCGATAGGCGATGCTCTTTCCTGTTCTCTCCTTCGACCTCACTTATAACTAACTACTTGATACTTTTGTCTCCAACGAGGATCCGAGCTATGGGAGAACGCTCAATGCAGCTCACCAAGGAAATAGATCTTGTGTCAACTACCGGGAATTTCTGAAAGTTTATGCAAACTGTCAAACCTGAAACAGGGTGAAAGCTTAATTATCTTCCCGTCTCTCTATTTTATCTGATTCCACCTTCGTTGCGTAAATGTTCTAGCCATTTCAAGCAGGTCAAGTTGTCGGTCCGACATTTTAAACTCCAGTACTCTGTTTGGGACTCAAATTGTCTACGCGTTTATGTCTAACAAAGGTTAGGACTTCAGCCTGAACAGCATTCTGATATAGATTGAAGCGCAGGGGTATGCCGGATTTCGAGTGTAAGAAACAGGCTGCGGTGCTGGCTTCTCATATATACAGTACGAGCCACTCAGAGCGTCTTTCTGTTTGCCTTACCCATAAACACACCTACCATATTGTTTCTACTAAACACCTAGCGATAGAAGCAAATCAGAGTAGTAATAACCTCAGGGGCAAGGGCTTGGCGACACTGAGATGATGTTCCTGTTAAAAAATCTCCAGACACCTCGATTAAAATTACATTAAATGAGGTTTATGCCATCCATGTTTCATAGAACACTGATTTTAGACCCAGTTCTGAAATGTAGTTTGTACGGAATTTACCGACAAACTTTTTCTTGGATGAATTTAAATCCGACTACCACCAAATGTTGAAACAGTGATATGTCTGTGCTTGCCCTGCACAACCACAGGCTTGTCCAGCTGGCTCGAACCATGGATAGCATGAATATACGTTTTGCTTCGAAGCATTCTTGGTTCATAGCAGGGATTAACATGGCTCAGTGCAACGTCTTCGTATACTCTTCCAATCGAGCTGCAGAGTAGTAGAAGTCGGCTTCACCGACCCAGATCCCCTTGAATATCAGAATAGAGTTGAGCTCGACTTCGGCATCAGGGAGCAAGGACACTTAGAACATCTATCCTAAATGGCAAAAAGATTAAGTCAAAGCCATTGTAGACTTATAAAGCATTTAGATTGATTATTTTTGTCACTTTGGGATATATCACAGAGCCCTTAAGCCTTCTTGGGCCCCTGGTTCGGCAGTTGAAAACTTCTGCATCGTATCGCTTGCCAGGGACCGAAGCCTTCACGGCAACCTCTGGTCTATATATTTTAGTCGATAGTCCTCAAAGTCGAGATGCATCAGTAGTCATTCTTTCATTACAACATTTTTCACTCATTTCTCATAACTCTCACTCTTCCATTCTCACTTTCATTTTCACCTTCATTTAGGTCGCCTTCGTCATGGTCCGCCTCGCCACTCTTGTCCTCTCTTTGGCTTATTCTGCCTTAGCCTCTCCCTTTGTCAAGCCATCCGATTCGTCTTTGTCTGATGTCAGTGACGTTGGATCTGCCATTCATGAGAGGGCCATCTCCAAGGCCATCACTAAGCCCGCCTTTGTCTGCGACCTGACTTGCAAGGCCTGTTTAGCCAAACCTGCCCCAAAGAAAGGTAACGGCGCGGGCAAAGGCAAGACCACTGATAAGGGCAAAGGTAAAGGCAAGGGCAAAGGCAAGTCTATTCCGCGCTCTCTGGCACTGGGAAAGAGGTCTTTGGATGATATCGAGGACCTTTGGGGGACCGATGCATCAGCGGCAAACGAATATGTCATGGAGCAGATTGACAGTGTCGCGGCAAAGGACGACGAGTTGGACTGGAACCTTATCCAGCATGACGCTGTCTCAGGCCAAGGATCCTGGGGTGAAAAGCCCTTGCGAAAGTACATTCGGGGCCTCATGGGGTAAGTGGCGCGCCGAGTTTATGATAAAATGATCCTAAACTTGTCTGGATACCCTCATTATTTAGGATAACGTCCTAATGCCATCTGTCGGAGTTACCTTATTAACATGATTCTAGCTGCACTGGCATCGTCCTCGTCTCTGACAAGGGCTACTGGTTTGCTCATTTTGTAAGTCCTTATAATCCTCACCGCAACATCATCTAAGTCGAGTTCAAGACATTGACTGCTATAGATGGAAACTGGTTTCCTCGACCGCGGCGACAACTGGAAGACCAAGATCATCAAGCCTCTCCAGCAGGGTACCAACAAGTTCATCACCCCTCGATCATTGGCCAAATCCGGCGGCATTCTGAACAAGGCAAACAACGTCAAGATCTATGTCTCAACTCCCCGTACCAAGACGTCCACCGAGCAAAACCCAGTCCTCCTGTACAAGGCCAAGGTCGATGAGCTTTTATCTCATATCATTGGACGAGGCGAGCCTCTGAACGGTGTTCAGGTCATCACCCGCGGTTATCTCAAGCCCGAGAGTGAGGCAGAGGTTGAAGCGTTCCACAACAGAGCCAATGGAAAGGTCCTTATCGAGTACGACAACAACCAGCTGGATGTCAACGGAAACCAACCCAACCCTAAGGAGCGCATGTACCGTGTCTGGCTTGAGCACAAGTACTACGAGCACAGATTCCGCTAGGGGGATGTATCTAGATAATTGAGAGGGTTTTGCTTCATTCCGACGATTTTTCCCCTTGACTATCCTTACGAGCTGGGAAACTTCTGGCCTCGACTTAAGGTGCCAAAATTAACTAGTCTAGAGTCTACTGAATTCATACTGAATTTTCTCAAGTCTATACTGAACTTGCCCAGTTCTACAGTGAATTTACCCAAGTCTTTTATCATGTAGGACAAACTCCTCTGTCTAGTAAACATCCGTGTCCTTCACTAAATTTGGACCCGCGCCGCTGTTCTTTCCGGCCAGGTAGTTGATCATTGGGGCGCCGTTTGTAGCTGAAAATACTTGCCGCTATCAACTCGACCGAGATACAATGTTGGCTTGAACGTTAGATGGTTCTCTCTACACTGCAATTCAATTTTAACCCGCTCAAAGGTCATTCATCCAAGCCAATGGGGCTTGGCGACATTTTGAGATCCCTGCAAGCTGAGCCAGGGTTATAGTTGTGCCCCCAATCAGAACCCGCCGATTTTCAGTTTCGCTAAGATTGTTGCTACGACAACGCTACAGGAACAACAACAACGTTGACTACAACATGAGCATCAAGTAATTGAACATTAATCAACAGCCACGACAGCACAATCACTCGCTATTGTGCGCAAAGACAATGTCGCTAGAGAAGCGGATACAGCTCTGGCTACAACAGATCCAAACAGGCTCGACATCTACTCCTCAGACCAGACGAGGTCCAAAGCGCCGTCGCTTAAACCTCCCAACCCCCGAAGCCTCGCAAAGTGACAACAGCATGGCTAGTCCCAAAAAGCACACTCTCACCGACCATGACGATGAATTTGAAACCCCTCGTCCTTCCAGACGAATGAGGACGCCGAGAAGTGAATCCGGCACCTCTCTACCTTCGACGCAGTCAGCATCACAAGCATCAGGCCGATCCTCGCCAACCAAACAACTCCGCGCGCTTGCGCTCAATACCAGAGGCGTCGTCACCAGAGAACTCAGCGCCTTTCCTAATATGCCAGCACCTTTAGAAGCTCTCCTCGACAAGATCGATCTCGCCTCATCAGGCATTGGAATCCTTCCTTCATCTCAACGTTCCGTATACAGGGATTTCAAGTGGACTAGACAGCCCATTCTGAGCAATATCCTCTTCTCGGACGATCGTGACAATCTCGGGCATACGCCGACGCCTGAGGCTATACAGTGGATTCTTCATGAGGCTGCGTATTGCAATAGTAGAGGTTGTTCGGAGGCAGATTGGAACGTTGAAGTTCATCATCGTGTTCTTGCTGCTGCTTTGAGGCCGTTGCAGGGTCCGAGGAGGGATCAGTTCTTTGATTTTCGACTCAGGTGAGTACATTCGCTCTAGGAAGCCTTGCAACTTCTGACTGTCTTAGTACAACCGCTTCAATCATCACCGAGTATCATGTGACGTCAGCGTCTAAGAAAGTTGACTTTTGCATGTATCTCGATCCCAAACAGGATGAATCTGCCCAAGTTTCAGAAACCATTGATGCCCTGAAGAATATCCTCCCGCTCGGCATGTTCAATCACGCCAATCTAGCCCCGCTCTCCGACAATCCCATCACTGTTAGTATCGAAACCAAGAAGACAGGCGAGGGCTGGGAGAACGCCAAGCTTCAGATGGAAGTCTGGATGGCGGCCCATTGGCAGTTCCTCCGAACATTGCTCTCGTTACGACAACGTGCACAAGAGCTCACAACTACCAACGACAAGAGATGGAACCTACCAGGTTTTATACCTGGCATTATCATACAAGGACACGATTGGCATCTCATCATCACGACGCCAGAGGGAGAGAAGACGGTTTTCTGGCAGAAGAAGAATTTTGGAGATACATCGAGCTCAAAGGGAATTTACAAGATTATATATAATTTGCAGCTGTTACGACAATGGGCGCAAGAGGACTATTGGAAATGGATGAGAGAGTTGTTGGTGGAGTGGCCTCGAATTGAGGGGGAATTGGTTGTTGTTTGAGAATTTGTGGGTTTGGAAGCAAGCGTGATGAGTTTTAATGTGATACCCTATTATAATGATTGCCGGAAAGCCATCCCCAGCTTCTACATTTTGGATAAAGTGACCATGCTTGACAAAAATAGCCTGTTGTTTATCTATTTTCTGTCCGCGCACTCAGATCTATATAACGTGAACGTGGACTGGAGTCGCCTAGCCTGGTGGAAATAAGACATACTCAGTCAGAGCAAAAGACAGTATCAGCCTATGTCGATTGCATCCAGAAGAGAAACACTCTGTAAGTAAAAGAACAATTTACTGGGCCCTGCATCAGCCAGAGACGTATATTCTAGACAACAGAGTTTTACAGACTCAAACTCGAAGAATTTTCATCTACTTATGATGCATCATGCACGTGTCACGCGATTCGCGTCAAAAACACACTGCCAAGTCGCAGGGTCCTGTCGGTAGTTGCCCTTGGCGTCCCGTGCTGCTGGGACCATCTGGTGGCCCTGTAGATGTTCCAGCATGTAGCCTATGACCTATATGATCAGCAATTCGAAACAGTGCTCTTCCAGATCTCGAGAAACATGAGGTTTGTGTATCGTGTCTCTGTTCACGCAACCATCTAGAGTCTTGAAGCTTCAGGATACGTTTCTAATCCCCGAGCCCCAGAATCGGACATCACCGCTGCCCCCAAAGTATCTCTGGCATCCAAGCTTGTTGCGGTCTGAGTAACCTTAAAGCTTAAGCAGGAGAGACTTTGTTTATTCACTCAAGCCTAGAACACTGCAGGGTTATGGTCAGATACAACACGACGATCGCTGGCCTCTCGTAGGTGCAAAATTATTCCTCACGGCTACACGGCTTTTAACCACGAGGATCAGACGTTACTACATTCAATTATGCCCGTGGAAGATCCGCATCGAAACTCAAAGTCATTCATATTCCAGGTAAGCTTAATTGGTGGACACGTCACTAAAACAAGCATGATCGAAATTCCACCAATCTTGCCCCGTCACTTTCATCCAGCCTTACTAGTTTCATTCTCTCCCATGCTCATATTGGGGGTAGTATCTCCATTACCCCAGACTTCGGGTCGTCGTGCAGCTGATCATATCGAGCAAGTTGAGCAGGAAATCAGGTCATTTGATTGGTCTCCGCAAATAACGAGTCGAGACGGAGAATTATGGTATTTAATTCCTCGAATGAGAATTGAGTTTGGTTCGAGATGTAACATTGAACGGAGTTTCACTTCAATGATTAGGTTGCCGTTTTCGGACTCGAGCGTGATTATACGATGCTAATTGGTGCAATGAGCGAAAAACAGGTACAGGGGCCTTAGAACAAAGGGGAAGATTGATTGAAACTGATATATCGACGAGAAAGAATATATAATGTTCATAAATATATAAAGGATGAGATATCCAGAGAGCCAAGAGACTTGTTAGACTTGTTCACTCAGCATCACAACTCAAGCCTTCACTAGAAACATCTTCGGAATAATCTCAATTCATTCATCATGAAGTACACTGCCATCCTCGCCCTTGCTGGCGTCTCCTCCGCCGCTGTCACCAAGACTCTCCCCAAGTCTGCTGGTGCTACTTCATTCCCTACTGCTGTTCCTGTCAAGGGCAGCTACGATGGTGGCATGAAGCGATTCGAGCGAAGCCGTAAGCCTCTTTATACCTTGTCTCTAAACCTCTGACTAACACTTTTCCTAGCCTCTGTTTGCCAAGGCCAGACCGAAACTGGTGAGAAGGATGCTATGTTCATTCTCGAGAACGGTGCCACTCTTTCCAACGTGATCATCGGCGCATCTCAGGCCGAAGGTGTCCACTGCAAGGGTACTTGGTGAGCAAGTTTCTCTCGACTGACCGTTACCTCATGCTGATTTGACTTTAGCACCCTGAACAACGTCTGGTGGGCCGACGTCTGTGAGGACGCCATCACCCTCAAGCAGACCAGTGGAACTTCTTACATCAACGGTGGCGGTGCTTTCCATGCTAGCGACAAGATCGTCCAGTTCAACGGCCGCGGCACCGTCCAGATCAAGGATTTCTACGCCGAAGACTACGGAAAGCTCGTCCGCAGCTGCGGAAACTGCAAGGATAACGGTGGCCCTCGAAATGTCGTCATCTCAGGCTCTGTTGCCGTCGACGGTGGTGTTCTCTGCGGCATTAACACCAACTACGGAGACACCTGCAAGATCACCAGCTCGTGCCAGGACAAGGGCAAGTACTGTGACCGCTACGAGGGTAACTCAAGCGGCGCTGAGCCTTCCAAGATTGGATCTGGCCCTGATGGCAAGTACTGCACTACTTCTGGAGTTACCACGAGCTGCTAGACGATTGATGAAATGTTATGAGAGACGGATGGAACGGTGTTGTTTACTTCTTGGTAAAAGTTTATGTACCTAAGCTTTATGTTTGTACATTGTGAGTTTAGCACATGGCTCGCCCCAATATCAATTGCAGTTTACTTTATGCAGAGTTGTTGAATTTAATGTTGAACTACGTGAAAGCCTTACCGCTCCATCGAAACCATGAGTTATTCCATACGAGTCAGTGTTACAAAAGTTCATCATCGTCACTTGATACCATCAACTTACACCAAGCCAAATGGACATGTACATCCGGAACGGTTCACTCGGAGGATTGCCTGGCATATGAGCTCGGATATTCAACCAACCCTTAAAACATGGTGCTCACGACAATTCAGCCCAACCTTCTGAGCCAAGACGTTAGCCCTACGCCTCTTCAATTGGTCAAACCGGACTAGAGACGGACCAGTTGCTTAATTGGCATGTCGACCGAAACCTGACGTGATGACAATTGTCAAAGCTTCCCCATGTCAACAGTTCTAGACCATTGAGAGAATGAATTAATGTTTCCATGGCTGCCGATGACCCGGCATATGGTGACACACAAAGGATCGTCATCTTATAAGGTTCCGGATAGATCTCCCTATATCGTTAGTTGTCCCGCGAAATGGATATGTTTTCAATATATTCTTGACACTTATTAGCAAATTGATACCTTGCCCATTAAAACAGGGAGGAGGCTAAGATGATCTACGTCGGAACTTTTCCCTAGTCTCTTGCAACGCTAACGATTGCCTTCCTCTTCTCGGCAGCAAAATAACCCTGCAGTGTATCAGTTGACGATTGTTTCAAGTATCATCAATTGCTTGTGACTGGCACTTTTGAAAATCAAAGGACCTTGATATCTTTTATTCCTGCTTGATTGAACTTGTCAAGACCTTTTGATTGAGCTATCAAGCTTATTCAGGGGAATTGTTGAAACCAACTCCCTGACTCGGAAATAGATCGCCACGCGTCGCCTCGATTGGCTGACACCCTCGGGCGATATCGTTTCAAGACAGATTAGTGCCCCAGAGAGCAGCTCTCGACTTCAATTGGCTTGTCTATCAATCTGCTAATTGGCACCCCCACTGCCCTGGCGGTAACCGATTCACCAGTCAAATCACAAAACAAGGCAGAGAATAAGGAGCCTCATTAATTATGCACTCCTTTCATCTCGTGGCGAATGGTGCTCTCAAAATTTGAATTAGGGTATCGCACGTTTCGGTTGGCTAAGTCGCTTATGGTTAATTCTCATGCTATACCTCGCCAGGCACGCGATGCGTGGGATCGTCGCTCGCTTTAGGCAGGTAGTGGTTGCGGCCGGGGTCGACTATCTCAAACGATGACGATCATCGTGGCACATGTTTGGCACGATAGGTTGCGTGCCGAAAGACGACCAACCCAACATCCGATCAAGGAACATGGCTCTAAGTGGAAGTAGACAACTAAAGGAGAGAGCTTCAAGATAAATAGAAGCCTCCGTCTCCAACAATATCTCCTTCTCATCAAGCAACTCAGCTCTTCAGTCTTTACAACTACATTCACTCAGCACCACTCTTTACAACTTCATTCTTTAAGTTCTCCAACTTACAACAATCTTTCTTCAAAATGCGATCTGCTACTCTTCTCGCTCTTCTCCCCTTTGCGCTGGCCGCTCCCTCCCGCCGGGCCGAGCCCGCTCCCATTCTTCGCCCTCGCGGTGTCAAGCTTGTCGATGGCAAGTACATCGTCAAGATGAAGAATGGCTTCCAGGCTTCTTCCATCGAGAGCTGGGTTGACAAGATGATCGAGTCCATCGAGGCTGATGCCGATTACACCTATTCCAAGGGCTTCGGCGGTTTCGCTGCCAGCCTCAAGGATGATGAGCTGAACAAGCTCAAGCATGACCCCAATGTCAGTGACTTCTGACTCATATGGATCCAGCCACAAAGGAACCCAGCTAACAAGGTTTAGGTCGAGTACATTGAGCAGGATGCTTACATTAGCATCACGGCTACTACTCAGCAGAGCAATGCTCCTTGGGGTATTGCTCGTGTCTCCAGCCAGAGCCCTGGGGGCAGCACTTACACCTACGACGACAGCGCCGGTGAGGGCACTTGCGCCTATGTCATCGACACCGGCATTGATGTCGACCATCCCGTAAGTTTGGCCAACTTCCAGAGGCGGAGCAGCCTAACCCAACCTAACACAATTGCAGGACTTCGATGGTCGCGCCAAGTTCCTCAAGAACTTCGCTGGTGGTTCCGACAGCGACGGTCAAGGCCACGGCACTCACGTTGCTGGCACCATTGGTTCTACCACCTACGGTGTAGCCAAGAAGACCAGCCTCTTCGCTGTCAAGGTCCTCGGCGACGATGGCTCTGGTACCAACTCTGCTGTCATCGCTGGCATGGACTTCGTTTCCGGTCACGCCAAGGATGAGAACTGCCCCAAGGGTGTCGTTGTCAACATGTCTCTCGGTGGTGAGACATCCGATGCCGTCAACCAGGCTGCCAAGGCCATCGTCGATGCCGGTCTCTTCCTCGCTGTCGCAGCCGGTAACGACGGCAAGGATGCTTCTGGATCCTCTCCTGCTTCCGAGGAGAGCGCTTGCACTGTCGGTGCCACCACTCGCGATGACACTCTCGCCGACTACTCAAACTTCGGCTCTGTCGTTGACGTCCTCGCTCCCGGTACCGATATCCTCAGCACCTGGCCCAACGGCAAGACCAACACCATCTCCGGTACCTCTATGGCTTCGCCCCATGTCGCTGGTCTTGCCGCTTACTTCCTCGGTCTGGGGCAGAAGGCTGAGGGTCTCTGCGATTACATTGCCTCCAAGGCCCTTGATGGAGTTATTTCCAACGTGCCTTCCGGTACTGTCAACAAGCTTATCAACAACGGTGTCGGTGGCAGCAACAGCAGCAGCATCCGCCACTAAATGTAGGCCAGCGGCCTTTCTCTTCTGAGTCCGATATTTGATCCGAATCTCGGTGAGATGGATACATATTTCTTTTCTGTACCTAGTATGAGGTAGTTTCCTAGCTGTATGACTTGAAGCATTGAATAATAAAAGCATTTTTTTCGGCCGACTTCTTGAACATGCTTTGATCCGTGATTCTGCCCGCTCTATATGAGTCTCTTGCCAAACCCCTTACACGCTCCTGGCGCTTGCGTCTTCATGGATGTCTGGTGACAATATGGCTTTGTGGCACTAGACGAGTTAACCTTGTTTCTGTTAGATCATGAAGCAGCCAGAGGCGAAGAAGGTCAGTGTTGAACTACTGAGCTAAGGCTGCTTTACCTGCATAGCTAGGTGTGCGGAGACGGGCTACCGTCAATAGTTCTTGGGGCTAGCGACAGCACGAAACCGTCGGTCTCTGGAACCAATCTAGCGATTGCCTAAGCGTTTGACGGCGAGTATGAAAATTGGTGAGAGATGGTGGATATAATTAATCATGCAATGAGCCGCCATAAGTATGGTGTATAGCTGTCATATTTATTCTAGCCGTATGGTCGAAGCGACGCTACGATGCAAGATATATTATCAGTGTAATCTTGAGGTCGATATAAAAATTACACGCTGTCGGGATTTTTTGATGTTTTTTTAAAGTAGGCCAGTGCTTTAATTGGGATGGCAAAACGCTCCATTTAAACCAAAATGCAGTCCAGTCCCTTTCACATCTTCCTTTGCTCTGTCGCTCCTTTATTATAACATCCACTCGTTTTCCAGGGCCTTGCAGGGTACCTGACTACCGCCAACATGATGTCAAACACTGTTGGACGCCTTGCGCTTTTCGCAACACTCCCTTTACTGACTTTGGGATTCACTGTTACACAGGACAACGATGGTCCTGGCCAAACCGTGGCCCAGGCGATTTTTACCGGGCAGGGCCTGAGTGTAGTGAACTGGGACTTGAGTGCTGCATCGGGCAGCTATGGATCCTTCGCTGACGGCCCATTCGGCATCGGCAGCGGTGGCATCTTGGCCACTGGTCCCATGTCTGGCGCCCTGCCTGGAGGAAATCGTAATGTCGATAACGGGCATTCGAATAACGGAGAGCATGACAGCTACTGTGGACCCAATAGCCAGAATGCCCTCGTTCTCTATGCAGGCGTCTTTATTGACTCTGGGTATAATGGAGTCTCAGCTAGAGTTTATCCTGGCCACGGAAGAGGACGAAGGGTACGTCAACGCTCTTGAAGGAAACTCACTTTCGCTGACACAGAATAACTAGGGGCCAGCCTGACTCTATTGGCTTGCTCGCCTATACCGATAACGAGCACCAACTGGCTGTGGATGGCAGCGGAAACAGAATCACGGTCCAGTCTTCCTTAGCAAAAGACCCAATCGCCATACGCCCACCTAACAGTGTTACCGAATACTCACGATCGACCCCTCCTCTGATTGTACCACTTCCGTTACCAGGAGGAAATACCCAACTCGACATCTTCCTCTCGATATGCGACATCAATAACGCCGGCCACGATTCAGCTTTACTTATCAAAGGTACTGCTTGTACCGACTGCGAGTTGACTCCAAATGGTGCGGAGATCAACTACGTCAAATAGACGACTACGCTCCAGCGAGGAGAGTAAGCATATACCTCTACTATACCTGCATCTGGCACAGCCTCGGGAACATTCATATATTTTGTCGCGCCTGAAGAAACGACCACCACTGCCCTTCGAGCAACCAACCTCGACTGACGCTACAACTACGACTTATGAGTCAACGGAGACAACCACGACTGATTCAACAACTGCCACCGCAACAACGACTAGTGGTGAGATCAAGAGCACCTCTGCAGAGGCAGCGGTTACAACCAAAACAACAGCTAAGGAACCAACTACTACTGCCGAAAGTACCTCGACAGAAGAGCCAACAACTGCTAGCCAATCCACTGACACCAACACGTCAACTGAGCTGGGCACTACCGTTGAGGACACAACCACAAGTGACTACTCATCCACCACCACGGTTGATGAACTCACGACCAGCTCAACAAATGTCTCGATAGTCAGCACCGTTACCACCACCGATGCCACTGCCGTTGTCACTACAGATACCGCATCCACTGTCGCTACTGATAGCGCGAGCCAACCAACAACTGCAACTCTGAGAGAATCAACCACTGTCGCGTTGACCAGCAGCACGGTAGTGACTACTTCCGAGGAGTCTGTACTCCAATCAGATACAACGACTACCATGTCGAGCGACTCAAATACCGCCAGCTGGAGTTCATCCGAGACATCTAGTACATCTTCTGGTTATTCGAACCAAGCTACAACTTCTCGTGCCTCGTCTTCGAGTGAGACTTCACTCCCACTCTCTTCAACTGAGATCTCTTCGACCGAAATTTCTTCCACTGCGGCCGTTTCTCAGGAAACTTCACAGACTCTTACAACCCATTCTGAACCATACACCACTTCTACATCTTCTCTCATATTTTCCACTTCTGCAAGCGGTTCCATCGATTCGAGCTCCATTTCCGTTTCAACACCGGCCAGCACCATCAGTACGGGCTCACAAGGATCCTCATCTGCAGGCTCTACAGAGCTAGTTTTTACAAAGCCAAGTTCCAGTCAAACCACGGTGTACTCAGTACCTTACAACTCCGGTAAGCCAGGACAGAGCCTCGGTGATGCAACGACAGTAACAACCATCACGTACACTATTGTCAATCCTTACAAACCCTCCGAGTTGACGGTCACTGAGTACTGCTCCACTTTGTCGTATCAACCATGCACTCGTTGTGCCCACCAGCCAATTCCCTCGGTTTCCATGACTACACAAGTCGTTCCTTGCAACGGATGCGGGAAGCAGGGAGAGAACGAGGTTACTGTTACAGTGCCTTGTGCAGCCGCCACATAACCGTCCTCTAATGATCACCCCTACAAGAAGCCCAAGCTGCCGAAGCCACAAGGTTCCCATCAGTCGGAATCTCTAGTTCAGTATGCCAAGCCAACATCGGTCGGAAACCACGCTGTGCCTGGCTTCAACGGAACACTCACCACGGCCATCAGACATGCTCGACCTACGGCTTACGGCAATGGAGATTCTGATGCACACCACTACAACAATCCTACTAATGGTACTCCTGATCAACAGCAAGATCACCACGAACCGAGCAGCCCCGAGGTCACCAGCATGAACTATGGAAACCCATCACTTCCTTCCTCCTATTCAGCTAGCACACCAACCCACCACACTACAGTGCCAGAGGTAGCTATTGCTTCTGGAGGGCGACTTCAGATGAATATGTTTGTCTTTTTGTCGACCTTTATCGGGCTTATCTTCTTCTTGTAATAGTTATGCACCCTTTTACTTCTTTGTATATATTCTCAATATGTAATGTGTATAGAATCTACGACTTTATCTTACATATATATACTTTTATACTTATCATCGGTCTCTGAAATGGGACAAATTGAACATAACACATGTCAGAATGCCAATAATCGCTACATCTACGCCTCCCTCATAATTGCATTCTTGTGCGATATTCTTCCATGTCCGAGAGAAATCGTCACTCTGACTCAACTCAGATGAGGACACGCCAATTCAGTTATCCAGAGAGTAGCTGAAACAATCGTACGCAATAGATCATCCTGAACGAGATCTACAGCACTCCCCTAGTCTCCTCCACCAGGACAGCAAGTACAGACTCCTTGAGCTTACAAGTTTAATAAATTCCTGGCGATAATATGACTTTCCGGTACTAGATGAATTTACCTCGTTTCTGTTAGACTATGATGAGCAGAGGCAAAGAAGACTAGTAATCCGGGGCCTCTATCCGTATCTCAAACTCAAGATCAATGACTTGCTCTGTCTTACTCTTTCCAGCCATCTCCAGCACCGAGAAACCAGTTGGCGCCCACGAGTCGTAGTCCATACTTCTCAACAAACTTGGCAGTATCGAAAGACCTTCTTTGCGTGAACTCTTCACCTCCTACATCCTCCTTGGCAAGGTCAAGGCTGGCGGGTTGTCGGTACAAAAGAAGCAAGTATCTGTGCGGCTTGGAGCTGCGTGGCCGTCAGTAAGTGAACACTGAGCATGTTGAGTCATCTTAACTTACTCGTCCTTCGGGCCAGGGCCCAAGTATTCTGTGAGAGCAGGTTGCACTTGAGCCACCGCATCTCCACCGCTCAAAGGTCTCAAGCCAGGGAGAACCCAGTGGCGCCAGAAGGCGAACTTGGGGTCATCTGGTGTTGGCGCATCAGGGTCGACAAGCAAGAGCATGTAGGTAGCATCTCCAGGAGCATCAGGCTAAACCTCGTCAGCACTGAACAAAGTGTTCTTGAAGATATCCACAACTTACTTCTTGATCAAACTGGATGCTAGGAGCGCGCTTGCACTCACTCGCGCGGAATAGGTTCCCCAAGTCGACATCCTTCCCATCGAACGAGACCTTCAGATTCGTCGTAGGCTTGAAGCCTTCGGGGATTAAGCTAGCAGCTGAACCAGGAACCAGCTTAGCCTCAGCCAGAGAGCTCGACAATGCGCTTGACATGATGAATGAAATATCAGATTGCCTAATTTGATTATGAAGATAGCGTTTGGTAGCTAAGTGTTTGAGGCTGGTTCGATGACGGTGTATTTGAATGGCTACCCCACGTTGGGGGTTTGTATGACGTTACATTTGACTGGTGGAAGAATATACGTGCATCACCGCCAACAGAACCATGCCCCCAACGTTAGCGGTCCTACTGGAGCGGTAGTAGCAATTAACTTTATAATTAAACATTTCGACGCGTGAAATGCCGTTCTGACGCGAAGCAAGCTCCGGCAACGCGTGCGGCCCGGCTGCCCCACTCGTTAAGCTTATCGACGGCGAGGGGCTGAACGGCCATCGGGTGATGATGCAATTACAGGCAGTATAGGGTAGTGTTACCGCCATCAACCTCCAAAAGTTGCAACTGCAGAATATACTATATGGTAAATTCTCAGGGTAATAAAGTCTGATCGATATGCCAAACACGTTCAGTACATCATTTTGTCTCTTCTCTATCCGGGAAAAATGTATAATTACAGTAGGCGTGGATATTGACGGACTTTACCCTTTTCTCATCTTATCATTAGAATTCAAGATTGTCACACACTTTCAGTCTGTGGTGTTCTGAGCAGGAAGAAATGCCCCGCTTGCCCAACCCTTATTGGCTCAGACAAGAATAGATAAGATAAGACCACCGAGATTACATCATAGTCACGTGAAAAGGCGCGCGATCGCTGTAGGTGCTGGCGCGACTGGCATGATGCGATCGAAGCATCAAGACCATCACGACAGAATGAGCGTTGCCAATTACAATACCCCGCCCCACAGCGCGCAAACTCTGCAACAAGTTCTGTCTCAACTTGATAACGACTACGTACCTCCATATGCTCAATATGTCTTAGTCTTTCAGCGAACCTGCCTACGCAGATACAACACGACCGTAAGAAGAGGAACGTGCCAGGGTGCCGACTGCACTTGATCTCGACAGGATAATGGAGCACTTGGGTCTTTATGCTTGGGTGACTTTATCACTGACCTCGAAAACCCAAGACCCCTCCCCCGTACCTGCGGCAGTGTCTGTTCTCCATCGACAACCATCCTCCCCAGCCCGATCGTGATCCTCTTGCGAAAATGACCACCTACAATGCGCTCTTCGCCCGAACTCCCTTCAAGCTACCAGAGCCGAGTATATAGACGAAGCCGTGATCGCGACCGTGACCGATTTCTACCCGACGAGATGCTCTGATCTGGACGTCATCCGGATGCCACGATGCCCTCCGACCGAAACAATCCTATACCGAGATGGCCTGATACATGCAGCGGACTTGTCTTATGCAGAGCCCGAAACCAGGCTTCGACTCGCAGTCCGGTCGGTCGAGATTTGGTTGCACATCCGCGCGCATCGGACTCCGGAGCCCATGAGAACATCACACACTCCGCCTCAAACACTGCTCCCAAAAGACGGGCTTCGTGCTTGAAGGGCGTAAGATTCGCACTCTCGGGTTTCCAGTCCCATGTCTGTGGAATTGCAATCTCATCCGACGCCCGATCGGCACGCGGTTAATACATCATCCTACAATTGTTCGGGAGGGGCTGCGCCTTACACGCGACAAAGGAACGCTTGATGAAGAGAGCTCGGGTGCAACGATAAACCATTGCCCGAGTCTCTGAGGTCTTCCAATGCGCTCTCCGATGGCAAATGTCCCAGCCATATCTGTCTGCTGTCCTACGGATGTTGTTCACTTGCGCATCCGTAGGTGTTCGGGCAGAAAGATAAAGTTCGAGTCCGAGATTTCGACATATGGTCCGATCATGCTGCCACCAACCGCCAATTGTCCAACGGCCCGTAGGATCTTGCGTCCCGAGCCTGAGTTTTACACAAGAAGAAGGCCGAGTCACGCTATGCCGTTGTCCGACGGACTTGGCAGCCCCCTCAGAGACCGAGACCTTCGGTGTTCGGTGGGGATATTGTCCGAGGAGAAGCACCAGATGTGAACAGCTGGATGATACCGGAAAATGGATTCATGGTATCGCGGAACTTTTTACGATTGCACTGATGTGTCTCATGGCCCAAGTCGGAGCTCGAGGTAGGTCAATGTAAACGTAAAATGTAATCCTCAGGTGTCTTGAGAGTCGGACTCCTCAAGTCACCTTCCAACGTCCGACTTTGCTCATCGCGTGACACCATCATATCGTGATGAATGGTTAGGTAAATGAAAGGAAAAGTGCTGTCTATATCACAAGGAATGCCTACAACGATCTTGGCCTCATTGCTTACTTTCGCGAGGCTGGTGTTCAGGGGTTCCTGGCCAATGTAGCGCTCGGAAGAGTGAAGTCCGTTCCCGACGGTGGTGAGAGTAATTTAAAAGGACGATTCTTGCGTACATCTCTTGCTCTTCGTGATTACTTCGTTTCTCACACTTAGACTATCCTCAAAGGTAATAGGCACCTGCCTCTCAGCGCCTTCCTCGAACTGCAGATCCTTCCCAGCAGCTGGTCAAGTCTCCAACCATGATATGTTGGCTCCCTCTTGATGCAATCCGTCGGCTGTATTGAGAGTATATATACTTAGTCTTTTTTCAGCACTGCTTAACGGGGCATCGCTCAGGCATTTCTCTCGTTAGAGTGGTCAAACGGGGGCTCCCAGTGCGGACCCCTGTGTAAAGCTGTATACAGCGTTGTCTCTTTTACTTGTAGGTTCGAATCCTTGTTTCTTCCTTTTTTTCTTACTATAAAGCTGAGTGTGAAGGCTGCTTCAGAGCTATATATCCTGTGATCTGAGAAGTGCTTATCGGGGGACGGTAGTCGAGACATTCCTCTCGTTAGAGTGGTCTAGCGGTTATGCATATGTTAATATGCTAACAGCGCTCTTGTAAAGTCGTAGTAAGATACGTCCTCTTTTTGCCTTTAGGTCACACGTTCGAGTGCTGGACTTTTTGTGATATTGATATGAACGACACAGATTCGGCTGAAGCCATATACACCATGATCTAATTGCTACTTCGCGGGGGTCGTGGTTCAGACATTCCTCTCGATAGAGTGGTCAAGCGGCTTGACTGATCCCCTGCCAATGTAAAGTTGTTTACAGCCTCGATTTCCTTTTGCTCATGCGTTCGAACATGTTGGCCTTTCTTTTTGCACAATGGCAAGGGTCATTGGACTGCTCCTCGCTGATGCTCGGGCCGTCAGACATACTGGTGTCGTGGGCGGGACCCAGGTTGGCATACCACGGAGCGATTTCCATGACAGAAGCAAACCTCCAGCGGGGTTACTCACTATATATACCACAATCTGATCAATGTTGTCGGGGTTGGGTTCAGACATTCCTCTCGCTAGAGTGGTCTGGCCGAGTGGTTAGTGACGTAGCCGTGTAATGCGCCAGCATGAAAGGGATAATCGCACTAACGCTCATTCCGCCTGTAAAGTCGTTTACAATCCTTCCTCTTTTGCTCGCGCGTTCGAATGCGTTAATCTTTTGGAATTTTGGTCTGAAGAGATGAGGTTGTCGTCGCAGTGCTTGACAGTGCACGCTTGCAGTGGGTCGGTTGGTGGCAGACCACTTAGCGACTACAGTGGGGTCAGTCACCTGTAGCTGGACGTCAACGCTTCCCTGCTAGAGTGGTTTGGCAGTGCAACTTCCAAGTCACCAGTGCGAACACTAATTGACTGGAAATACTCTCATGTCTGACGAATACATGTCAAAATGGAAGCTGGATGATAATCAGTGGCTTTTCCTCATCCCTCATCCCTCTCTTTGATCCCTGACTGCTGTCTTATGAGTAAATTTACTGGGCACTGAGCTTAGTGATGCGTGTATTTCGATTGGCTACAGTCTACCCGCTGGCATTGTCTCATGAGGTGCGAGCTTTGAAGTCGCAAGTCTTATCGCACCGAGGTGTAAGATTGTCAACAATTGAAACAGAACTAGATATGCTCGTACAAGCCATGTACTGTTTCAATTGTACGCGCGTTTGTGTTGCGCTGGAGCCGAGAGTCAGAAAAGAGGGGATCATGAACCCCTCATGTACTTGGATAGTGAACCAAAACCTCGGATGGTCGCTAGGCCAGGCCCTCTTCGGAGGTACTGGTCAAAGATGCGATCATCCACCTCCATTTATTTTTGCATTTTGAAGGTCTCGAGTTCAATTCCTCATCAGTCGGAGACTTTTCATCGGCGCCTCGGCATCAATGTCTTGGATGATGCGTCGAGATAATCCGACCGGAGGCTTGCAGGAACCACTGACGACGCAGGTACCGCACACCTGGAACACAATTGATTCCATCTGCTGCAGAATGGAAATTGATTCCAAATGTAAGCGGGGCTCATGATTGGCTTGCGCATCTCGGCTTGTGGTGGGTGTTTGGAAGTTTGTTAGTGGAACTCGATCATCTCTGATCATTTGGAATCTATTGTGTATCATTGGCAAATTGAACATCCCTGAAGCGGATTTCCACGCCGGCTTTAAGAGGCAATTGAGCAATTCATGCATTAGGAAGTAACAACGATCGTTGCTACGCAGCAAGTTCAAATTAAGTCGTAATGCGACGGTGGAATTGCCTCACTTTTATTACTGTGTTAGGAAGAAATGGATTGCGATGGTGAAGTTGACCCCGCTCTTTGGCCTGCCAATTTTAGACTGTGTCTGGTGGGAGGAAATCCGCAGTGGTAGCTGAGAGCTCTCCCCTGGTTTTCTCCAGAAGCTCAGGCGGGGTGAAATGGGCTGGTCTACGACGAAACGGGCTGCTAACACGCAGAGAAATTGGGTTGCTGTGGTGTTTGTTTTGCGGGGCCGGCCCAGTAAGAGCCGGTACTAAACCGATCACGGGGGGGAGTCCATCCCTCCAGTGTCATGATGCTTCATGAAAGGTTATTCAGTGGCAATCATTTGCAGTCTTGTAGGAACCATGATGTAGAGGATGAATGATTGTTATTTCTAGATAATTCTGTAGGGACTGATTCCTCAAACAAGGCCCGATATCTCTCCCCGACCCCGAAGTCTTCCGGGCATTCAACGTGCCTTGGTTACACCAGTTGCTCAGTTCGGACAGCTTCCCCGCACTTGCGATGGGCTACAGTGCGTCATGCAGTTAACTTTTGTTGACAAATCCGGCATAAGTTTCCGATGATACTGTACAAGTCGTCCCTTGGTAGTTTGACGAGATTCCGAGCGTGATCCGGGGACACCGTCTCGCCTCTAAAAAGAGTCCACTCACAGTCGTTCCTTTTCCAATCCACGTCCCTCGCGTTACGGTATAAATGCCAAACTCCACCCCCGCATCTCCTCCATGCCTCGGTTTCTCTTCCCTTCCTCTCGTATTCTGTCCTTGTCTGTTGCGAGGAGGACTCTGAATCTGAATCTGAACCAACAAACCACCAGATTATCGCTTCATACTTCAGCTCCAAAAATGGCCGACGAGAGAAAGTGTCCCGTGGCCCACAAGGTCCCCAACGTCGCTGGTCACGGCGTTACCCATCAGAAGTGGTGGCCCGAGGCTCTCAAGACCAACATTCTTCGTCAGCATAGCGCCGTCACCAATCCCTACGGCGAGAACTTCAACTACGCCGAGGCTTTCAACTCTATTGACTACAACGAGCTTAAGGAGGATCTGCGAAAGGTCTGCCGCGATTCGCAGGACTGGTGGCCTGCTGATTTCGGCCACTATGGTGGTCTCTTTGTCCGTATGTCGTGGCACGCCGTTGGAACATACCGTATCTTCGATGGCCGAGGTGGCGGCCGACAGGTAAAGAAATCTATTACACCCTCTCTCTCAATCGCGGACAAGTCTAACAGCGTCATAGGGTCAGCAAAGATTCGCCCCCCTCAACTCTTGGCCCGATAACGTTTCCCTCGACAAGGCCCGCCGTCTTCTGTGGCCCGTCAAGCAAAAGTACGGCAACAAGGTCTCATGGGCCGACCTGATCGTCATGGCTGGCAACGTCGCCCTCGAGGATATGGGCTTCAAGACCATTGGCTTCGCCGCTGGTCGTCCGGATACTTGGGAGGCTGACGAGGCTACCTACTACGGTGGCGAGGATACTTGGCTCGGAAACGACGTCCGTTACTCTGATGGCCACCCCGGAACCACCAAGCCTGGCGCTACCGATTCCGATCAGGCTCCCCACAAGAACATTCACACCCGCGAGCTTGAGAAGCCTCTGGCTGCTGCTCACCACGGTCTTATTTATGTTAACCCTGGTCAGTCCTCCCCCGAGACAATGCGTAATGCACAATCACTGACTTTATCGCAGAGGGTCCTGATGGCAACCCCGACCCCGTCGCCGCTGCCCGTGACATCCGCGAGACCTTCGGTCGCATGGCCATGAACGACGAGGAGACCGTCGCCCTCATCGCCGGTGGTCATACCGTCGGAAAGACTCACGGCGCTGGCTCAACCGACCACGTCGGCCCCGAGCCCGAGGCCGCTGATCTCGCCCAGCAGGGTCTCGGCTGGTCCAACAGCTACAAGACCGGCAAGGGTCCTCACACAACCACCTCCGGTCTCGAGGTTACCTGGACCAGCACTCCCGTCAAGTGGAGCCACGACTACCTCAAGTACCTCTTCCAGTTCGAATGGGAGCTCACAAAGAGCCCTGCTGGCGCTCACCAGTGGGTTGCCAAGGATGCCAACGCCACTGTTCCTGATGCTTTCGACCCCAACAAGAAGCAGAAGCCTACCATGTTGACCACCGATTTGTCTCTGCGATTCGACCCTGAGTACGAGAAGATCTCTCGTCGCTTCCTCGAGAACCCAGATCAGTTCAACGAGGCTTTCGCCAAGGCCTGGTTCAAGCTTACCCACCGTGACATGGGTCCCCGCGACCGATACCTCGGCCCTGAGGTCCCCAAGGAGGTCTTCCTCTGGCAAGACCCCGTTCCCGAGCGTGACTACAAGCTCGTCGACGATGGCGATATTTCCGCCATCAAGAACGAGATCCTCAAGTCTGGTGTTGACGTCTCCAAGCTCGTCTCTACCGCTTGGGCCTCCGCCTCCACCTTCCGAGGCAGTGATCTCCGCGGTGGTGCCAATGGCGCCCGTATCCGCCTTCAGCCGCAGAAGGACTGGGAGGTCAACAACCCCGCTCAATTGAGCAAGGTCCTCAGCACTCTTGAGGGCATCCAGAAGAAGTTCAACGACTCTCAGTCCAGCGGCAAGGCCATCTCCCTTGCTGATGTTATTGTTCTTGCTGGTTCCGCCGCCGTTGAGAAGGCTGCTAAGGATGCCGGTGTTAACATCACCGTGCCCTTCGCGCCCGGCCGCACCGACGCTACACAGGAGCAGACCGACGTCAAGTCTGTCAACCACCTTCAGCCTTTCGCTGATGGTTTCCGTAACTACGGCTCTTCTACAGACCGCGTCAAGCTTGAGCACCAGCTCATTGACCGCGCTCAACTCCTCACCCTCAGCGTCCCTGAGCTCACCGCTCTCATCGGTGGTCTCCGTGCCCTCAACACCAACTATGACGGCTCATCGCATGGTATCTTCACCAACCGTCCTGGTGTTCTGACCAACGACTTCTTCGTCAACCTGCTCGACATGAGCACTGAGTGGAAGGCCGTTGGAAACGGTGATATCTTCGAGGGTACTGATCGCAAGACTGGTGCCAAGAAGTGGACCGGTACCCGTGTCGATCTTGTCTTTGGTTCACATGCTGAGCTCCGCGCTACAGCTGAGACATATGCTGAGGCTGGTGGACAGGAGAAGCTTGTCAAGGACTTTGTTGCTGCTTGGACCAAGGTGATGAACCTGGACCGATTTGATCTTGCGAACGGTTCTTCACCCAAGGCCTCTCCTCGACTGTAATTAATGAGCAATGTATCAAAATACCATTGAGAATGAATGATTACGAATTTATTAGTTAATTGTATCTGTCCTCTATCCCCCCCCGCTGATGCACTTTGTGATTGTATGTATCGATCAATTGATCTTGGCTTTATTCAACGTCCTGACAACGTTCGTGATGGCGGGGTAGCGACGAGCCTCGGCCCGGACGTCGATCGGAGCTTACGATACCATGGCTCCGATAGGCCTTCACAATTCTTGCGCCAAATGGCACCATTTGCGCGACATTTACAGTCTAAATTTATCCTATAGGAAGTTGACCGTATGCTTGAACGGTCTCACTATTAATGTATTGTTTTACTGTTTTGTGGTGCATTTGCTGATGCCCTGTTCTAGCAGAAGTTGTCCTCGGATCTGATACCGCGCGCCGGCCCCACTGCCGGGTGACCCCCGAGCATTCCGATCATGTGAAGCGTCGTTCCGATGAGGCTGAACTCAAAGTCACAGATGAATGACCAACATGGCAATCAAAGCCATAAGGCTGTATATCCGCACAAAGCGCTCGACGGATTATAATGCCGAAGGATTTGCATGCATCAGCAACCTTAGCAAATAGTAGATTTAGTGGTCTCTGTCCTCTACTTCTCCTACTTCTTCTGCTGGTGCGAGGTACACGCCTTGACAAGATATATACATCCAGTCGAATTTGTGTTCTCGTGTTTCAGTCTTGATTCCAAGGTCCGACCTAACCTTGCGATCAGAACTGGAATCATCGACGAGGGCAAAACAAGGCGCCTCATCCGAATCATGACATAAAGCTATCACAACATTCCTTCCGACCATACAGTGCCCATGTTACTAGCTGACGATTGTCGAGCACCTTGTGGCATTTCTCATCGAGGTAGATGTAAAGTTCCTGTGTGAATTAGTATGTGTATGATGTTTGGGAGTGTCACCACGTACCAGTCACCGGCGGGCTTAGTGCATTGGTGGATAGATGGATGTCTTCGTAGCCAGGCGTCTAGGAAGATAATATAATATAGGTGGCAACTGACTTCATGATGAAGTCGTCAGAGCGGTGACAGATACGTCATGTTGGGCAACAGCCTTGTAGCAGCCCATAAACCTGTCGAGTTTAGACCCGTAGCTCGTGTACACACTCGTAAGCGGGCCTAAAGTTGTAGCCGATTGCGGGAACAAAGGTCGCCTGCACTGAAGGGAATCCACGGACAGGAAAAGTTGGGCAGATTCAGGATCTTCGGTGAATCGGAAAGCTTGATGTGTTGACGACACATGAATTGCTCGTGTGGAAGCTCATTGTGGGAATGATATCGGCAACGGTGAAGGGTTTCATTTCGAAGTGAGGCAATGAGCGCTTCGTCCTCAAACCTCAAGAGGGCGGAATCTGCGAGATGAACGCTGAAGTTGGCAAAATCCTGAGCTTCGACGTTAGCGAATCGAGAAAAGGTATTCTGAGTTGCATCCTCTGACGAACTCTGATGCTCTTTGTTGGACACGATCAAGCTGTCCTGGACGCGGAATGCTGCACATTGCGCTGGCTGCGTGTACCCATCGATGTTGAGAGAGGCTGCACATTTTTGTGCGACCGCTAAATTGCCGAGGAGCAACAACAAGCAAAGAGGGACTGGATAGCAAGATGAAGAACCTGAGGCATGAACATTCAATCGATCATAATGTCCTCAGGTGCCTGAAAATTTCGGCCACTGCTTTACGGGGCATGAGAAGCCTACCTTCGCGGGGAGTCATCGCACATGTTCACACGGCTCCAGCCAGTGCCGAAACCTGCCAAAGGACCGCTGAGGTAATGACACGAGTAACTGAAGATATCCTGTGCTTCAGCCTACTGCTGTGCTTTAAATATATTTAATCGTCGTATAATGAAGGGTTCTATCGTCGCTATGCGTATATAGCAAAAGAATCTATGGCGAAAGACCGGGAGAGTTCGTCATGCTGAGAGGCGGAAGGGGAGCTTTCACATCCCGCAGCTGAATCATCTCTGGAAGGTAACGGTGTTCTGCTTGGGGGAACCGCTTCAAACCGTACTCAGCTTGTTTGTTGTTGGGATTGATGGCTGAGGGACACTTGGCAATCGCACACAAAGGTTATGCAAACGCAAAACACTAAGCATGTCGGGGCTTGTTCTCCAAACAAGATTGGGACATTACGATGTGACATAGAGAAAACCTATGATACCAATTTAGCGAGGATTTGTGTATATTGATTACCATAAAGTGAAGAGGCCAATATCGGTTGCTCAACCAACATTTGCGGCTGAAGTAGGTCTACCAAACAGAGGCTGATTGCCACTTGTCAAACGAATTTTCTGGTGCTCAAACCTTCTCAAGTGAAACGAGTGAGGGCGGGCTGCCCACCCAATGACCATTTGTAAACAAGGCAGCCAACAGGTCAAAAAAAAAGTATCCCGAAAGCAATAAAAGTGATTGCGCTTGGTGCTGAGACTCGCGAGCAACACATTAACAATGCGCAAAGGGGCCATCATGAATATCATCTCAGAGCAGCAAAACCGTAAGTGGCAATCTTGCGATACTAGCAGTTTCAAATAAAACATGACCGTTTGGCGCTCCGGTGCTTGATAGGACCGCTGCCGGGAGGATTGTTAGAAGGCAGTCTGAGACACCCTTCAGAGCCCTGAGCATAAGTGGATGTATATGGTGGCAACCAAACGAAAACGACCGTAAAGGGATAAAGAGAGACCGGCAAACCCTTTGCAATCACTTGTGTTGTCACTCCTGCAGACCTCCACACTCTGTGCCATCCTTATCCATGAACTGCTTCACAAGTCCCTGCGGACAAAATGACCGTGATAGTCTGTTCAGGAACAACGACTCAATGGGATCATGGCGCAGCCTTTACGACAGTACAAGTCTGGGAGAGCCTTACCTGTCTCAAAAACTCCTTAGTAGTATGCCACTCTAAGATGGGCGGCTGACAACCTGATCCATGCTGTTGGACCCTGAAGGGCGGCATCTGGGCGGCGTGAGCGGCATAAGTACCTATTTCTTCAACTCAGACAAGAAAGAAAGCACTGAACAATAGCTCTGTGGGGCAAACAAGTATAATGAAACTTGCAAAGATGCAGCCCGCAAGAGTCAGCGCGCGTCGTCGGAACGCTCAGTAATCAGGTCCCAGCCACTCTAAAATTAGAACAAAAACAGACGGCCGGTACCTCAACCATATTCGACAACAGTAACAGTATCACGGAAGCTCTATGTACCCGGGGAATTGGGTAAAATGAAGTATGGCGTTAGACCGAGGGTAAGAGCTTTCCCAGCGATGGGACGAAGTGAGTGGCTGAGTTTCTGACATCGCAGGGATTCTTCGTCGAAACTACTCGAAATCCGGAACGGTCTTTTCGTGAGAACTAGGCGAGCTTTAAATTGGTTCATGAGATTGTGAGGATTGCATTTGTATAAAATAACCATTTGGAGCTGTTATAATCGAACATCAATAACATCTTCGTTTGCAAACTAGTCCTTCGCTTTGTTACAGCCACTCGCTTTAAAATACAAATAACAAACACTGTACACAAATAGCCACCAAATATTCACAAAAATGATCGTTGGCCGCGTTATTGGCGTACTTCTGCCATTCGCACTCGCAATTGCGGCTGCCATCTTCACCCTCGTCCCCGCACTCGCAGGCATCACCGACAAATCTCTCTACCTCATCCAGCTCGATTTCGAGAATCTTAGCATCAGTCCTGCAAGTGAACTTGTCGACAAGATCTTGCCACGTGCCGAGACAGTCGAAAAGAATATTACTGCCGAACTCCTTGGGCTTGACAAGACCTACGATATTACGCCCTGGGGATACTGTCATACTGATAGAGATGATAAGCGAGAGTGCTCAAGTCCCAAGTTTGATTGGGTCAGAAAGACTATATCAACAAACCACATCAAGAGTGTTGATAAAGATGTCGAGGTCAAACTGCCGAAAGAGATCAAGGCTGCTATCCAAACCTTTGGATCGATGACGAAAGGAGCCGAAGTTGCCTTCATTGTGGCCTTGATAGAGCTCACCATCGAGATTGCTCTTGGTATCTTTGCTGTTTGCTCTCGCGAGCTCACCTGCTGGACATGGATGGCAAGTGGCCTTGCTTCCGCGTTTGTCCTCGCGTCAGCCATTCTCTCCACTATCATGGCCTCCGTCTCGATTGGTGCCGTGGAAACTACTGCTAAGCTCTATGGAGTCAAGGGAAAAGTCAACGTCGTTTTCCTTGCCATCATTTGGATTGGTGCTGCATTTGTAATCGCTGCAAACCTCCTCTGGATAATACCAACTCTCTGCTGCAGCACCACCACCAATCGAAAGGACCCTGAAGGCAAGGGACTGCTCGAGCATAGTCGCCACTCTGGAGCTTATGTCCCTATTGATGGTGATCACGAGATGCAGCCGACATACCATAATCGTGGTCTGGCGCCATCTCCCCGGACGGATCTTGCCTATGAACCATACAGCCATCAGGTTTAAGATCGTGAGTCAGATTTAGAACCAACGAGTGCTATGATAGATCTTGGGCACGACTGCAACTTGTCAGGATGTTTGATGTTGAGATGCTTCAATAGATTGGGGTATAGTTACACATTTAGACTCTCATTTGGGATGTGTATACAGAAGCATTTGTTAGACTTTAGAAAGGCAGCAGACAACAATTTCTTACACCTAAACATGCAGTCCTCCCTATTCGTAGTAAATATGTACGGGGCATCCTTTTAAGGCTTAGAGGTGCCTCTTTACTCAACAACCCAAACACACATCCTTCGGGTACAGAATTTCCCCGATTCCGCCCGTTACCAATCCCATGTTTGACCTCTTTCACAAGCCTTTTATCGCCACGAGGAACCGCAAGGCGAACATACGACCTTGTTGCACTTGCAAAGACAACATGGACGTGCCTATCGCCACTGGTACAAGTGTCCATGGTGCAATAGTTTGCCTCAGCGCTGTTCAATTTGAGTCGCCAACAAAGGCCCACTGAAGCCTCGCAGGCTAAAAGACTGATAGCGGAACTAACCGACTTCGCTGTAGTGCAATGGCCATGTCAAGGGTGGTCGGACTTCATCAGTAAGCAGAGTGGCGACATGTTACAGGAGTCGGAGAAATTATTCAGCCCTACAGGCCAGAAACTTGCTATTGGAAGTGACTCAGAGCGCGTAGAGAACGTTTTACTCAAGGATGAGATGAGAATTACCGATGTGCTGGTGCTAGAGCGACTGGCCATGAATGGTGGATGGAAAAATGAGCTCTACTGACACGCTGCCTTCTAGAAGCCTCCACCGATTATACACATTTATTGTAGTGGCTTAGTGATCAACTGGCCAAATTGTATATGTGGGCCTCGTAAGCGGGAACGTGTTGGGGATGCCTTCACATCTGTACTGGAAGTTCGTATTTGCAAAAGTTTGTGGCTGTCACCTTCATGTTGGACTTGGCCCAGATGCAATGGAACACCAACGAGGCCTTACTTAGCAAAACGTCTCTGACTGACGATCGGGCCTTTTCTTTCTTTTGAGTATTTAATATCTTCAGCATTGCAGAAGCTTCTTTCACTCTCATTCTCCTCAGCCTGCTCGTTCTTGTACTCTACCCCAGCACCATGAAGATCACCTCCTTGTTTGCCCCACTCGCCGGGAGGTAATATCTAGATGACCGACTTCCAGTCTATGAAATGATCTTGGGGCAGCGCAGACATCAATAAGGAATGGATGAGATGTAAACACAAAAGCGTCTCAGAGGCGTGCTAAGTTGTTTGGAGAGTCCTCTTTCTTTGCTCGTTATGCCCCAAGTGAGTTGTGAGTAAGTAGTCACTAATTCCTCTCAAAACACGTATTCTCGATGCACAATTGACATTAGTCTCTTTCCTCTTGTTCATTCAATTCCTCGTGGCTTTGATCTGACACGTGCTCCTGAAGCCGAGAAATCTCGATGACAATAAGCCCTAAAATCCTTCGCATATCACTGTTCCCGCTCTAAATGCAGATCTGCCCTGACTATGCTTTGCCAATCCCCGCTTCGTGTCTTAAATCGGCAAAGCGTAGTTCAGCTACTGAGCTTGCTTACTCTTGCTATCCAATCAAATAGTGGCAAATCTTCAATCCCTTGATCCCGAATCCTCAGCTAAATCACCATGCGACACAATATTCCGATAGTATTACGTAGATAGTGGAGATATTTAGACTGGACTTCCACTTTTGAAGTAACGATAACCGAACATCTTGGCCTATTTGCCAAGCTCAATGAACATTGACACTGGATTTGGTGGTTGATCGGCAGATTTTGCTGTCAGCTCAGCCTCGGGTTTCCTGATCTCCCGAGGCTTAGATGCTCTTCGTGGGGTAAAAAGGATTAAACCCCGACACATTCCTTGCGGACAGCAATAGGCAGCAAGTTTGTCTCGTCGAAGGATTCTAGATGCGACATTGTCCCGTTCAAAGTGATGTCATTTATGCGGTATTGGGAAGTGAGTTGGCTGGAGACTTGAGCTTGGGAATGACTTGGTGCAACTCCCGAGAACAGTGAAAGGAATGCATATATATATATAGATCATCAGCAGACCATCATTAAAGTCTGTTCATCAACCACAGGCATTATTCACCCTTCACAACCCAACCAAAACAGACACTCGCCAACCCAGTATCAATATGCCTTCTCCCCGTAACATTCTCTTCGGCCTTTTGGCTGCCTCACTTTCATCCACCGTCGTAGCGGAGCATCTTCGCGTTGTTTGGTCACAAGGCGACTTCTCAACCATCTCCGGACCCAGCGGCGGAAGCCAAAGCGGTCACAGCTCCGGCTTCACAATCCTCAAAGACGACGGCACTGCCATTTACAGCAAGGCATATCCCGCCGACCACTCTCCCTGCTACAACACCGGCGATGGACGCGAGTTCACTTTCGGCGGAGATTGCTGGACCAAAGAGCGCAAGTTCCGCTGCAAGTCCTCGTTTGCTGGTGACCCCGAGTCATGCGAGGTCAAGGACCAGGATGGAAACAGTCTTGGTACTGGAGAGGGCAAGACTGACACAACCTTCATTGGCATCGCTATCGCGCAAGACTCTGCGTGCGTTGTTGAGTTCAATACTGATGATGATGAGGATTGCCCTAAGGATGAGGACAACAACCTGGGTGTTAGATCTGGTTAGGTGTCATCAGTCGGTGAGGGGAAAGGTTAGGTAGTAGTGAGGGCATTGGAGTGTAATGCTGTTTTGTGTAATGTATGTTCCTCGCCTTCTTGGATCTCTCAATCTGATAGACCAAGTAGAGTCAAATGATTTGAGCCTCTTATCTTCTACAGGGTTCAGCCAAATGTGCTTTGCGTTTTAATTGCTATGTCAAAGACACCTCGATACTCTTATGTGTTGATGGCGGATTTTCGGTGCCTCATATGGTGGAATAGTCACCAATAAACACGATCATGTAACTCACGCGTAGAGCCCGAAAGGACGGGCATGGATCTTTTATAGGACGCATATATGAGTCATACTCTCGGCAGGTAGCATGTGAGCTTGATCGCTCTGCACAGCCAATAATAGACTTGGAAATATGGCAAAACAATAGTACTGCCACCAAAGGTTCTTTGTTTAGCCATCGACTTACTGACTAGGCACTTTTTATATATGTCATAAATGGGGGGCTATTTGTAAACAAAAAGCTAAATCTTGTTCCGATGCCATATCAGGGGTTCTGACACAGTTGCGAGAAATTGCAAGAAATCACGGTTGAAAAGGCAAAAGCATAAAGTACTGTGAAGCTCTAAATGCTTTACAGAGCCGCTGAGGCCATTCGCTGGGAGTAACTTTGCTCTCAAAATGAATGGATCACTGGCCATTATAATTGCAGGTAGACAAAATAGATTTGCCCCATAGTACTATAGTGTTTTTGGCTCACACTTAAACAGACCATTTATGCTGAAGTCTACGTACAAAGAGTTTTCGATCGAATGAACAAGAATTTGTCAATGCTGAAGATGAGGAGTCGAAATTAGTCATATTCTTGGTTACCCTGGAGATGTTTTGCGGAGATATCGGTAAAGTTTATAAAAACTGAACAAGCTTGCTCGTCAGGAGTTTGTCGCAAAGTCTTTCGAGATGCAAGTGTATTATAAATATCGGATACATTCGCCTTCCTTATCTCATTCCCTCTCTTTGTTATTATTATTATTGCAACTACAAGAAAGCCATAAAACTAGCCCAAGGTATCCAGAAAGATCTTTGGATAGACAAATCTCCTTCAACACCATTTCCCACTTAACAGTCGGTCGACCTACCCCTCACCATCATATTCTTGGCACATTGGAGCCCCTCTCCTATTTCGACAATCCTACAGAAAACTGATCTTCTACAGCTAACACCCAGTTTTGACCAAAATCTACACGACAATATGGGTGTAAAGAATTGCGGTTCTTTGGATGGGAGCCCGCCCCCATTATATCACGGGGGTTCGGCAGATGAGGACAGTGTCTGCAGTGAAGATGCGAGGATTTTGACGTGGCATGGATTGGCTCCAGATGTCAAACTCGAGATGAACTACCCATGTGGGTTCACCTTCAATCAAGATCGTCATTTCGACATGTATGGCCCGCTCGGAGCTGTCCCGTCTGATCATGCAGTCAACGCCCGATCGTCTTTCCAGCACGTCCCAACTTCCTACTCACCACCGGCATATGACTATACCTGTCCCTCACAGCTCGATCCAGAATCAGATGTATCTGAGAATGAGCCAGATCAATCGTCTAACGACGATCCACAAGTCAAAACAGAAGCCAAAAACTACATTGACCCTGTTGATGTTATCCTCAACGAAATCCGAAGATTACACATGGCAGATGTTCAGCTAAAGAAAGAACTGATAACGGGGCTTGAAAGCCAGTGTGCCATGTACTCGCAGTCCCTGAGTGTTGTCCAGGGGCAGCTGAGCCAAGCAAACAAGTTGATCGAGTTCTGGGGTGAACAGATCGACACAAACACGAAGCAACTCGAAATTGTGGACAGCCGTTGCCGTGACAGTCACATCAATGCGCAGGGCTCGATCAAAGAACTCAGTGATCTCATGATGACAGACATCAAGGAACGGAGGAGGTTCAGACATTCCCTGGAAGAAAAAGGTCTGATTCAAATCACCTGACTTTTGAGACATGCCACAGACAGTAGAACATGCCAGAAATGTCTCTTGGCTGAATAATGGGTTTGGGTTTGGGGACCAGAAAATTTACAAGAGGTTGATTAGACAGTTGGGGTTGGGGCTGAGCTGGAGTTTTTAGAATGTTCGCAAAGCGATTTCCTTACGGATTTTTTTTATCCAACCTTTTATTGTGGAAGAGAAGCTTCTACAAACTTCGGAATCTGAGGAATAGCTAAAATGTGATCATGTTAAGGTTTTGTCTGCCTGAAATCAACATTAGTGTTGGAAGTCTAATCTGAAGGCGAATGGTGTGGTGTTTAAGGGTAGCTAAGCGAAAATGTGAGGCCTTCCCCTTCTTGGCATGATTCGTTGGAAATCACCACGACAAAAATGCGTGAATGTTAGCACAACTGTTCGAGAAGCTTAATAAACGAAGATAAAGCCTATTTAATTCTCGTTTCAAGATGACAGACCGTCAATCCGCATTACCTAATCAACAAGGATATTGCTTACGCCCCTCCCAATTTAGTTTAGGCAGATGCACAGCAAAGATGAAACCTGCTTGACGTTGCAATTTCCCAACAAACAAGTTGAGGTCATCATCGCCATGTCTGGGCATCAGAAGTACACGGGCGGAGGCTCATCTCCAGTTGAAGTAACCTCGGCGTCGGATAATAATCCCGTTCAGATTATCTTGACACCGCCTACGCCAATCGTCTCCACCGGAAACTTTGACCGACGAGGGGAAGACACGTTCAAGGAGGTTCTTCCTGCGGTGTCTGAGGAGAAAGAAGTTGTTCAGAAGACAGATGGATCTGACGAGAAGGAAGTTTATGTTGTAAACGAGGGACATGATGAGAAGGAAGTCTATATACCCGCCGCGGAGAAAGAGGTTTATGACCATGGGCTCGAGAAGGAGGTGCACGACTTGAGGCTTCATGATGGACATGATGAGAAGCAAATCTACGACCCAAGCGAACAAATTGCTCAGGCGCAGCGCATCGACTCATTAGAGAAAGAAGTTCTCCCTCAAACAAACCACGAGGATCACAAAGGGTTCTACCATCCAAACTACTCAGCCCAGTCTCTACCAACCCAAGACAAAGAGAACGAAGCGTCTATGGCGGTTCAGAAATACAACAGCAACACGAATGAGCGTAGAGAGAGTATCTCAACCGCATCCACCGAAACATCAGAGAAGAAAGATAGCGCTGCTCGGGGTTACTACCAACGCCATGTCAACAAATGGAACCAAGCAGTCGACAAGAAGAAGAAGGCCTGGACGACATTCACCAACAATTCAAGTACAGCTATGACAGAGAAAGCCAATCAAATCGATAAAGGATTCAAGGATCGTTGTACGGCGTTCGAGAATGGCACTACAGCCAAGTTGAACCAGCTTGATAGAAGTATCAGCGACAGTGTTGATCGAGCCGGAAAGAATGTCAACACCAAGGTCGCGAATTGGAAGACGGGTATGGGAAATATGAAGAGTCAGAGTATGAATAGTGTCAAGACCTTAGGATCTCGATGTCAGATTGGTACGACGGAGGGGAAGAAAGAGAAGGAGGCACAGTGATAAAGGTGTTTTGAATCGCTTAGGAGTTCAGTGTCACTTTCAGTTCAGTTTCAGCCTTTGTTTCTCGTTCAGTCAGCTCATACACGATAGCGCATTCATTGGTCTCAGCATTGTAACATAGTCATTCATTATCGCATCCTAATACCACTCAAGGCCGTCATATGTTCCATCCAGTTTCCCGTCCTTATTAAGCTTGATTACCGCCTCCTTAGTTCTCCTTGTCATGAGCTTAGGGTATTCAGGCGATGTAACTGGAGGCGCTGGCTGGGTTGTATCCTGACGGAGCCAAGCCACACGGCGGGCTCCATTAACGGTTTTGACGGCATCGCACAGGGTAGCTATGTCGGATTCTTCGAAAGCCCCTCCTAGCACAACGGCGCGGGGAGCATTATTGTAGTTTCCGGAGCCGATGGCGCTGCTGTCAGGATGAGATGGCGGACTTTTACCGGCAAGAAGAGCAGGTATGATGACTCGTCCCGAGTTTCCAGGTAAGATGAATTGAACGACTAATGATATTAGTATCGGAGGTGTACTGGTGCTATTTTTTACCTTCAATCTCTGGCTTGAGAGCTTCAATCACTCTTTCACCGATGAATTCGGTTTTTCCGCACAGGATAATGGGGATCGGGCTCGTTTCCGACATTCTGATTACTATCGGGATGGAGTTTCAAGGGTAAGCAGAAATAGAAGTGACCCTGTCTGGATGACCGCCAGAGTTGTATTTAAACCAGGTTCAGGCCAAGCTTCAGACCCCGACCTAAATGCTGACGCGACGTGATCATGAGGGGTAAGACCTAAGCTGCAAGCATAGAATATTATGTTTATTGTTCTGCTTTTTTACTCACTGAAGCTATTCACGAATATTCATGTGCCTGCACTGTGAATATCTCGGGAGTTGTCCCAGATGGGGCTGTGGGTTTCGGATGGTCGAGATGCCGAAGGACCACGAAATGCGAAAAAAAAGGTGACCTCCACTGTAATTACCGCCCAAAGCGCTGGGTCCTGCAGATCACCGATAACCAAAACCACAAATACGGGCATCAATAAAAAATTCTACTGGTCTCAAATGACGTTATTGGCGATCGACCCATCGATCATTTCCATCATCACAATCATCGACTGCAAGGGTGAAAAAAAGAAAAGATCAGCTGGAATAAGGCTGGGCAGCAAGGGATAAACGTGCGTGCGGTGATCACTCTCCTTGCTGTGTGACAGACGCAAGGGCCGTGTGATATGAAGCCACGCGATAATCAGGCCTGTCAAGAGGGAAGAACATCTTCATCGGAGGGTTTATTCCCTAGCGATATTTAACGCTTTGACTCTCGTATCTTGTTATGGTTAATGACAACGGTAACGACGGTCATTGGAATGCCAATTGACGTTGACGCTTAACGGCCACTGGTTATTATTCTACTGCCAAATTGGTAATCTGTTCGTCTGGCGCTTTGCCTTGTAGGAAATGACATATCGTGTCTCATTCCCCAAATCGACGTGTTCTCCCGATTGGGGTTACACCCTGCAGCCCTGCAGCGAGCCAAGTCCACTGAGAAGTGATAGCTTCGGCATTCTTTCCAGCTTTCCTTTTTGGTCAGGAACGGAAGACTTCAGATTCAGGTACGAATACAGGCGTACGTCATCCGTCTACTAGTGACGCCTCGTTCACGATGGCGTCGTGACGGGATATATTCCGCTAAGTTAGCTAAACTGCGGCACAGTGAAGCTACCAGCCGCTGGGACGAGCACCCGGCTCAACATCACCAGTCAAACTCATCGATACGATTATGCATCGTGATCCTTTCCATGTCAACGGCGCTGCCCAATGTAACCATGTCGGTAGAGACTAGAGTTCATGTCAGGAACACACTAGCCCAACCCGCTAAATTAGCTCTCGTTAACTTCCGTCCCCAAATGATGCTCAGATCACGATCTTGAAAAGCTTCCCCTTTCATCGCGATCGGGACCTGAGCGTTGGGACTCAAATCGCCATTGGACAGTAAAGATTGATCGACCAATTCCTCGGAAGCTAAGATTGGCGTTATTTCGAAAATGACGGCTCATATTGTACGGGCAGGGGAGTTAGGTAGGGATGCGATACGAAACGGAACGAAACGAAACAAAAAGCAATCGACACCCTTTGTCCGGGCGTATACTAGCCACTCAATGGAATAGGTCATTGTCTCATTCTTGCTTTTCCATCTGAGTCGTGGCTTATTACGCATTCGCGCTACCGGCAGTACTGCATCATACCTAGGTATTAGGACATGGTCCCTTCGAAAATGCAGACTCAACATCTTAACCTTGTTGACGACGAGATGGATTCTCAACCTCCGCCCATTCCGCTACGAGCGCAAACACCAAGACGACAAGTCGCGATGAAGCAAAGGTATCTCATACTCTAATTGAGCAATTGAGGAGGGAGATTGACGGTTTAGCTTTGAGACGCAGGATTTAGGCGACGGAATGGCAAACTTCGACCCAGAGCTTTTACAGGCACCGTCATCGAGAGCCTCGAGCCGAGCCATGTCGTATCGAACGCAAGAATCGCAAATATGGTCACATAAAGACAGAGATGCATCGTCAATCTCGTCCGTATACGTCCCTACACATCTTCCTGCGCTGCAAGCAAAAGGTGCTGGTATGGATCGTGATGGATTGGAGCCATTGACCGAGGAGGAATATGACCCCGCGTCCTTCGACCTTGTCGTCCCGGCGCATGCGATGGGAAAGCAGTATACCCTCGAGACACAATCCGAGCTGCTTTTCTCAGTGAAGCATCTGTCTGTCATCTTCGACGATCCTGTTCTGCAGCGCTTCACGAACTTCTTGTCTGCGTCGCGGCCGAGTTCTGTGCCGCTCTTGACATACTACCTCGACACGCTCAAGGCGATGAAGGCAATCAATTACGCCAATTCGCTGACGGGATCGCTCAAGACAATTGATGGCCATGATTTCACAGCCGATCCTGTCACTGCGACTGTCAACGAAGCATTGGCGAAGCGGGCTACCGAGGCTTTCCAAGCCATGGTGAACCATGATCTGCCTGCGTACATCACCCACACATATATCCAGACAGTCAGCATCACAATTAAGAGAAGGATAACGGACACACTGGCACCCCAATTGCGCGATCTGTCGGAAGGTCTGGCAGAGGTGTTCTGTTTGACAGACCCTTCAAGATCCGATAACCCAATTGTTTTCGCAAGTGAAGGTGAGTTACCCGTCGGCGTAACCGTGTCGCAAATGCTAACATGATCGCAGAGTTCCACCGAACGACTCAGTACGGCATGGACTATGTCCTCGGCCGCAACTGTCGCTTCCTTCAAGGCCCCAAGACGAACCCATTCAGCGTCAAGAGAATTCGCGACAAGCTCGCAGCCGGTCAAGACCACTGCGAAACATTCCTCAACTACCGTCGCGATGGATCCCCATTCATGAACTTGCTCATGGTATCTCCGCTATATGACTCTCGAGGTGTTGTCCGATACCATTTGGGTGCCCAAGTTGACGTCTCCGGTCTCGTCAAGGAATGCGCTGGGCTGGACTCACTAGAGACACTCATGGCGGATGAGAACCCCGAGAATGAGCGCTACCCTGGCGAGTCGGAGCAAAGAAAGAAGGATGAGCAGAAAGATGAGTTCCAAGAGTTGGCGGAGATGTTTGATCTTGCAGAACTCAAGACTGTTCGCGAAGCAGGTGGTGCTTTCCACCGTACACATCAGCAAGATGTTCGACAGACGGATACAGTTCCTGCGAATTGGAACAAGCCGCGCCTGGTATTCCGCGACGATGCCACCATCAATCGACGCCCTTCAGATCCCGTCCTCCATGACACAGCTATGGCTAGCTTCAGCGGCCGTCTCAGCGGTATCTACAAACACTACCTCCTCGTCCGACCCTACCCCAGTCTCCGCATCCTCTTCGCCTCGCCGTCCCTCCGCGTGCCGGGCATGCTCCAGAGTTCATTCCTCTCCCGCATCGGCGGCTCGGACCGCGTGCGCGAAACCCTCACCCAAGCCTTCGCAGGCGGCAACGGTCTCACCGCCAAGATCCGATGGCTGTCAAAGGGTGAAGTCCAGATCAAGAACCGCAACTCTCGCGCCATGGATCATTCTGCCAGTGGCGATGGTGGTCAAGCTCCTCCTGCAAACCCAGGCCGTAACCGCTGGATCCACTGTACGCCTTTGTTAGGGTCAAATGGAGCCGTTGGTGTTTGGATGGTTGTTCTTATTGATGATGAGTCGGATCAGGCTTTTATTCGAGGGTTGAGGAGAGAGGCTCCGCCTGTGCAGCCGCAGCCTGTTCAACAGCAGCCCCAGGCGTCGCATGAGCTGTATGGTGAAGATGATAAGATGAGTTTGAGTAGTTTTGCAGCTGCGCATAGGAATATCTGATGGAGGTGAAGGACCCGAGCTTGTGAGAGTAGATTTATGAGTACACGAGTATAAGCCTGTCATTTTAGGGCCATATAGTCATATTAATGATACCTTCTTTTTTCTTTCTTTTGTAAAACTGCCGTCATCTCGGTGGGGTCGTCGTTGAACTTCTCATTAATGGTCATGAAGCTCATGACCCACTACGCACCGCACCACCTTCTTGTTCCAGCGGCTTTCTATACGAGACTACGCCAGAGACCCTTCTTGACATTCCTAAACAGCTTTAGTGAATCCATTGACAGTTTTGACAGTTTATACGGCCCGGCCCGGGCGGGAGCCTAGTTAACGTTCTTCTGGAAGCTGGAATGCATGGTTTATGCTAGACAGGTATAAGCGGCGATGAGGTATGAAGGGCGTCGGCGACAGGTTCACCTTGCAACTGATTCCAACGTCAGCCTTCTTACAAATAGACAACGTCTAAAATACCGAGACTTGTCCGACATGACCTGACTTCTGATGAGATTGTTCACTACTCAGTGTCATTTACCCAATTCCGTGGCCCTCGGGGACCTCCAACTCACTATTACCTTACATAGCCATCAAATCGACTTCGGAATGTCAATCAATCATCATCGCGCCAAGTCAAACACCATCATTCTGACACGTGAGATTGCGACATATACCCCGCGGATGGTGATGGAGCCGTATGCCTAAACTGGAAAGGAGCGCCGATGATATAACGTTAGTGTAACATGCGTATTCGACAAGTATAAAAGGTTTTATACAGATGCCACCGATTCCGATTCGAAATATCCAAATACAAAAACAAAACGAACCTCACCAAGCCTTTTATCAACTCACTCAAGCATGTCTTCTTCAATCGTCTCAGAGTATGAGGCTGCGAATGAGCAGTATGCCGCAGCCTTCAACAAGGGAGACCTCGCCCTGCCTCCATCTCGGTATGTTCTCTGAATGAGACAAAATATGCAAACAACTAATCAATCGTAGTCACGTCGCTGTCATTGCCTGCATGGATGCTCGTCTCGACCCAGCTCAGGTCCTCGGGATCGAGCTCGGCTCCGCTCACGTAATCCGTAATGCTGGCGGTCGAGCTGCAGATGCTCTCCGCTCCGTCATCATTTCACAGCAGCTCCTTGGAACCCGTGAGATCGTTATCGTCCATCACGTATGTATCTCCTGTTCAATAACGGAATGATAAACTAACAAGGCTTAGACCGACTGCGGTATGCTCACCTTCTCTGATTTGGATCTCAAGACAAAGGTGCGTAAGGATCTTGGTGAAGACGTCGATCACATTGCTTTCCTCCCTTTCGGAGACCTTGAGCAGAGTGTCCGCGACGATATCGCTTTCTTGAAGAAGAGCCCTCTGGTTCTGGATGTTCCTATCACGGGCTACATCTATGATGTCAAGTCCGGCAAGATCAACAAGGTTGATGCTTAGATTCAGCTAGTGAAGTGGGATCGTTGGGAGTTAGAGTGTTAGTGGAGTGAGCTGTTTGGAGATGATACCAGATCGTGGCGTTGTGAGGCTGTGTTCAAGATGATATCAGAGAGAGTTCAGATAGTAGTTTATTATTATCTTCTTGTAAGGAGACTTGATGACCGTGATAGGGCCAAAAGATCCAAATTCAGAAAGGTAAAAGCAGCCCAGCAGGCTTGTAGTCGAAGTTCAACAAAAGGAATGTGACAAATGAGACAGTAGGTATATGATCCATGATAGATCCATCACTGGTCGACATGAAGATCTTCAATAATCTTGTCGGCGGCTGCAAGAGCGAAACAAGCAGCAGTGAGTGTAGGGTTACAAGCATTCTGGGTAGGAATGACACCGCATCCTCCAAGAACAAGGTCATTAACACCCCAGGCTTTACCGTTCTTGTTGACAACACTGTCAGCTGGCGTGCTTCCTGCGCGGTATGTGCCGCAGATATGAAGGGCGGAACCGGGAGCAAGATACTTGGGCTCTGCACCAGGAAGAAAGCCGCCAAGCTTTCTAGCCACCTCAATCATACTGAGAAAAAGGAGTTAGAGATCAGTGCTGAGCTATTTATAAACGCAGCGGAGAGGCTTACTCTGTGATCATTCGCTTGCAACGCTCATCGGCCTCCTCGTCCAAGACAAAATTGAAGGTTGGCTGTTTCAGAAGGTCAGCCAAAACACTCAACGTATGATAAGACTTGGTTCCACTCACCTGAGGCATTCCAAACTGGTCCTTTGTCTTGTTAGAGAATGTGACGTAGTTTTCTTGGTCAGGTTTCATGTAGCCAAACCAGCGCAAATCGACTACAAGGCGTTGATCGATGTTGGATGGAACCTCTCCATATCCGAAGGCATCTCGGTGAATCTGAGTGTGCCAGGGATATTTCTCGGACAGCGGGAAATAAACCTGAGGGTCTGGGTCGTTGAAAGGGAAGGGAAGGGGATCATTTCCATGACTTTCTCTGTGCGCTTTGACGACGTCTTCGCCCTCGACACTGTTGACCAATTTCCTATCAAGAACGACTTGACAGAAGGCCATCGGCTGCTCAGTCAGGTAGTGGCCCTGAGAAATGTGCCAATTAGCTCGCATTCCGGCTATACGGCAGGGAATCTTACCAAAGCTGGAAGTCTTGGCTTTAGTCCAGACTTGTGGAGAATACCAGGAGTGAGAACAGCTCCAGCACAAACAACGTACTTCTTGGCGTGGATGTAGTACTGCTGGTTCGCTTCAAGGTCATTGATCAAAGCCCAAGCAATTTGACCATCGGGATCCAGTTCCAGCTTGTCGCACTGAGTGTTGGGTCTCATGTCGAAGAACCGTTCCTCGCCCTTGTAAAAGTACTCAGGCTTAGAGAGTTCCCCAAGAATGGTAGCAGTGCAAGACCACTCGACGTATTCCTTGTTATCGTGCTTTCGCTTACAAGCCAGCGGCATGCTCTTCATCTCACGATCGGGGTAGGCCTCAGTAAGGACACGCTTAACCAGCTTCTGGCGGACAGAGTCGTCAAAAGCATCGTCGGTCTTGGTAAAGAGCTTCTCGGCCCGGCCATAGAGAGTGTTCCACTCGCCATCGCTGAAAAGGTCAGAGCGCTCGATCCCCTTGTGCTGTCGAGGAGTGCAGCATGTCCAGTGAGATCCCATACCACCGACGACACGAGTCGCAGCTGCGGCGGGAAGGTTGCCGTAGGATTTCTGGTCTGGGTTCTGGCCATTGAGGACGTAGGCCGAGTCAGTGGGTCTTTTTACTTTAGCATAGTCCCTATCATGAGAGTGCATTACCCTACCGAGGAGCCCAGGAGGCCGGTTCCATGACAGGTCGCGCCGTGTTAGTTGGCACCGAGAGTGGGTGCAGTTCTCCCTAGGCATGCTATGAGTTAAAGTCTTGCTAGAAGGTCAAGTTAATATACCTTAACAGTGCTAAATGCGATATTAGTCTTTGACAGCCCTACGATATTGGCTGGGATGAACTTACTTGGTGAACAAGCTGATATCCTTCTGAACTGCAACGCTGTTCTTCTTATGATCACCGATGCGTCGAGTTTCTCTGATTCACTGTGAGCCCCTATGTATATCTTCATGTTGAAATAACTCACTGCTGGCCGATATCGATCATCGTAACCTTGATGCCTTTCTTGACAAGTGTATGGGCGAAGGTGGCACCGATTGGGCCAGAGCCGACAATGAGAACATCAGTCTCTTCCCAACGAACGGCGTCGCTAGCAGAGCTAGGACTGGGGGTAGGCTTATGGACCATGATTGCAAAAGAGTGACTGAAAAGAATGACGAAAGGCTGTAAAGAGTATTTTGAAGAGTCTAAAGAGCTGATGTTGGTCCATAGTGAGGCTAGGAACAGCCTTCTTATAGATTTCAACTATCATCCGTCGGACTGCTTCCTTCGTGATGTTCTCCAACCAGACATAGAATATCAAGACCTACGCCCAGCTGAAAATGTGATTGAGGGGTAAGGGTCGTCACATATCCGAGGACTCCGCCGTACTGGTACTTCAAAAGACATTACAGTGAAAAGCGAGACTGTTGAGAAACCCATATCTATCTTCCCTTTGCAAGTGAATCCAATCCTTCCTATCGTCCGGGCAACTCGAGCCATTTATACAATCTTCTCCGGAAAGAAGCTCCTTGGGCAATGCCAAGGATACCGGGGGCTGGCTGAAAGGTGAAACATTACGCAAAGAAAGCTGGTGGAGATTACGGACCGAGCCAGAACATTCCGAATGGTATTTTCCCCAGGATCCTAGTGCAGGTCAGCCTGGAATTGGCATCACCTATTGGCCTAGGATACGAACCATGTATAGAGTATTGCTCGTGGTTTATCTTCATCAACTTCAGCTGTGGCGCAAAGGCTTCTGGGAGCTTGAACATCCTAGACAGACTTTACCCAACCAATACTGTATTTGAGACGTCCAGAATGATGTTGTGAGGACCAAGCGGTGGGCAAAGGGTAGGGGCCAGGTCAAGAATCTACTCTTGCAAAGGAAATCCTGGAATAAGAACTTTTGATAAAATTGGCAAGTTAAAGGAAAATTTCTTTACACAAAATTACCGTAGAGCTCATAAGACCTAACCCAGACCATTATGCCATGATCCAAATATCCTTCAAAGGAGTGATCAAAGTTGCCTCAATGTCAAATCGTAATAAAGACTATCATTAGGTTTGTTTCCGATTCTGGTAGATAGGATTGGTGGTGAATCCCAAGTTCAGACTCTGCCAATTCCACAGCATAGCAAGATCACCCAGCTCAGCCTCAGAGATTATCTGCCATCCCATCTCGAACTGGGGCTGCTCAGCAGTGAAGCTCTGCATGCTACTGGTAATATCGTCAGGCCAGGACTGCCCATTTGGCGCAGTGGGGTTCATCTGCTGAGCGTAGGCGTAGTTCTGGAACTGATGGTCCTGAACATCCTGAGGAAACGGCATTAAAGGCTGCTGACCAGCCTGCATTCTGCCAGGAACCACTGGAGGCGGGTTGTTGTAAGGTTGGTATTGGGGGAGAACATGCTGCACAGGTTGAGCCAACACCTGTACCGGAGCTGGTGCGATTTGGGCTAGCTGGGAGCTTGGCAGTCCGGCGGCTGCAGGAACAGGAATAGCACCATTACTCCCAGGTGGTTGATCGA